TCTCGAGAGTGCGGATGACAGAATTGGTGAGTGTCTGGCAGAGTTTCAGCGCCGCAGTCCGAACAGACTCCTTAATATCATCAAGCAGTTTGAACGCTTTCTCGAAAATCTCATCCAGGTACTGCGCATACTTCTCTGGGCGTCGTCCCGAGACTAAATCCGCCACGGCGGCACAGCTTGCCTGGCGCGCACGCCACTCACGGCCCGAAAGCATGCTTTTCAGGAGATCTTCCATGATCGGCTCGAAGTGGGCATCGACTACCACGGTGGGATCCTTCACGAGAGCTTGCCAGATGGTATTCATCGAGCGCTGCACATTGGGGTTCGGATCGAATCGGTAGCGGAAGAGCTTGGGGTAAATCTTTGGGTTCTGGGCTAGATAGCCATCAACGCTGGAATTGGAGAGGATACTGCTGATGCCGAATCTACCGAAAGCGGCACGGTTGCTCCAAAGGGCATTGTTAGAGGCCATAGACATGAAACGATAGACTAAGGTGGGATCGCCTGCTTCGGCGGCCAGGTTCATGATATCTTTGTATGTGTTGACGGAGGTGTTGTCACCTGTTGGAAGCGCGCCAGGCTCGAAGAGTTGAGTATCTCCGCTGACATTTCCACCGCCGAGGTTTGCACCGGTGTTTGTGAAGGAGTCTACGAGATCTCGGACCAGGTAGTCTTTCAATTCCTGGTCGCCGATTTCGTAAACAAGGCTGAGGCCGTGCGCTCCCGTTTCCTGTACTACCTCGTCCCGATTTCCAAGTAGACTGGAGAATGTAGCTTGGCACTTGCGTAGTCGTTCCTGCATCTCAGGTAGGTGGCCGCAGTTTTTCACGAGTGAGAGTAGCCATATAGCAGAGGCCTTGCGTAGGGAAGGCTTTGGTGCAGTACAATCGGCGATTATCTTGTCATACACCTCCACAAAGACTTTCCGCGGGACACCCGACGAAGGGAATGGCGCATCGACATCGAAGTCTTGGATGAGAGCCCGAGAGTCCCATCCTACAGCAACGTTACTCAATGCTTCACCGATAGTAAACTGGACCTCTGGGCTGCGGACTTCGTGTAAACTATAGAGTGAGTTCAAGAATTCACTGAATGTGGATGCAGTCGACTCATCGCGAGAGAATGTAACTGTTAAAAGACCCAAAGACAAGATAGGGGTCTCATGTTCAGACTTTTTGGCATCACCAGCCAGCTTCTGCTGAACCTTCTTCCAGCCATCCTCCGGTAGGGTCTTCAGCGAGAGAGTGCCAGAGAGACTAAGTTGCCCGATCGCAATTTCCGCCGTCCTTTGGAGGAGTTGGTCACGAGAAGCATCGACGATGTCCAGTACTGTCTCGATGTATTGCTGGATCTGTGCTTCGGGGACTCTATCCAGCCGATTGCGGTACGCCAACCTACTGAAGAGGTACGAAAGTGCAAGAATTGACCCACGAACGCGAAGGGCAGCCTCTCCGATCGCAGTATTCCATGTCTGGAGTGTGCTCGCTAGCTCGGCGACGAATTTGTTCAAAGAATCGTCAGAAGTGGCAGGGTGAGACACCAAGATACCAAAGGCTCTTGCGGCAAGAGCTTGAATCTCTTCATTGTTGCTCAGGATAGGCTTGTTGAGGGCCTGTGCGCGCGAGGTAAGGCCCTCGACAACGTCATCGGGCGATAGAGAGCAAATCTCAACGAAATGGACGCCACATTGACGAAGGCCGGGGAGATTTTCTGTTTCCAGACCGTCTAGTAAGCCCGACAGGTAGGCAAAGACAGACTCCTTTGCGGAGCTCCGGATATATTGTCTCACGGCAGCGCGTGCCTCCGCACTCGTTGAAAGGTGCACTTCGAGTTTGAAGTCCCAGTCTTGCTCCATATCAGTGACTATACCTGCTGCCGAGAAGGCCTCCCAGAGCAGTGTATTCCGGAGGAAAGCGACAGCGGGCGCAAAGGCATCTTTGTAAGGGCCTGACAAGAGTCGCGACTTAGGCAAGGAGTCGTCCATTGTAGAGTCCTCATCTTCTGAGCCAAGCAGAAATCGAGTTGCCTCGGCGAATTGGGGAAATTCGAACCAGCTTTCGTCACGCTTTTTCTCTGCCTCTGAAGCGGTTTCCCATTTCTGATCTTTGGTCGGGTTCAGAAGTCGGAACCAGTAAGGATGGAGACCCTTTTTGCCTTCCTCCACGATTTCCTGTTGCCTTCCGGGTCCTCTTGCAATGGCCATGAGATCGATCCAGCGGGCCACGATATCATTATACGGCAGGAATCGATTTGCAAATCGCACAGCAGCATACTGAACACCCCTAGCAACGGTAAATCCGGTCTCTGGGTCGGTCTCTCCAGCCTGTAAGGCCATTTGGCGAACAAGGAATGGGCGTAGTTGACGTTGAAACTCTTTGTCGTGGCTGTCTAATGATGAATTGAGGATACTTCCCAGTGCTTGATCGATACTAACGAAAATCTGGGGGCTAGAATCGTCTGCACTCAAGGAGATGAACAGCCAACGAACTAGATCAAATTCGAAATTCTCCACTTCTTCATCTCGCAGTCGAAAGTCAACCTTGGGTACCAAGATACCTATGCTTTCGTATGCCAGGCCTCGTAGACTGAGGTCCGTTGCAGGCAATCTCTGTCCGCTGGCACCGGGACTGGGCCATCCCTGGGACTGAATGAAGTCCCGTAATCCAGCGATCAGCTTGGGGGCTATCTGCTTTAGGTCCGATGGGGAGCCCATTCGGACAACCCATGTCGTAAATGTGAATATTTGGGTTCTTAATTTGGCAGCCTGCAACCCCTGTGCGGATCTCGCGGCATCTGATAAAAGGCCCTCCTCTATGAGCTTAAATATCCGATCGGTATTTCCTGTAGCTTTGATGGACTTTCCTAGAAAAACCAGAATCTTCACCTGGACTAGAGGACGAACGGAAGGAGCACCATTTGCACCAAAGTAAAGATCATATAACTGCTCGACTGTCTGTGAGTCTTCAATGTCCACGGCAAATCGCTTGAGAGTCTCATCGCCCAGATCGGCTAGACGGGAGTTTGCATCGGCAGAGGCTATCAATGAAGGCAGGAATTTTTGAGTATCAGGGAAAGCACAGCTGCCAAGGAATCGAAGAGCAATAACTTTGGTTTCGGTCAAATTCAAACCCCCCCGGTGAAGCTGGATTCCACGTTTCGGTCGGTTTTTCATCTTTGTTTAAGAACTTATACTCGTCTGGTGATAAACCGGCGCAGGTAGAAGCGTCCGCGGGACCAGGAGTTAATAGCAGAAGCTTGCTCAGCCAAAAGGACAAAAATCGAGCATCTTCATCCGACATTTTCAAACGATCTTTCAATTTCAGATCCTCGTCGCTGCCCTTGGCGGGTAATTTGAACAGTGGCAAAAGACGCAGAACCAAGTTGAAAACGATAGCGCCTTGACTAGCGGAGGTTCCGATCTCCGAGATACCCTGAAGCAGGGGCAAGAGGATTTCCACGCGAGCATCGGAGCCGAGACGATCGATTCCTTGCTGAGCGTAGATGAGGTCAAAGTGCCTGACCAGTTGAGATTTCTGCTCTTTGAATTGCTTCAGCAATGCGGCGACGGGCAGCTGGATTGAGGGAGCTTTGACCCGAGTGTTGACATGTTGGCAAACGGAGATGACCTTATTGCGCACCGCGACGCTGTCAGAGCTCAGCTTCAAAAGGAGAGGGGCCAGATATGTCCCAAGAAGTGATTGGAGCTTCTCATCGGAGTCGGCCATGGCAATTCTAAATTCCACCTTGCCTATCAAGGTCAGCTCGCGAGCCTCGGGGCTCTGCGAGTCGGACGCCATGTTGGGAAGATTGTGTGCGGAGATGGTGATTTCAAGTCGGCATTGACTCGGAAGAATATGTCGATCGGTTGCAAAATAAAGCTTCTTTCAAGTAGATAGGCAGCCACACACACGTCACCGTCGTGGTTGACCGTTCGCACGTCGCTGTATGGCGTGGGGAGTGAGGATTAGTCAGAGTGGGTGACTAATCAGATCCGCGGTTGACGCCAGGGGTTTCAGGCGGGAACCAAATTCGGTCAGGGACTAGAAGTAAATATTATCCACATCATGATGGCTTATTATGTCCTCTGTTAAATAGCCACTTAACATCTACGTATATTTCTGGTTCCAGACATACTCCCTTGAAGTTTGACTCTTTAAGCCCCGGGCCTGGAGTTCGAACTGCTAGTTGAATCCTATCGATTTGAATCATGGGCTATCGATATATATGTCAACCTCAATAGCTGCATCATGTAGACCCTCCGTGTAAAATAAACTTGAAAGATCCCTAATTCTGCAACATTTAAGGTTCTTTATACACTTTGCACTTTTTTTTATCTAACAAAACCCTGGAATTTATCTAGATATTCAGCTCTATGCTGTATTGACCAAATATTGTCTCTCCTTTCTCGAAGTTAGCACTTAAACCGAATCTTACCGCACTAAGATCAGCGCTCTACGTATTTCGATATACCTTCTCTACCTTCACATATCACCATTGATTACGTGCTTCATCTCTTCCACGCGTAGATACCTCTACATGCAAGGCGCTCTCCACGAAGATAGCAACATCTTCAAGAAGAAATTTCGCTCTCTTAACAACAGGCAGATTCCGGAAAGTCGGCCTCCACACCCTGATTCCATAATGATCACTGTTCGCTCAGGTCAGTCCGGGCCGTGCTCAGTTCTACTGAGTGAGTAAGAGAGGCGATGGGGTGAGCACTGAAGTGAAAAAGAGCGGCTGGAGTTCCAAGAGCTGCCAGAGATTATCCGGTATATATTGCAATATGGAATGATAATAGTAGTTGATCTTTATGCACCTGAGTATAGCTTGTCTTGGCGCCAAGAAGTAGCTAGTGGGACCTCGCGACTGGCCGGATTAAATATGTACCTATCACCACGTGACTAACAGATTGCCCCAGCTGTCGCAATGCGCCACGCTCTCGACCTCGACTTTCCCCGAGGCATGGAGGCATGAGGTGACAGTCAGTTATTATTTGCAAAATGGCCGTGATCGCAGAGGATTTCAGAATATCAGGTATCTTGCCAAACTCCTCCCAATGCAGACAAACCATCAAAAACTAACCTCTGTGTACCACAGCTGCGGTACCTCAGTCACTGCTCTCCGTTCTCTCGCAAAGTGATGATTTGATTGCCGACGAGCGTCCCGTCAAACGACGCAAGGTTGCTAAGTCGGGCCCATATAGTCTCGCCCAGGAAAATGGGATTTCTCCAACAGGGGTTCCATTGGGCTATATTCCATTGGCTCGGCTAGCTTTGCGCATGGTAAGTATAGATAGGTCCTCCTTGGCCGCAGTCGAAGTCGCATGCTTACAATTTCCTACCTATTCGATCAGAAGCTTACACCAACCTCCAACTCGAATGACCACACATCACATATATCGGCTGAATCCTCTCATAAAATACCCGTCATCTTGGAAATTCGAAACTGTCTTATACTCCAGGATGAGGCGGTCGATGAAGTTGCGCACAGCGAGCTTAATCCCGAATCATACACAGTTTCGCTATACGATACCGATACCGATGACAAGCGTGAATTATTGTTCAGGCATGAATTCGATGATTCGCGACTCTTCGGTTTCCTCGAGCAGCTTCACCAAGCCAGCCTTCTCAGTGCCGCGGACCGTTACTGGAATCGCGCGCCAGTAGCAAGCTACCAGGCCTCCGTTCAATACTCTCCGAGTGATCAGCTTTTGAATCTGGAGGTGACTACACTTTGGAAAGATTCGGTTGATGTTCCCGACTTCACCCACCTTCAAGTAGGGGCGTTGGAGGCATTTGCCCAATATGCCCTGAAGGAGCCATTTGATAGACCAGTCGGATACGATGCAAGACGAAAACACCGAGAATGGCTCCTCGGATCCATTCGGAATTGGTCTCCACGCGAATTCTACCAAAGTGTGCATGTCCCGCAAGACACAATAGACGCATCGGCGAACATAAACTGTCCTGATCTTGTGTGTGAACTTTTCCCTTTCCAGAGACGGGCTGTCAGATGGCTCTTGAGACGTGAAGGAATGGGCTTGGAGAAGGATGGGAAGCTTGTACCAATCGACAAATCACCCAATGGAAACCTCCCCGCATCCTTCAGCCATATGAAAGATGCAGATGGGCAAGACTGTTACTTTAGTCATCTCTTCATGATCATCACCCGCGATATCTCTCACTGGACCGACGCTGCGGACACCCTACGCGGTGGTATTCTCGCAGAAGAGATGGGACTAGGGAAGACGGTTGAGATGATCGCCTTAATGAGCTTGAACCGACGCCCGGGCCAAGTCAAACCAGACCCAGATGGGCTGAGAGTTTCGGGTGCTACTCTAATTATCACGCCACCTGCCATCCTGGAGCAGTGGAAGCAAGAAATCGAGCAGCATGCTCCAGCACTTCGCGTTCACCACTATACCGGAATCAAGCGCAACCAAGACCAGTCGGATGATTTGATCGTAGAGGAAATCGCCGATTTTGATGTTGTACTGACAACTTACAACGTTATCTCCCGAGAGATCCATTATGCTGGCGGTGCTCCAGCCCGCAGTCTGCGGCACCAGAAGAGATTCGAGCCTCGGAAAACGCCTCTAGTCCGCATATCATGGTGGCGCGTTTGTCTTGATGAGGCACAGATGATTGAGAGTGGAGTGAGCAACGCGGCGAAAGTGGCGCGGCTGATTCCCCGCCAGAACGCATGGGCTGTGACTGGTACACCACTGCGCAAAGACATTGACGATCTGTCTGGCCTTCTGCTGTTCCTACACTACCATCCATTTTCCTACTCCAGTCAGTTGTGGAAACGACTATACTCCCGTTTTGGACCTGTTCTTGTCAAAATCATCAACAATATTGCCCTTCGACATAGCAAGGACCGAGTTCGGGATGAGCTCCGCCTTCCGCACCAGAAACGTGTTGTTATCACCACTCCATTCACTGCCATTGAAGAACAACACTATGGTCAATTGTTCGAGGAGATGTGCGACTACTGTGGCCTTGATGCCTTTGGTGCACCCCTCCGGGGTGACTGGAATCCGGACGATCCATCCATAATTGAAAAGATGCGAACCTGGTTAACTAGACTCCGACAAACCTGCCTACATCCCGAAGTCAGTGGGAGTAATCGAAGGGCCTTGGGTGCAGGAAACGGGCCGCTCCGCACCGTCGACGAGGTCCTCGAAGTCATGATTGAAACAACCGATACTTCCATCCGCACAGAAGAACGATCGCTTCTTTTATCGCAGCTGCGGCGTGGTCAGCTCCTTGAGACCGCAAGACGTGGGAAAGAGGCTCTGGCATTGTGGCAGACAACTCTCGAGTATTCCACAGAGCTTGTCAAGGATAGTCGAGAGCAATTACGGCTGCAGCGACTGAAAAACAAAGAGAACGAAACAAACGGAGATGCGGTGACCAACTCAGAAACCCCGGACATTAGTGATGACGAGGCGGAAGAAGTAGATAAAAACAGCCGCATCGGCCAGTGTCGACTCAAATTGCGCGCCGCTCTTGAGGTTCAGCATATCGCCGTATTCTTCACTGCAAATGCATATTACCAGATCAAAACCGACACGAATCTCACCCAGCCCGACTCCGATGAATTCCAGGCCCTTGAGAAAAAGGAAGTTGAAGGATACGAGGCTGCCAAAGTGATTCGGAAGGAGATGTTGACCGACATTTCGAAGAAGGTGGAACGATACATGCGAATCATCAAAGAAAAGACTCGGAAGAACGAATTTGTGAACATTCCTGTGATGAAGCCGTTCCTCTACAGCAGAGGACTGGAATCCTACCGCCTGCTGAACAAGTTTGAAGATTTGTGCGCTGCCCTGAACGAACATGCAAAACAATACAAAGCTTGGCGTGAAGTGATGACAAAATTGGTTTCCCAATCGCTAATAGATCAAGAAGAAGACGCCGAACTTGAGGGTGACGAGTACGAGCGATCGACCAAGCATCAGGATGAGATGTATGTCTACATGGAAGCTTTGCGGTCGATGTACGCCGATCGCCACGATGCTCTCACTGGCCAAAAGAACATCCTTATCTCCCACGAAGTCAAAGCAGGCATCATCCAAGCGCAAAGGGATGAAGGCCCATCACCAAAGCTGTTCCTGTCTATCATGAATACTCGCAGTGAACTTATGCCAGATCCCGAATTTGGCTCCCTCCGTGGCATCGTTAGTGAACTTCGCAGCTTGGTGACTTCGCTGGAGTGGCAAGCTAGTGGAGGTAGCTCGCGCGCGAGTGCTGAGTTGGAAATGGTCGGCATGGTTTTGAAAAATGCTGGCCAGATGATTTCCGAACAGCTGAAGGTGTCATCGAACTTGGAACGAGAAGTGGAGATGTTCCGTGATACGATGAACAACCGGTTGGAGTACTACCGTCATCTACAACAGATTTCAGATACGGTTGCGCCTTATGATGAAGAAAATGCTGGAAAACCCATGGACGAAGCTCTCTTCGCATCCAAGTTGAAGCAAGAGGAGACTCTTGAAAGCAAAATCTCATCTCTGAAGTCCAAACGCCGGTATCTTCTCCATCTGCGAGACGAGTCTGGATCGGAGGATAGTTCGAGAATTTGTATTATCTGCCAGTCAAGCTTTGAAGTCGGTAAGTATTATGTTGTCCGACACATCGCAGAATACCAATGCTAACATGAAATACTAGGCGTTTTGACTGTCTGCGGCCACAAGTACTGCACCGACTGTCTACGACTATGGTGGCGCCAGCACCGAACTTGCCCAATGTGCAAGAAGCCTCTCAAAGTGAATGACTTTCACCAGATCACCTACAAGCCGCAGGACCTGGTTGTTCAGGAGGAAGAAGCACCGGTCAAATTTGACCATGAGCGACACTCGAAGAATGCAATATACAGCGACATAAGCTCGGGTCTTCTAAAGGAAATCAAAAACATCGATCTCGATGGATCTTTCGGAACAAAGATCGACACCCTCGCGAGGCATGTTCTATGGCTGCGCGAACATGATCCCGGCGCCAAGTCGATCATCTTTTCCCAGTACAAGAATTTCTTGGCTGTTTTACAAAGAGCGTTTCATCGATTTGGCATTGTTAACAGTAGTGTTGATGCCCCCAATGGCATTGAGAAGTTCAAGCAAGACCCCGCTGTAAGTATTCTGGCCACGCTCTCTTATTAATAATTATCTAACGATTCTCTCTAGGTTGAATGCTTCCTGCTTCACGGCAAAGCACAATCCTCGGGATTGACCCTAATCAACGCAACCCACGTATTTCTCTGTGAACCGCTAATAAACACCGCCATCGAGCTCCAAGCCATCGCCCGAGTCCATCGAATCGGCCAACACCGCCCAACCACCGTGTGGATGTATCTTGTTTCAGGAACCGTGGAGGAATCGATCTACGAGCTCTCAGTAACCCGCCGACTAGCCCACATCCTCGAGAAAGAAAAACAGGAGAAGAACGCACGCACTTTGACCAACGGCAACGGGGAAGAAGCATTGATTGAAGATTTGACCGAGACGGCTATTGATTCTGCGAATTCGATGGAATTACAAGATGCGACTTTGACCAATCTAATGACTAGTGGTGCTTCAGGTGGAGAAATGGTCAAGAAGGATGATCTGTGGCAGTGTCTTTTCGGAAATTCGGATCAGAAGGATGGAAATGACCGCTCGACTGATGCTGAGAGGGAGGTTGGTCGGTTTTTGCGGGGGGGAGGCTGCTGAAAACAGAAGGGATGAATGAATTTACGACCTAATATGACTTGTAAATCGACCATGTAACAAGGTAGGTAATGAGAAATGAAATGTTTTATGAACGATATTTGAGAAAGCTTTCGCGGCGAAGGATAGATGACACTAGAATACTGTTGCCACAACTAGCAATATCTAATGCTTGTAGTTCTAGTACACTGTTCGATTAAATGGCTACAATCCTATCTAAATACTAGTTTTACATCACCTAAATCTAATGGGCACTTCCCTTTTCATTGGTAGGAGGTGGCAAGAAGAACCTGAGTGGAAACTCCGGGACTATCTTACTGGTATCAAATGAGAATTAGCGCGACTCGCCAGAGAAACCCCTTGAATACTACATAACTACCTAGGTATAGCCCAATTTGGTACTGATTTGTAAGTTCAAGGCACAGCGTATGCGGAGAATTGGGGACCGGAAAAAAATCTATAAATTCCTGCTGGGAACAAGCGTCCCGCCTTTTGAGAATCTGTCTCCTCCCCTCCTTCTTTCAATCTCCCTCCGAAAAATTTGCCAGATACGACTGCAGATGATATTGACATTGAGGAAGATGGATTTATTGGGCTGAAAGAAAATATCAGCAAAGTAGATCGTGATGCTATACTCGGCCCAGGTGCAAAGCTTGGCGCAGGAGACTCTGAGCATTTGTGGATGCCTCTCCGCCCGATCTTCCACTTATTGACAAGCGCCTTCCAACACAAATAGCTGCATGGGAGGGCAATGTGGATAGATACGCTCGACTGATGCACCCACGTAGGCTCAGAACGGAAACTGAATACAATTGTATTCTTCGTGGGATTTATCATCATACAAGTTTCGCCAGACGGTGGGCTTATCAGCTGGAAATCAACCCTGGGAGAATTATTCTACCGGGTAAATTGGCCAGCGAGGGCAATGCGCGCGAGTGTCGAGAGATTCGCACCGCGATAAATGCTCGAAAAATCATGAACAATGATATCTCTGACATTGAAGATGACTCTGACTGCCTCCCTTGGCTTATCTGGTGGCCGGTGAGACCTAATGAGAACACTCTACATGAGCTGGCTCGCAAGTGTCCGTCCATGAGACACCAAATTGCAATCACCTCCATACTTTGTGACTACTACTCGCTTTTCAGGTCGTTGAACCCCCCCTCCACGCGAGTCCTTTTTCGAGGCTGCCAAGCAGAGCAGAAACCCATACTACCTCAAATATCTACAGGAATTTGTCAAGCAGCGTTCCATTGGAAGCAGAGAAATATCGGAGTTCAGCCCTTACGATACCACAGTGGAAGCAAGTTTACAGCCTGATTTGGAGCCCAGAGATACTCAAGCTCATTCTTCTATCAAGTTTTCTGATATGTATGTCCCTTGGGGAGCGCATCCCAGGGGCGAATATGACGCCCCTGGCATCTATGGGGGCTTGCCGGTCGAAGCGGGAGTTGTGGAGAGGTACATGTGGCTGTCAACAGAAACTGCACAGAAAATTAAAGATGAATGCCGTGAATACAGCGGAGTCTACCATGACAGCGCAGATACTGGCTACTTGTATATTGACGATGATGATTCGGATAATGAACTTTGGCTGAAGCTCTCACGCCCAATAAAGCGTATGACATCCTTCGAAATGAAAGACTCTGAGGACGAAAGCTAGGTATATTGAATGAATTGACTCTCACAAGCCTTGGTTTATTTAAAGTATCAGTAGCTCTACCATAACCCTTCGATTAAGAGTTGTATGACGAAATATCGGACGGAAAGTATTGCTGGCCTTTTCTGGAGTCGATTTGGTCCCCATACTAGTATTCTACTTGCAATTCCATATTTGAATTATACGAGATGGGTGAGCTCAGGGCGTAACTAGCTGCTGCCTATTGCAAACAGAATCGCTAGTAGAGCTTACAGTGTGATAGCAATATAGTATCGCACTTCAGGGAGGCCAACCGGTTTCTACGAGGAGATGTTGCTGGACACAGAAAAGATGAATATGGGGCCCGCTATGACTTGTAAATTGACTTGTAAATTGACTATGCAGGAAAATAGCCTTTGAATTGAAGTTGATGTAATGAGAGATATCCCTTAAAGAGACCACCCCCCACTATTGTTCGCTGTAGAATACTCACATTCCAGGATGCTCATATGTAAGAAAAGAGGAAAATTGAAGATCAGCCCCGAGGGTTCCTCTGCGCATTCAGATGCATATTTCATGTATCATCAACACTGCCAACACTTTGCTCGGAGACGTAATCGGCCCCCCAATTTCCCACTAGATGATTGTGACTGTAATGATTGTAAGAGGGCGCGTACCCCAAACTGGCCACACGGGAAATGACGAGGTCGATAGCGAACGCTGGAGTCTCTCGCACCATCTTTTCAAAATCCTTTTTGCGCTTCAGCTTGTGGAGATTTTGGGATGAAGTTTCCACGAACAAGTCTCGAAGCGTTCTGTCGTCTGGATATCCACAATTGTAAGTCTCCGCAACGGCAGATGAGAAGCCATCTTCCAGAGCGTGTTCTGGAAGGAATTCACGCAATTCGCGCGTCATGGACTCTTTCAGCCTGGGGATAAGGTACTTTTCAGCGAGATGGTAGAGCTTGACGTTGAACAGTACCCTCGGAAGTCCGATTTTGACAACTAGATCGTCGTAGCTTGTTTGATAGAGGAATAGGATCATAGCTTCGATGAGGCAAGGGTGATCATCCATGAGTCGGAGTTTGTTTTCCTGCCATTCCTAGACTTGAGTCAGTAAGAGAAGATGTAGTTTAAATGACTATTCACTCACCGGCCAGGGGCCCCTGCAACATGCGGCAAAAAAGTCGGAGTGTTCCATGAGGATCAACTTGTGGACTTTGAACTCTTGTTCCGCGGACTGCACTGTAAAGTCCGAAAGCTCGCCGGTGAGGTAGTATCTTAGATTATTAGTGCCAATCTCATGGCCTGGCGGTTCTTGAGTCAAATTTCAATTACCTGCTGAAGTCAAAAGGGCACGTGGGGGAAGCCATGATGCTGGAACCTATGCAGTGAGAGAGACAGATGTGAAGAGGAGATGTGAAGAGGAGATGTGAAGAGGAGATGTGAAGAGGAGATGTGAAGAGGAGATGTGAAGAGGAGATGTGAAGAGGAGATGTGAAGAGGAGATGTGAAGAGGAGAAGATTCGAAGAGAAGATACGAAGAGAAGATACGAAGAGAAGTAAGAAAATGGAGAGCAGAAAAAACTCGAATGAGAGAAATGAGAGATAGAAAAAGAGCAGAGAGTGCACCATGGACCACGGACGAAAAAATTCCCAACTTCAGACAAAACCGCACTTGGGCACCTCTAGTATCTATAATTACTATAAGTACGATGGCCATATTCATAGAGAAAACTTCATTTGCCGCAAGCCTCAGGTATTTATACAGAAAGTCATTGAGCAGATGCCACAAGGGAAAAGCCTCCTGACTACCAAACCAAAAATAAGGGTGCTTGTGAAGTAGAACAAAGCAAAGCGTTCCAAAAAGAAAGCCCCTCCCCAAGAGATTTTCAAACGAGATAGTTCACAGAGCAAGCGCAAAGAAGATAGTCATCATGTGATTCTTGTTTTCCATGTACATCACACATTTGTACCGTCCTCTCCCGATCAAGTGACAAACAAGGACTCCAACCCGACTCCCCACTTGCATTCACAGTGTCTAAGATATGAATATAATATTGACTCTTATTCAAATTAATCCCGGATCTCGCCCGGCCCTCGACCAAGCATACTTCTAACACTATCCCTGCCAAAAGACCCCGACTCTAGACTCTGAAACGAAGCCGACGAAACCTTATTAACAGGATGAGTATCATAAACCACTTCACCATTAACAGCTCGCACAGACCGAGCGTAAGATATCCCATTGGCGGTACTTTCATATTCGTCTGCCGTATTACCTCTCGACGAGGAACTCCCGCTGGCTGACTTGTATCGTGCCTTTCCCGACTGGGAAGTATGCAGGTGATACGGTTTAGCTCCCGAAGAAAGTGTGTACGTGGATAGTCCCAAACTTCCAGAAGAATCGATCTCCAGGCCTCGTTTCATCCATGCGTCGATGGTTAGGGAGTCGTCGGTTATACCGTAGGTTGCGTTGACTAGGAGCGGGTAGCGGAATGTTGTTTCGTTTGATTGCTTGTTGTTGAGGTCTGTAATTGTGGACTCGCCGGACGTGAGTTGTTTGTTGATTTGGCTGTATCCTTGTTGGTTTAGGAGGCCGTTGTTCGAGAAGGTGAGTTTCTGTGACCAGGAAAATTTGGATGAACGGGCTGTAAATGTTCTCTCTGCGAGAACGGAATATTCTAATGTGTCGTTGGCCCCGGTTTCGTTCTTTGTTAATTTTCGGGTGATTGTGAAGATTGGATTTGGTGCTGTGACTTGCACCGCCTCGATCTCTTCGACATCCCGATTCGAGGACTCAGACTCATCGACTTCATCCGTGTATAGGAAAATATTTCCCGTAACAACCCAATAAGACCCCACAGTTTCCGAAAGAACAGCAGTCCCATTCGACAGAACATTGAGACCGGACACCCTAATCTCAAACGAATGCTCCTCGCCATCTCGCAACAACGGTAAAAAGGGCGAGATATCAATCTCACTCTGTCTCAAATCAAAAGCATCAGTACCCACAATCGGCCTCCAAAATCCCGGCGCCACACCTCCCGTAAAAATAACAGGAAAGGGCCAAACAACACCAGCTAGTCCTCCATCAATATAGAGCTGAACTTCTCGAAAGGGCGAGTATCCATAAAGCTTGCCCACGGTATTTTCAAAACTCGCCGTGTCATCGGAGAACACATTAGACCACCAAAATTCTTCTTCGGATTGACCGCAGGCGGATATCGACACCACGGCTCGCGATGTGCCGGGTGGGATCTTGTGATTGACCGTTGTATTATCAGCCGGGACTGAAAATGCACTCGCTGAATTCGATGCGGATTTCATGGCTGAAATGGGGAGGATGAGGTCCGCAGATCGCGCATTCTTTTCGTTGTTTTGGAGAGAAAAGTGAGCTGTCAGCGTAGCATTGAATGATCCCGTATAGACATCATTCATGATGTTTCCGAGATCGAAAATCAGAGTTTGCGGTTGTTTCCAGAGGGCGTTGTATTGCGACATCTCTTTGATATACGTCCACACTATGCCGGCGGTCGTTGGTTCGGCGGTTGAAGTCCGGAACACCTCCGCGTCACCGAGGTACATGAGAGCTAGGCGATCGTACTGCTTTCCTCGAGAAGTGACGGTGAAATTGATGCGGACGGTGTCGAATTCACAGTCTGGTGGCGTGTAGTTGCCTAGAAAACCAGCAATCAGCTCAGAGGTAGGCTCGGTAGTTGTCAATGGGAACACTGAGCATCTAGCATTTACCTACCGACGAAAGGCTTCCCATAACTGGATCCGAAAACATGGTCCATAAGCAAGACTTCCAGATCACAGCTACCGGCCTCTCCACTGGCCTCTTTAGGAGAAAGTGACACCGGATGGTATACTTGGAAGACCTCCTGTAGGCCCGACGAGCCCTGTGTCTGCAGCAAAGGATGCTCAAGTGATCGATAGTGAGCTTGAATGGCCGTTACCAATCGGAAATGAATGAGGACCAGCAGAGTGCATGGTAAAAGCAAGAAGACACCCATGGCGAACTTGGAGTACCGCTTGGAATCTGGTTCGACCGATTTGCGTTGCCCCTGATCACTTGGTCCGGTAGTTTGCTTCTCAGGCACGGTCGGACTCTCTATAGATAAGGGATGATCCTCTTGAAGATCCGATCGACTCGTTGAGACAGGGTTTGTGATCAGAGGCTTGCTGATTCTGGGTCTTCTTCTGGCCGTAAACACGAGGAGTATGCTGGCCACGGTAAAGACGAGAACAATGGCGAAGAGCCATATGATCCGACAATCCGCCATGGTGACGAGAGTCTTTAGCCAAGCGAGATTAGAGTGGAGGGGCGGCCACGCTAGCGGAGTCCGATGCATTGTGAAAGTGGGTGAAGGTGGTGCTGGGGGGCGCCGTCGTCGGGCTAGTGCGGAGACTAAAGTGTGATGTGCCCCTGCAGGTGCCAGCAGGTGCCAGCATGATATAGATGAACAAGTCAGTGACATAGGAAGTAACACCTTAGTGACCACCCTGATAATCAGAGATCAACTTGAAGAGGTCAAACATTTGAATATTGCTTTCATCAAGAAATCTTGAACTTGCATTGTCTATTCCACATCGCCCTTTGGAGCAAGATGAGCTGCGATTATTTTGTACAAAAGAGATAGAAAGAGGTGGGACCAGAGAGACCAACGTCCTCGTATATAGACAATGATAGACAGTGAAAAGAGAACACTCCAAACCAATGCGCTGCGAATTCAAATACCCCTTCTTATTTTTTACATAAACAGGCGCCAGGCACCAAGCATAACAGCAGCAGTACCAGTGCAGACACCCCTAAAGAAATCAAGTCAGCATCAATCAACAAATACAACCTTTGGAGAAGGAAACAAGGGAAATGGGAAATCCATACATTAGCCATTGCAGAGTCGAGAACTTAACAGCCTCAACCCGCTCTCTCAAACCAGCAACCTCCTGCTCAATCCGAGTCTCAGTCTCCTTAATTCGCATCTCCTGACCATTCGCTTCCTCGCGGATCCGACCCTTTTCGAGATTCAAATCCAACCGAACGGAAGCCTGTGTTCGACCGATCTCGTCCCGCAGGCGGGAATTCAACTTGGCCAGATCAGCGGCGATTTTCTCATGCGATGAGCGTGTGAGCTGTGCCTCGGTTGAATCGGCATTTAGGAGTTCGGAGCGCAGTTTGGCGAAGTCGACTTTCTGGGTATAGGTTGATCTTTCTGAGTCTGTGGAGTCAAAGAAGTGACGGCGTCAGTAACAAAAAGAAGAAGAATAAATTGGATTTGTAACCGCTTCGACTAACCTTCCCGGAGAACCATAGTGCGAGTCAAATTTTGAATAGATTCTTGGATGATATCATTCAACACCCGCATCATAGCGACGGCCTGTTCCTCACTAAATCCCTCGGCCTGCAGCCTCTTCACAAACTTCAGAGTATCAAAGTGGTGATCGCGCTGCCGGGCAGGGGTCGCATGGAAAGCGCGCTGAGCAGGTCGGTACGTTGCGACGTAGACGCCATTGTGACGGATGGGATTTCCGAGGGGTTCTGCGGATGAGGACGAGCGTTTCGCGAGAAGTCTGGAGGTATATCGGGAAACGGTAGGGGAAGAGTGAGGAGCGCGGATAGAGGTGGAAATGGCCCGAGAGGATCGGTAGGATGTGCTTAGAGAGTGTATTTGACGATTGAGAGGGCTCCAGCCTTGGAGATATTGTTGCCGTTGCCTTGTTGCTAGGACGGCATGGTGGGAGGAGGTGACGGAGGGTCGGGATGATGAACTATTCCAGGTAAGACGAGGGAGGATGCTCCGTGGCACCTCCGCGACGTGTTTTTGATGCGCCATATGGCCGGTGTGTGTATTGGAAGAAACTTGTATGGAGATCCAAGGATGTGATCAAGATTCAAGGTACTGGCAGGAGGAGAGAAATCGGATGACTAAAATGCGGGAAAGATCGACGTTGCCCGATGCGGCCCCGCAAACACCCGGGAAACTCTCATCTACACAAACACTAGTAGTAAACACTGCAGGGTACATGGATGGTTGTATTCATAGAATTAGATTCGTGTCAAGTATTCGCCATTAAAATCAGAGCAGATATCGTCCCGAATGAGCCGGGCTCTCACAATGCATACGCTATCGCAACTGCACGCTTTTCGTGTATCTTAGTCCTACTTCTCCGCATCGGTTTAAAGATCGAAGATCTCCTTAAGCTGCTTCATAGTATCATCGGGATCCACAACAGAGTGACCGATTGTTCGGGGATCCTCATAAATCTCGTGGTCGTTTCCTCCGACGAAACACTTGTCGCCGAAGAAGTGGATGTTCTTGTAATCGGCGCCGGAAAGCTCCTTCTCGGCCGCAACGTGCTGCAGGGAATAGGTCTTGTCCCAGCCGGCAGGGAAGACATCGAACGAGATTTGGCCGCCAATGGAGAAACTGTTGTGATCAGGGTGGGTTAGAATTTTGTGTCCATGTTCACAATCAATGCCAACATTTCGCCCGGGACTTAGACTTACGTGAGACCATAGTCGGGGAACTCCTTCTTGAGAGCAGCCACAAAATCCTTGCGAATGTTGTGTTGTAAATCATAGCTGGTTCAAGTCAGAAGTCAGTATCTCACTTCTCATGAATCAATCGGGAGAGATCAACATACGCCTCATACTCGTTCCGCTCCTCCACGCTAGCGTTACGGCCGATGGGGCTGACGTTGATCATGCCGTTGCGGAACTCAACAAAGGTACCGCGCTTCTTGGGCAGCTTCAGGTTGGAGATATACCGGAGGCAGAAGTCTGCCAGTTCCTGGTACTTCTCCTCTCCGAGCCATTGGATGAAGCTGTTGCTAGCGAGCGGCTTGCCCAGGCGGTAGGCGACCAGGCCGTTCTCGGGGAAGCAGAAGTCGAACAGGGTGGTGACATCGGTTGTTGCAGAGCCCAATTGCTCCTGTTGCTTGACGAAGTTGGAGCCACCGACCTGTTTCGGGTGTTAGAAAAGGTGAGAGGATGAGGGGAAAGTGGAGGCGAAGGTGGAGGAGGTGGAATGACGAACATAACCAATGGCGCACTTGTGACGAAGACGGGAGAGGAGCTCGAGCATCTCAGGCTTGACGGTCTGTATGCAAGGGAGAAATTAGTGACATTGAGCTTGAATAGGGAGCTTGAAGACACATACGCGCCGAGCCTTGGTGAGTGTCTCGTCGACATCGAACAGGACGATGGTGTCCTTGAGGGGACGGCTCTCCAATGGAGGGTAAACACCAGCAGCGGTAGTCATGTTGAATAGTATGACGGTGGAATTAGTAAATTAAGGTCAAAGAAGGAAAAAGTCAAGAGGAACAGCGGGGGATAAATATAGACTGGCGATGAGGGGCATTTGGCCGCAAGCGGTGAAGGAGTGGGGGGGATCGCAAGGTACTGAGTGGACTGAGTGGACTGAGTGGACTCTCCTAGTCAACTATCCGCGGTCCAGACAATGCCACCTGGTCGGATCAGACTGACTAGACTGGATGTTTACATTTATGGACCCGTTTACGAAATAAGATCTAATTGAACAGATCTCACATGGAAATTCTGATTCAGACATGTCGTTGACCAAGAACCCACCCCCCAACTGGGTTATAGCTACTACTGCAATATGTAGCACAGAAGAGCCCCAACTCTATTAGCCAGCCATACAGCGAGGTGAAGGCAGGAACTTACAGCGAATATTCACTAGTAACTTACCCTGGTTTTTGAACTTTTTGATTCCAGACTAGGAAAGCTGATGTTAGCTTCGGATCTAACTAGTAGTTTTGTTAGTGTACTTCTATTTATCAGGACCCGAGTGGAATTATACAGTACTGTTGTTTCATTTTGAACAAGATCGCTCAAGTAGCCATTCTATTCACTCTATGGCTTGCATGTAGGCAAGATGGAATTATGACGCTTCCGAAGATATTGCCTCGAGGTTCCCAGCAGAAGCAAGCCGCAGTTTTGCTGGAATAGAGCGTATGATGCGCCCACCATCACTCAAGCAACACTGCGCCAGGAACAGCACCCGACCAATGTATCTACTAACAGTGAGTTGATACAGTGCAATATACGGTAGCCTGGCCCAGGAAATTCATTGAACTTGCACATTCCTGTTGCCTTTCGTTCTATCTCATACTATCTATGGCCTAGAACTTATATTTTCCAATGTAGATTCCGGTTAGTTTTAACGTAGTCGTAGATCGTACATGACAATCCAGACAGCAATAGTACAATCGACCTTGGGGCAAATAACAGTTAGTCGCTATATTAAAGAATGCATCAGGATCCGATTTATCTACCAGAAAGAAGTATGCTAGGAGCTCAAACAAAAATGACAATGGAAGCCGACAAGTCGGGATAAGGCGCCCGTATGCTGCGAAAGTCGAAGCATTAGAGTTGGGGAAACCCATCTTCCGTCAAAATAACCAAGTCGTCGACAGATCTTCGTCCCAGCCTTTGAACATACCTACAGGCCTTCGCCTAACTTATCAAATATATCATAAAGTTTCGCATTGCACTACCTAATAACCTAGTAATCTGTATATCAGCCATCAGCTTTAATGACTGCTTTGACACGGCTAGGCATTGTACCAGCAAGGCTCTCAAGCATACCGATATCCAATTGCAGGGTGTGCGAGGTCTGCGAGGTTAGGAGGGTGGGGTTCCCAAATTTATGCACTCACAGTGGTCCTGCATGGCGGTCCTTCAGCCCTGATTCGGGCGAGGTACCTTGTAGCCGCGCTTCAACCACACCTCGAACTTCCTTGCTGACTTGCTCTTCCGAAATAACTTGAAACAAAACATCAATTTCTTGGCGTACCTCATGAATAATAACGAGGTGATTTTGATTGTGGGGGGTATTACCTTTCCATCTCATTAGAGCCTATTCAAAAAATTATGAAATAAGATATCACCCTGTGCTGCATGTTGTACGACCATGATCTCCATTGCTGATTGTGGAGCTGGAATTTGATGCGCCTCAGCCTGGTCAAGCTTATGCACGAAGATCATTTTCTCTGCGAACTTGTTACACCGCTTCATGAAACATGCATCCGGTAGCTCATCATTGACTACTTCTGAATGCCACGTAGCTGATAGTTCACTTTTAGCTTCGCCAATGTCACACAGATCATGCAGTTGTGTAACCTTTCACCCCTCACATCGCTGTACCTAGATGTAAGTGGAAAGGGGATGAAGTCTAGTTTTGAATAAGCAAAAGGTGGTGTGGCATATAAATACACGCCATTAGTCTCAACGTTCTATCTAAATATCCCATTCAGAAGAGCACAGACATTGTTCTCGGATATTACAGTTTCACCAGAGGCTTTGCTTTAGACAAAATGCAGTATCTCTTGCACGCACTTCTATTTTCAACATTTTCGTTTGAACAGGTACTCGCCGCTAAGAAAGATCCCCCCCTTGTTCCCATTGAAGACCCTTTCTATCTACCACCTGATCCCGATTGTCTACCATCTGAGGTCGATTGCTGGAAAAATTCAACCGGAGTGGTTCTAAGAAAACGTGAGGTCACCGTCGCCAACGTGGTTACCGGGGAAAGAGCCTCGCTAAGGCGTATCAACTACTATATTCTACCAAAGATGTGGACGAGAACCCAGACGCTTCAGTCACCACCGTCATTGTCCCGGTTATACCAAATAAAAAGCGGGTCATCTCGCTTCAGAGTGCATATGATTCCCCGGACACCAATTGCGCCCCCTCGTATGGACTTCAACACAAGGCTCAGGGCTGGGGTAAAACATGGAATCGGCTCAATCTTGCTTTCTTGGCACCCTATTTGCAAACGGGCCCGATTTTGAACATTCCAGATTATGAGGGCTCCAATGCGGCCTTTGCTGTGGGCCCGCAAAGTGGCTATCAGACCTTGGATTCTATCAAGGCGGCTTTGTCTTTGGAGTCAAGAGAGTATACTGGAATCAAAGAAGACGCAAAGGTAATCATGTTCGGATATTCCGGCGGCGCCCTAGCGACCGAGTGGGCCACTGAAATGAAAGCATGGTACGCAGAGACCCTGCCGATTGTTGGTGCCGTGATTGGTGGTGCGCCTACGAACATTACCAGCACCTACCACAATGTCAACGGTGGAGATCTGGCTACGCTCAATGTCTGGGCCATGCTAGGGATCATGAATGCCTATCCCACTATGAATCAATGGATGCGCGATGATCTACGAACAGATGCCTATCAAGACAAAAGATTTCTCTTGGAGCTCACATCATGCTCCTATGCGAGCCCGGCGCTTGCCAAAGGCCTGAATTTCGCGAATATCTCCGCAATGTTCAAACAGGGTGACAAATTCTTGACCCAGTTCAGCAATATTTTGAATGAGATCGGCGTCATGGGAAAAAATATTACCGAGCAAAATAATCCGGGATACCCTCTTGCTTTCTTTTATGGAACAGAGGATGAGGTTACTTACCCGCTTGAAGATACCCAAAAGCTGATCGACAAGTGGAAAACAGTGGGTAAAGTGGAAAAGGTCTCGGATTGGCCTCTGAAAGGTGAAACCCATGCAAGTGCTTTGTTAAAGGGGGTGGGAAAAGCATGGTTGTGGATGAACTGCCAATTCGACGAGGCTGAGAAAAGCAAGGAGATGCATTGCGACAAAGAACTGCCCGAAGATGCAACGGACTATCAAAATCAAATGTCTTTCTCGCCCAGTCAGGAGCTACGATGAGAAAAAGTTCAATACTGTCAATTCTGCTTTTCACTTGTCGACTCTCGTGGATATTTACTGTATCAAGAGCCTAGCAGGTTGATAGATCAGATCTTTGCCATGGTAGCCGTGAAAACGGCCATACATCGAAATCAAATTGAAGTATACAAGAATGATACATTGTGTGGGCCACACTCACCGGAAAATGACTAAAGACGAGTTTCCAGCGTTGTTTTCACAGGACCTCATATCTTAGTTGTAAAAAATACCCTTGGCACGCTTTTCCGTTAGTAAGGACCCGAAGTCACCAAGACTCAAATCAACATTTTTTTTTTCAATGGAAATATATCTTTTTTTAGTCCGAGTACAATGTTGATCCTCATTTTACACGCAGTTGTCTAGAAAAGCCTCTTTCGGGCAGATTATGTCATGTGGCGGTGACCGAGGACAGGAGAACCCGAGAACTTTAACACTTGACTAACACATCCCAGTCGGTATGACGGGACAATGAGCTTTCAAAATATAGGCTTCCGGGTCGTGTTGAATTTTTGAATGCCCGGGATAGAGCCATGGTCAACGTTCCGGGCCGTAGCAAGGGGTGCTCGACTTGCCGCCAACGCAGGCTGAAAGTGAGATACTAAGCCCACATTTCTATGCTCCAGGCTGATAATGTTTGACAGTGTGATGAGTCTATGCCAGAATGTGTCCAATGTGTGAAGAAGGGACTTCGGTGTCCTGGACCCCGTACGGAGGCTATTTTCATTCACGCTTTACCCAGCCAACAGCAAGCGATCTGTTCAATGAATGGTATACCTGGAAACGCTTCTCACCAGAAAGCTATGACTATACCCTACCAGAGGGTCGATGACAGACTTGTGCATTCATTGCTACCATCTACTTACCAGCCCAGCCGTGCCGAAATGTTCGACCAACTGTTCGTATCCCATTTCATCGAGTCATTTGCCTTCAAAGAACCCAGTTCAGGGAAGAAATTTCCTACCTGGCTCGACAATTTAGCCGAACTCATCGTCTCACCTACCCACGACGTAGTGAAATACTCTATACGTGCGTCTTCGGCGTTTTTTTACGGCTTCTTGGCACAAGACATTGCGATACAAACAGAAGCTTCGAGGTGGTATTTGAAAGCTCTGCAGGGTCTTCAGTATCATCTCTCGCAGCAGCTTCCATCATCTTTTAGTGGAGACATGATTTGTACTGCTGTAATGCTCACTCACTTCGAGAGCCTGGCTGGCACGGCTCCGGGAGCTTGGTTTCAGCATGTACGGGGCGCATCAATGATGATTGCGAGGGGAGGCCCCGAGAGTTGTTGCCAGGGGTTTCTACATAATATATTTCGTCACTTGAGACTATTGACGGTGCGCTGGCCTGTCTTGTTTGGGAGAAACCCGCCATTCGCAGGAACATTTTGCTTACTTTTGTCTAAAATCACAGGCGATTTCATCTTTTTCCAGAAACGAACAACATCCTTTTTCCACAATTCAATGGATGACTGTACCTTTCGAGAAGCTTCCAAAGGGACCCTTCGACGAACTTGTGGACGTTTATTTCTCCCTCCTGCCTTGTCTGGAAATTGCAGACAAGATGATCACTTCCACGGGCGAGGATTTTCATTCTTTCAAAACACAGTTAAGCACTATGGTACATCGAATCATAACGCATCTACACATGTGGTGGTCTCAATGTGTTTCTCGGACGGATCTCAACCAAGCAAACCCAGAGCCAAACATTGCCGTCAGCAAAGAAAAGCATATCCACACGCCTAGCGATCCTTGCGATGTCCCCCTATTACCTCATAGGGACATGCCAAGTACCGCTTTGAGTGCCCTTTTCGATGCAGCGAACGTCATTGTCTTCCGACTTCTCTCCGTGGTCTCATCGTCGGCCCATCTATACGAATATCGTGTCCAACAGCATGTCCAATCGATATTTTCAGCCTTAGAATTCGTCACCAATATGCCACCCGCTGTATCTCAGCGTGGATATATCATGGTGGCCCTCCCTTTGCGAATCATACGAATATGGGCACCGTGCTACGGCAAAGACATAGGGGATGATGCCGCAAGCCCGCTAGCGGACAAGTGGGCTCAGGATTTGACATCTTCCGCGGTGCCTGCAGAATTTTTCGCACATGTTGCTGCCTATATTCATGATCACCGGAAATGAAGATATCCTGGATGCCTTGCCAAAGTCATAATGTGATTCGAAGTTTCGCATTGTATTACGTCTGGATGGTCGGGATAATATTAGTCCGATGAATAGGCATGTCATGCGCTAATCTATATCAGGCTAGCTTTGCGGGAGGTTGAATATCCCGGCCTGTCATTGGCTAATATCCATCACTGCAATCCACCGACCTGAGGTATGCAGCGTTGGCTACGCCCCTCTTAAACATATATATTCGCTAGACTGTGCCCTCCAAGTCCCGCTTTTTACTACCTCACGTCTTTTCCAAGGTTTTTCCCGGTGACATCAACAAACCTCAAGCAGGCCCATAACTATGAAGATCGTCATCATCGGTGCGGGCATCTCCGGATGCGCAATGTATCTGGAACTCCAGAAGCACCTTCCAAAGCCCGAAGGATCAGAAAGCCATGAAATCGTCATCTACGAAGCATACAACACAGAAGCGGACACAACAGCAGAGCAACGCCCAGATGGACCCACGCTTTCCGCTACACTCCTGGTAGGAGGCGGTTTGGGCATTGCGCCGAATGGCCTGCGTGTTCTCCAACGACTGGATGATAGTCTTCTCCGGGATGTGGTACGCGGAGGCTACGCGGTGTCTTCATCTAACCTGAAGAGTAAAAACGGATCACTTCTCATGAGTCTCAAGCCTAGTGTTTCCAAGACGGCCGATTCGCCACCAATGAATATGGTGATGTCGAGTCGGGATTCGTTTTGGAGATGTCTGCGTGCACGGGTTCCTGATGATTGCATCATCAACAAACGGATCGAGAAGGTTGTTGCCCGGCCAGATGGGAGAAATCAGATTTTCTTCGTGGATTCCAGTCCTTCCATCGAAGCGGATCTTGTAATCGGTGCAGATGGTGTCCGAAGTACTGCAAAACGGGCGCTATTTTCCGATGCCAAGGAAGATCCTTATCCGCCTCACTACGAGTAAGTGACTACACTCCCCCACCCCTGTTTGCCGACATAGCTTTTGGGTATTGTTCTAACAATCTCAAAAGGGGCCTTGTCGGCGTTGGAGGATTTATTCCTGCCTCCGAAGTTAAAGACGTCGTCGAAAAGGGCTCCGTCAACTTCATATTTGGTGGTAATGGATTCTTCGGCTACTTCTTCTCAAACAGCGCCGAAGATGCCCCAAATCGCGACTCGCCATACCATCTTTGTGAACCAGGAGATTTGCTTTCATGGTGGTCGACCTACGAAATCGAAGAATGCCCCGATCACAAGAATATCGATAAGGCGGATGTGACAAGGCAGCTACAAAAGAGGCACGCGGAGTGGAAGGATCCAGCCATCCAGAAGATCTTGGCCTCCCTCGAAGTCGAGAGAATGTATCCCACGTGGACCAGTCCTTCCATTCCAACCTGGGAACGAGATGGCGTCATTCTAGTAGGCGATGCAGCTCACGCTTTGCCTCCGAGCTCGGGACAGGGCTCGTCGCAGGCACTTGAGGATGTGGAGGCTCTCGCACTCATCCTAGCGCATCATCTGCGTAATGAACCCAAGACCGGGGATTCAACATCGTCGGGAGCTTACAAGACGATATTCAAAGTAGCGGCAGGACAGTATATGGCTATTCGTCAGCCACATGTGAGCAAAATCCTGCAAGCTGCACAAGAAAACCAAAATAAGAAACGGGAGATGGGCATCATTCAGGAATACATGATGTATGGCTTTCTGAAGCTCGTGGGTATGTAATTTCTTTGCTATGGATTTATTGGATTGGAGGCTGACTTTGATATAGGATTCTTCCCCAGTCTAATGACAACGAAGTTACGATCGGTTGTGGAATACAATGTGGAGGATCATGTCGCCGAGATTCTGGCGAAGGGAAACTGAGGTAGTTGAGATGTACCCATAGGGTGCTTCCCAGCTGCTGCCCAGTTGCTACCTGATTGCCCTCTCCTTCTTCTTCTCCTCTCTTCAAGCTTATCATATTCGTCATCTGCTACTACGTATTGCTTGGTATTTCCATATATTGATCTTCGTCATACACGAGCTCCGCACGGTAATCTCAAATTGGAAAGTTTCCCTAAGTTAATGTCATCGATTAGTTAGTGGTTGCTACGTGTCTGTTGATGAGGAGCGTGTCTTCCAATGAATGCTCAATATTGACGAAAGCTAGATAGCTTCCTCGTGCTCAGTGTATAACCCTGGCATTGGAAAGGTAATCTCCTGGGAGCGCATTGTACCTTAAGACCCGGAATTTACACAGAGATCATGAATTGAGCAGAAAGGTTGCCTTCAAAGACACGCTTCCTCTACGCAATGGTCGACCCTTGGAGCCCCCGGGCGCAGAATCTGCCGGCACGGCTGATAAGCACACGCCTTTGAACATTCAGCACTCCGAAAAGAGATAGAATAGAGCTAATCTTGGAAGTTTGATTAAGTAATATATTAATGGCCGCTTGGTAAAATGCCCTTCACATATCTTATCCCACCGGCATCCCACTAGTAGCGGTAGGGGTTGAGGCTTCCTCCGGTGCGTGCACTTACGGAATGATGAAAGACGGGCGATGTACGCTAAAGATTGGGCCAAGTGTTGGTGGGGAGCTATGATTACGAGCTAGTATATTACCGATTAATTATGCCGCTAACAGGGCAACGCAGATCGAGGTTGACAGTCTATCTTTTGGCCTTAAAATGGCTCTCTACCCGAGTGTCTGATGGTTTTCAGGGTTGCCAAATCACTCCCCCGCTTTCACTCATTTACTAACACATAATGTCGAACTCCTATCAACTCAATAACCTCCCACCGGAGCTCTGGTATACCATAGTATTATTTCTACCTAATCGCGACATAAAAAGTCTCCGCCTTGTCTCGAAACAATTGTGTGACTCAGTGGAGCTCAGACTGCAGAGAGTGTTTTTGTCGGCGAACCCGTTGAACATCAAGGTCTTTCGCGCCATCGCAGATCATGAAAAGTTTCGACATCAGATTTCAGAAATTATTTGGGACGACGCGCGATTTGCCAGAGGCCCCCCTGCTTCAGACGTTATCCACCCCGAAGAAGGATTATACTTGCCAGTCACTGATGCAAGCGATGAAGAGACGGAGGAGGCGTTTAGGCTGAGACGGCATGATGATTCTGAAGCCGAAGGGCCACCGAACTGGGAGGTTTACGAAAGTGACATCGACTACGGGGACCCAGACGACGAGTTTGCAGATCCTGCCCTTCAACTGAGAGCAAGTACAAATTTTAAGGGGCAAAATTGTCCACTTTGGTTCAAAGCTGCATGTGTGAATAACATTGAGAATCTTTTCATGCGACGAGAGAAGCTCAATAGCACCGAGGCCTGGCATCAAAAATTTAAAAATGAGAAGAAGCTGGGCAAGGCCGCACTCTCGATGAGCGAGTCGTGGGAAATCTATCGCGCCTTACTCCGCGAACAGGCCGACGTTCTAGCTGGAAACTATGACAGAGAGGCGTTTCTTTACGGGCTTGAACGGTTTCCGGCGCTGAAAAAGGTCACAGTCACCCCCGCCGCTCATGGCGTCCCGTTTGCCCCGTTATACCATAGTCCTATGATTCGATCATTTCCAGAAGGATTTAACTATCCTATCCCTCGTGGATGGCCAACCTCAACTACCGAACAACCAGAGGATGAGATAGCATTCCCCTGGCAAAGAGTTGATGAAAGGCACAAAGAGAAGTGGCGCGCATTCCGCATTATAACGCGCGCCCTTGCACATCAGAAAAGCAATGTGGTAGAATTGATTCTAGAAGCTCGACAGCTTTACACAGGAATTAACTGCACGATATTTGATGAACCTTGCGAGGAGCACGAAAATCTTCTGACAATTTTGACAAAACCGGGATTTTGTCGCTTAGACCTTTCTTTGATGTTTGGTGGAAGAGGATCAGATGCCGAGAACTGGAAGACATTCCGCGATGGAAGGCTTCGCGAAACACTCAGCGTAATGGAAGATCTGGAGGAATTTAACTTCTACACTTCGGGACTCGATCGCTGTTATGAGTATGGAGACCCTCCGATTGGAATTAACCCCGTGTCGCTTGAGCGGATATTTCCTATCGAAAAGTGGTCTAAGCTTCGTCATTTTGCATTATCGCGTTTCATAGTCAGGCAGACTGATCTCGTCACATTCCTTTCGAAATTACCAGAGACAGTCCAGTCAGTGGAATTGAGCTTTCTTGTATTCATTGACCACGGATCATCTTGGCATTATTTCCTTGAGGAGATGCGCTTAAAGATGCGGGAAAAAACTCTCTGGCCTGGTCGTCGACCTAGTGTTGTTATCGGCAATGAGCGATATTATCTTCTCCTTGGAGGAGCTACCTGGATCGAAAAGGCAGTGGACAAGTTTTTGTACGAGGACGGGGAAAATCCATTCCATGAGCCTCCTCGAGAGAGAGTCAAAAAAGAGGTTGGCAGAGTCAAGGATGCGTTTGATCCTTATTTTTGATATTTCTGTTATGCCAAATTACGCATCATCTGGGCACAGAAGTGAAGGAAATAGTTTCGAGAAGAGAAGAAATATAAAAATACTGCCGTACGACTGTTATTTTAGAGTTGCTGTTCTACTCTAACCTTAGTTTATTAAGTATTGAATCAGCAGGGAGAGACCTAGGAAAAGTTCTTGGTGGGAGACATTGGACTGCTAGGCGAGGAATTTGTCATTGCTGGACTTCTGTGCAGTAATTTCACAATATTTTCGAATGGAAAGAGGCCCATGAATTCTCAACCACTACAAAAGAATTAATCGCGGAGTTACCGTCCTCTTGAGACCCTTGGCTCATTATGATTCCATATCGCAATACAGTGCTCTGAGAGCCTGCATCACATTCTCTCCTACATCTTATCCCCTCAGCAACTACGCTACTTAGTTCGTCCCTTTCATGCAAATACATCATGCTAGATGCCCAAAAATCAACATTAGCTTGAGCTAGGTGTTGAGATGGCCACACAATAGGATATACTAGTCGCTACAGTGCAAGGATAGTTGTAAGAGGCCGATGTAGGGGTCAGGCTAGCACTCGGGGTTGAGCCTGATATCTTCGTGACACTTAGAATAAGCGGCTTGCTGGAAGAGCTATTCTGCGTGTCGTTTTTAGCCATGGATGGATTCTATAGGATAAACTCCTGGTAGGTCATATTGCCCCTGTGGATTTGAACAGCAAAGCTAAAGCTCAGGACAAATCGACCGGGGGTATTTAAAACAAGATCCTTTCCAGTCGCATCCATTGACCATATTTTACACCGAAGCTTCACCGATCGCAAACTTACACTTTGACTGATATATAGGCAAGCTGTTGAATTAAGGCTCAGCCGATCATCCAAACGGCTCAATAAGCCACGCTTTTACATATAGTCAAACAGTGCCAGCTTTGCAAGACGAATATATACTACAGGTACCATAGTACAATAGTCCCGTTGCATCACACATCGCCTTTTCTCCACCGGGCTAGCCTATAATCGTAATATAGCGGTGTGAGGAGCCTCATCTCGGCTGACCGGGTACAGCACTTATATTCAGCACTGTTATTCGTGTATGTCCTCACTAAGGAGGTCGATTTGATTAGTTACAGATTAAACTACCATAACATACCACTGAAGTAATAGCGTTACAATATCAGAGCTAGAATACGGCAGACTGCTGCACACCGGGCCCCCCCTTTACATCTCTATAAATTCTCCCAAGCTGCTCAGGCTATCTATACAAAACACTCTTGTATTACCATCCCTATACCATAGCACCAATCTCCCGCAAGCAACGCCAGCCGCAAACAGATTCAGAGAAAACTAGTCTGCTGGGCCAAAATAGCCTCGATCAGCCCTCACAGAAAAAGCAGAAAATATCTCACACTCAGGCTAGAACAACGGCCGTTAAGGACGACCACGTTGTAGAAAGCCACATTGGTCCATTGAGCCGCACTCGTATCACCCTTCGCCTTCGGCACAGACAGCATCAGCCGTTAGAGGGTACAGAGAGGACCATATTCAGTGTCTCAAAACTTCAATACTCGCGCCTTGGGACGATAGACCAGGACAACGCCTTTAGGATAGAAGCCATCCGCCAGGACTAGCTGCGAAGACTGCGTCCTAGGCCAACGCGTACCGCGTATAGAGTCAAGGCAAACTTAGACTGAATGCAAGAATAGGATCAGAATAGGGATAATTAGGCATGATTTTTGAAACTATATAATGTGTACTTTGTATCGAAGCCACAGGGCATGTCTTCCATATACAAAGTCTCCACAACAGCCTTTTCCCGAACACCCCACCCGGCGGACAAAATCCGGTGTATATAGGTACATATTGCAGTGGTGCATGGCCAGGCCAATCGATAGTAGGCGCTATGGTCTTGGCAGGGGGGCCAGGAAAGAGTTTCTCTGTGTTATTGGCCTAGACGATTTCGAGAATCACACTACTCCGTACTCGTACAGCTGTTCTATTTAACAGGCTCTCGCCTCGCCCCTCCGGCTCCCAATCTAGTTCCCCGGAGCATTTTTGGCCGTCTAATTATTTCTTATGCCTTGAATTCCTCACCCAACACAATTGGCTACTCTATCGCCACCCAAAGCCATGCCAGTCACTCGATCGGCTACGCGTGCCGCAGAACTTGAAAGCGAGAAATCGAATATTGCCAAGCCTACTGCCAAAGAGACACAAGCTACCACCAAGTCAAGCACCTCAGCCACTCTAGGGAAATCAGGCAACAAGGGAAAAACAGCCAAGCACAGGGAACCTAGTTCAGATTCTGAATATGAGGATCAACCTCAGGAACGCAGCTTTCTCGAATGGATATCTCTTAAAGACTTGCCTAGTGGTGGAGATGTTATCCCCAACAGCGATGAAGTTTTCTCTATCTTACAAGAGATGCAAAAACTGAAAGGATGTACGAGTATTCATCGGGGGCGTCCATACGAGCTAAGTGATATTGAATGGTTGATGATAGGTAAGTGATCTATTAAGATAATGAACCTAATATTATACAAACCTTACAATATCTAATCTATCCAATAGAGTGGGATGATGAAAAATACAGGAAAAGGTTTCTTAAATCAAAGCTATTCTTAAAATTTGAGAAAGCTCTTGAACCTCGTTTATACAGCAAAGAAATCATTCGGTCAACCAACAAAAACTTTACTCCGATTATAACTGGTGAAAATCCTGTCGACTGTAAACAAAGACTCTATGAACTCTTAACAGTTTACTTTCCGGCAGATATAGAGAAATGCTCTATCTGTCCAGAACTACCTTACTGGTACCATACAGATGAGGAGTGGGCCTATAAGCCCTATCCCCTGATCGGATTTGAAGGTGGACGGTCTTTTTGGATGGAGGAAAATTCCGAGTATCAAGGAGCGCCTGCTAAACGTTTGGTGTACTTCCTCGAATTTGTCGATAAAGAGGCGGAGCAAAACTATAAAGAGAAGGTGAAGTGGTGGGGCAAACCTGTCATTCGTAATGGCAAGCCAAATCCTAATGTCATGGTGAACTTCTTTCACCAGTTGGAAAAGCTCGGAATGATCGGGTACGATTCATTGCATGTTCTCTTCGTGGAAGTTCTGCACTATGTACCGGAACAGTATGTCCATGTACCGCCATCCCGTTCAAGTTACACAGCGGACAAAGAAGTGTTACGCGAAAGGTACCGAAACTACACAGCGGAAAATCAAGAGATATACGAAAGGTGGGATTATGAATGTCTAATGCAGCTTCCAAGAGACTCAGATCCAGATTTATAGAGGAGAGCTAGTGCTAGGAAACCTTTCAAGGAGAGGACTTGGGAGAGAAAAGGATTGAAAATATGAAGGAATGGAAACTTTCGTACAAAGATGAATGAAATGTCGGGATACAACTTTAAAAAACATCAATCACCTCACATATTCCTCCTGATATGAAGTTATCTATACCTACAAGCCTAAATAGGACTAACTGAAATTCCAAGTCCGATCAATCGCAGCATTCTGCTTAGTATATTGACTGCTTCTCCCCAGTACACTATTTACTAACTAAAACTAACTAATATATCCCGCAAAATTGAACTATACAGCCATCAAAAGAGTCCAATACAGCCCAACATCTCAACGCCAAAAGAATCCCACATCCTCAGACCTCTATACCCCCATACTACTCTGAAAGACCTTCGCAGCAAGCTCACTCAACAACCGACTCCGATCAGAATTCGGCAACTCCAAAAAAACCTCATAAACACTCTTCCCCTTCGCATCACGCACAGCACCGAGTCGATTCCCCGCAACAGCACCCGCCAACGCCCCTGGCAAATTGCCCACAATAAATCCGATCGCACCACCACTAACACCTCCAACGACAGCCCAAAATTTAGACGTTGGCCGAGTCCGTCCATCGTCGCCTCCTTCACCCATTCCTTCCTCGCGCATCATTTCTTCAAATACGGTGCCGAACTGATCGGCTGAGCGTGTTTCGCGCTCGCCGAAACCGAAATTGGACCATGGGAAACCGCCCGGTGGAGGGGGTGGTGTTTCGTCGTTGACTTCTTCGTCGGCGGATTCGTAGGCGCGTGCTGTGTCGTAGTCTCGGCGGCGGGTTGGGTCTGAGAGGGTGTAGTATGCTTCGTTGATTTCTTGGAATTTTTTCGTGCGTTGGTTGCGTTCTGGGGAGTCGGAGGGGACGCGGTCTGGGTGGCTTTTTAGGGATTCCCTGGAGTGTAGATGGGTGGTGGTTAGTTTCCGATTCTGGTTCTGGATCGTATGGCTTGTCGCATGGTCCAGTAGTTACCATGCGACTGGGAGTAGGTAGTAGGTGAATGAAGCAAATAACCGCTCGCAGTTTCGTCGGGAAAAACTAACCTCTTATACGCAGTGCGAATCTGTTGCGGGGACGCATCCTGGGATACGCCGAGGATCTTGTCTGCGGTCAAGTTAGTCGTGGCTCGTCTCGTCGGGCTGACGTGCGAATGGAATGGAAGCAAGCATACAGTAGTCAGGTTGGCCTGAAGAGCAGACATGGTTAGCGCTATATCGTGAGAGAATGATATCTGCAAGGAAGCTGCGGGGACTTACTGGGCATGGTGATTTTGAGAAGAGTGGAGGAAAAGGGTTGAAATCCAGATCTAGTCAGGGCCAGGTATATGTAAATCATCCACCAAGCCAGTGACGTCGACGGGACCCATGCATGTGAAACCAGGCGTTAAGGCATTAAGGCCACAAGGCAGAAAGCTTTCGTATCATTTATGCCTCAGGAATCGGGCGACAAGGCCGTAAGGCACGACAAATGTCAAAATGCAGGTCAGTGAGGCCCCCCCTTTGCGTTTCGTAGGGTCCTGCTGGCCTAAGATCTGATTAGAATTACCTTACTTGGATGCTTACAAGTTACTAATACCAGCGACCATGATTCATGAATGTCCTGGAAGATGGGCACAGTCAAGTTTTCTTCGCTGAACTATGTATTACCTGCAAAGAGAAGTCTTCCTGATCACAACTCGGAATCAGCTACAAACCCAAGCTGGCAGTGCTACAAATTAATTAAAACTAAACTCGACACCGAAACAGTTTAATTTTGCAATTCATCATCGTATTATTATCAGAAGCTATTCTCCATCTCATAATGTACAAGCCAAGCCAACAAGCCATGCCATATGGAGTAATGAAAAGGAGTAAGAATAGTGTATATGAACAAGAACACCAGAAATGATCGAAAGGAAATGGGCAAAATAAACGCAGTAGAGCCAGGTATCAAAAGGTGAAAAATGAAAAGAAGAAGATATCAAAAGAAGTGAAGAAACGAAAAGAAAAAATCATCAAAAAACCTCTCGCGTGAAGATGAAAACCCATCATGACGTTGAAACGAACGCAAAGGCAAAACAAAAAAATCCAAGATCTCGATCGATATATCAAACCACCCCAACCATTATGTCAAGATCAAGTTAAGATCTCATCTCAACTCAAACCCTCTGCCCCCGATAAAAACTCGGATTAGGACCAACCGAGTCCGTAGTCAAGGGCTCCTCAATCGAAGCCGTCGCAGGCGCAGACTCTCCGTCAGAGTCACTCCCATTACCATAACGATACTTTTCACCCTGAGGCAAATGTCTGCGCGTCCGGACAGAAGGCAACAAATCAATCACGAAAGAAAGGACATAACCCGTGAAAACAAACGCAATGACCCATTCCAGAACAGCGCCGATGTTCTTCTTATGCGTGGTTTTCGCATTCATGCACACGCCGAATCCGATTGCCAGACCGACTTCGATGATGATGAAGGCTAGTTTGATTATGAAACTTGCGAGTAGGATGCGGTGTTGCGAGCGGTAGAAGATTCCGATCCAGAGGTATTCGGCGCAGATTAGGATTGCGCTGATGATGTAGCCGACACTGAGAGAGGGAGTGGTGTTAGTCTCTTTTGAAAAGCCCTTCACAATTTATCAACATTGGGGGAAAAACTCACAGGAACAGAGCCAAAAATCCATCATGAAGCTTCGGATGACGAAGGGTGTCGAAAATAGACAGAAGAATTAATCCCGCTGCACCCGCGACCGCGAAAAAGAGCGAGGAAATAGCGCACGCCTTGTCGAATTTGCCCTTATTCGGAGCGAGTTGACCAGCATGACGCAACCAGCGCTCTGAGAGGAAGGCCAGATCCAAGAAGACGACTGTGACGACACTTCCGGCGACGAATAGTGGTTTTAGGCCTTGGGCACCGATGTCGGAGATATATCTAAAAGTCAAGTTTTGTCAGTTTAAATCCTGAGAGTTAAGTCGAGTCGGGAGTCGAGAGTTAAGTGTCAAGTCCCAGGGAGATCACGTACGCAACACTCTGATCCATACTAGCATAGTGCGGTTCACCCTGAACAACCCAAGTGACCAACATGGCAATTAACATCGCTATGGAATAATCAGTTCGTGTTCAGTTCGGGTTTCTTCGTGTCGGAGTCGCATCGCGATCGCGACAAAGCGTTAAGATGAAAGGAGGGAGTTCACTTACCAACCCACATGCACGCCGATATCAACGGAAACACCCAAAATGAAACGATCCACATCTTTGCGGGTGTGGTATATGTTCTGCCTAAAAGGTCTTTTTTTTGCAGCGCGTCGCGAGGACGAGACGATATTTTTATGACCTTAAAAAGAAATAGGACCGGGGCTTAATAATAATAAAGGTAGATCCACGGAGTCGGCAGTCTCGGCAGTCTCGGCGTGGCGGCTGTGCAGTGCAAACTATTGCGTTGATTAGTACACGTACGGACTTAACGGAGTCAATCTTTCCAGACTTCCGAACGATCGGATGCGATCAATAGATGGGATAGATGGGGGCGGATTACACAGCCGGTGACCGTGAAAAAGGGCAGGGCAGGGCAAGGCAGGGCAAGGCAGGGCGAGCGCAATAACGTACCTAAACCGAATCGAGGGGAAATGTTTATACAACTGTTGACAAAAATGTGTCTAATACAGTATAGCAAGCATTCCAAGATCGACCGTAACGGGATGGAAGGCCAGTGGCGGAACGGGCGCAAACTTTTTCTTTTTCCAGTAAAATAAGATTTGGGCGCGATGTGGTTTGTTGTGGCGTGGCGCTTGAGGAATCCGGGACTGGCGCAGATCAATCTTTGGTTTTGGTGGTCAGGTACGCGGAAGGCGTCGGAATGGAGACTTGGGTGGATGGGGGTGAAAAGGTCTTCGAGTCGAGGAGGGGAGGAGTTTTGGGAATTTCTCGAGGGGATTGCGAGGGGGGCAGAGACTGGGAATAAGTCTGCAAGGAGAGGGTGGAAGTTGGACCTGGGAAATGGGAGTATAAAAAGGATAAAAGGAAAGGAGGAAGGAAACCCGGGGCGACGTCATTCTCTGCCAAGGCATGATTTTGACTAGTGAGAATAGTGCTGGGAACAAGGACTGGGAATAGCGTAATGGCCCCACTGTGATTACACTGATTTGTGAGGAAATGCTGCTGTCTATTGCGCTGCCATCATGAGGGGCCATTTACTATCTATAGTATCCAGTATTCGTATGTATACTGTGGCTGGGGTTGGGGCCTGCTGATCGAATGCTGATGCTTATTCAGAGATTATCATATGTATGCTGGATCTGATCTGATCTATTCACGGGAATGGGAAAGTCTACCGAACGCCGTTTCGTAGCATGTTGCTGCTAGCCAGAACGAAATGAAATGAAAAAAAAGAAGCAAAGAAAAAAAAGAGCCCATCAAATCCAAAGAACACATTAGACGGACACCTTTAAGAGAGACACACAAACTTTTCCTTTTCCTTTTCCTTTTGTTGCCACCATCACATCATCACCACCATCACCGACTTCTCCGCGATGAGGGCCGACTACTCTGTCCAGCCCGACTGCTGCCTCCAGAAACTTTGCGTCGCTGGAAACCGGCCGGGCTAGGGCGTCCCGCAACTTTCACCACTTGAACTTCATCATCATCCTCCTCTTCCTCACTGCTACTGCTTTCCGTCTCTTCCTCCTCATCACTAGAGATCTCCGATTCCGAATCCGGATCATGCCGACCGCCCCGTGGGTGCGGTGCACCCATAGATTGTCTGGCATTATCCGGAGACTGTCGATACTGAGCTTGGATCGGCGACATCCCCGCTGGGTAGCTCATCCGACTCTGTGGCCCAACTCGAAGATCGCTAGGTAGCTGCGGTTGGTACGGCGGCGGTTCCGATGAGTAGGGATTCATCTGCGTGGGGTGATAAGATGGCGGCGCCCACGAGGGATCATCAGGAAGAGGCCGTGAGTAGGCAGGCTGCTGCGGCGGGAGTGGGGGCGGCGGTTGCTGCTGATGCGGCTGCTGATGCACCGGCATCGACAGCGGACGACCATTCGGAGGAAATCGTTCCGTATAAGGGGGATACGTCGGCCGAAGAGGTGAATTCGATTGTTGCGGGCGCAAGGACTGGGTGGTTGGTGTTCGGGGACGATGAGCAGAAGACGAGCTCGATGGTCGACCAGGAGCTGCACCGAATCCTTGACCCCACCCCGGTTCGATCGGCGTATATGGATAAGGTGCCATTGTCTGCTCGGATCCCCTGGGCTTCTTACTTTTGCGCTTCGACGGCGGCTTGATCGTCATTGAAGCACCGGCTTGTCTGACACGCCGAGCACCGCTCGGGTCCTCTGTTTGTTGACGCTTGCGCTCCAGGGCATCAAGCTCGGGCTGGGATAAACGAACATTCTTCTTGCCCAGCATTTGCGCGCGACGAATCCGCTCCAATGCTGTTTCCACCAGTTGATCCTCCTTATCCCGCATGGCAAGCTGAACTGCATATGCCACCGTGCTGTCCCCATGGCCGTATAAATCGTAATCACCCCCATCCACCGATGCGGTCTCGTTCTCCTCGATCAAGTCGTAGTTGTTGATGGTTCGCCTGCGAGGGCCTCGTCCTCCGTACTCTATTTGTCGCATGTATCCACGGTCATCGCGCATGGGCTGCCGTCCGTAGTGATCCTCCACATAATGATCCTCCTCTTCGCTTTCGATTTCCTCCACCCGTGTATCCTCCCCCCAAAAGGTTCCTCCTCCTCCTCCTCTATTGTGTCTCCCTGGTCGTGCCGCCGGTGGTCTTCCCCATCGGGGCATGTTATTAGGAGCTCGCGGCCGACCACCTAGACCGCCTCCTCGGAAAAAGCATTCTCGATTGGTTTATCCATAAAAGCGGCGTGGCCGAAGACGGTCACGCCAGTGGCGCCGATCAGCCAGAGGACTGTGGCGATGGGAGAGGCCCAGAGACCCAGAGGGACACCAATGCACAACAGCGCGGTGTAGAGTTGCGAGGTGTTGAAGCGACGGAAACCGACATCCAGATCGCGACCGTCGAGCTTGCCAATCCCGTACAGACTGGCAGTCACGAAGATGATGACAAACAGAAGGAGCGGGTTGGTCAGCAAGCTGTAGATGCTGAGCATGACGAAGACGACGGCATAGTTGCTGGAGAAGTAGGACAGGTTGTAGTTGACACGACTCTGGACCTCACCGAAGTTGGCGGGCTTGGAGACGCGCTTGATGTCGAGGAATTCGGAGACGGGGCGCAGGTTGGCAAATCGCGTGCTCAGGGATTGGGCGCGGATGTTGTTGAAACGATCGCCGAAGCGCGAGGTGATCGCGTCAATGGGAATGGAGATGGCCATGGCGATTGGTGATGTAGGTGGGGTAGAAGGGGGGATTGAGTGAGAGTGGGAGTGGGTGAGGAAGTAAGAAAGTAGGGGGAGAAAAGGGTAGAAGTGAAGGTGGAAGTGGAAGGTGGCTAATCACAAAGGGAGTCACTTTTTTTTGGGCCTTCCCCCTTTCGACTAGTCAACAGTCAACAGCCTCCAGGCACGGCCGTTTCCACCAGGCCCCCCAGAATAACACAGTCTTAGGCTAAGACAATTGATGCCAGATGGCCTTCTGAAAGGAGTTACAGTCAAAAGCAGCTAAGAATAGAAATAAAACATGTTTTCGTTTGCGGCCACCTCACCGGAATGGAGTGGCCATAGTAGTATCAGTGGTGATGAAGGGTACACAAGGAGTGATGGTGAGAAGTGTACAGGAATAAGTCAAGTTATAACATTTCACAGATCGATCTGATCTTCCAGAATGATCTGCTCTTAAATAGACGAGTCCAGCCATGGAGTCTCCCCCCTCACTTGGCCACGTCGAGATGCGTTGGTGGAGAGCGACCCGACCGCTTTTTGTCCGCCGAGTGTTCTCCGTATTGGCAAACAAGTCTTCCCCCATTCGTTCCCCGTGCTTTCATGGTTGACCGCTCCATCATTCCACCACCATGAAGCCCATTCTTTCCTTTTTGCTTCTGGTCTTTGTAGCCGTGGCCGCTGCTTGGTCTAAAGATGGTTCGTCTTAACAGCACTGGTAACAGCACTGGTAACAGCACTGCTGTTACCTGTTTACTGTGTCCATATTCACCCCCTGTTGACCACCATACTGACTGATTCCACAGACTACGAGATCTTCTCCCTTAGAGACGACGTCGCAACCTCCGAAGGTGCCAATGTGACCTTCTACGGTATGTCCATTGCCATTGCATTTGCAATGCCTCCTTTCCCCAATGCCTCTCTAACACCACTCCAATACAGACTTCCTCGAAATCCCCCCCAACGCAAACCAAGACACAATAATCAAAGCCCACCGCAAAAAATCCCGAACCCTACATCCAGACAAGGTGAAGCGCACCTTCATCGCAAACTACTCAAAAGACAAATCCAAGTCCACAAAGGGCTCCCAACCCGGCGTCCACGTGAACAAAGGCCCCAGCAAGCGCGAAATCGAAGCCGCCGTAAAAGAGGCAAACATCCGCTCCGCCCGCCTGAATCTCGTCGCCAATGTCCTCAAGGGCCCCGGTCGCGATCGCTACGATCATTTCCTAACCCATGGTTTCCCACTCTGGAAGGGAACGGGATACTACTACAACCGTTTTCGCCCGGGTCTGGGATCTGTGTTGGTGGGATTATTCCTTGTTTTCGGTGGCGCTGCGCATTATGGGGCCCTGATTCTGGGATGGAAGAGACAGCGCGAATTTGTTGATCGTTATATTCGTCAAGCGCGACGGGCTGCTTGGGGTGATGAACTTGGCGTTCGTGGGTTAGGTGGTCTTGACTCGATTGGCGGTGCTACTGCTCCCGCGCCTACTTCTGCCCCTGAATCTGGCTCCGAGCAGCAGCAGGGCGCTGTAGCTATGAATCGTCGCCAGAAGCGCATGATGGATAAGGAGAATCGTACCAAGGAGAAGAAAGCTCCCCGGGCCCGTCCTGCGCCTGCTTCTGCTTCAGCGTCGGGAACTTCGACCCCCACGGAAGGTGGTCCTGCTACGTCTACGGGTGAGCGGAAGCGCGTCGTTGCGGAGAACGGAAAGGTTCTCATTGTTGACTCTATTGGGAATGTTTTCCTGGAAGAGGAGAATGAGGAGGGTGAGCGGAAGGAATTCTTGCTTGATATTGATGAGATTCATCGGCCTGCTATTACGGAGACGATGGTCTTTAAGTTGCCTGTTTGGTGCTTTAATAAGACTGTTGGTCGTGTTTTGGGTTCGGCTGATTCCACTGTGGAAGAAGAGGAGGAGGAGGAGGTTGATGAAGATGCTGAGGTTTCCGCTGAGACTTCTGCTACGTCGAGGACTCGGTCCAGGAGACGTGGGAAGCGCTCGCAGCGGTCATAGGTTGTTTGTTTTGCTTATTGGCTGACTTTGCTTGCATCTTGCATCTTGCATCTTGCTTTTTGCTTCTCGGAACCGGAATTTCTGCATGAATTGTTCGGTTTTTTATCTGTATTAGATTATTATTTTTTCTCTTTAAAAAGAAAAGTCGATAGAATTGAATCGCTGTGATATGATGTACTCAATCTACCCTAACCTGCCCAGCCACGCTACTACGAGCATATCAACACGCCATTTCTCCTAATAATATTTGTTTACGCCGGACTCGGAGCCATTGACTATCTGTAACAACTACCAGCCACATCCCCTAAACCAGCGGGTCCAGCTACCAGTAAAAGACGAACACAACAGCACTCTACTCCATACTCCGTACTAATATAGTAGGTCCGACGTAGGGGGGTTCCAAATGGGGCACATATCCACCAGGTTGGGTACCAACACATCGACACTTCACCGACTCGGCTTGGTTCAACTACTTAAGAGCGAAGCCTAACCCCGCGAGTTCTCTCTCGTTGCGTACTTTTTCTCTACTCTGTCTCAGTTCGAGGTTCTTTTTGTCGAAAGCAATGGCACTTGTGCTGCGTGAAAATGGTGGCTTTTCTGATTGGGATTGCTGTGCAGTGATCTAATCTAAATCCGAACGGTGCCTCCCAGTGCCAAGGTACATGAACAGAAACAGGAACAGGAACAGGATAGAGCAGGGTTGGAGAATCAATGGGGATGGAAGGGACGAAAAAAAGGGTAAAGCAGAAAAAGACGAGACAAGGGCAGGACAAATGACAGAACAAGACGGGAGAAAGAGAGAGAAGATGGGGAAAAAACAAACAAAACATGAGTTCGGAGTTCGGACGGTAGGTTCATCAGTCGTTATGAGTGGGTGTTTCGTTCGTCTCCAATGGTTTAGAAAACCGTTCGAGCGATTGGGGGGAGGAGAAGAAGGTGGAGGGCGAGGTAAGAGCTGGGACCGCCCGTGACAGACAGGAGGGAACTCAAACCATGGCAGGAGTATCGTATAGTATATCGACAGATCCTCACCACCACCTCCTTATGCGAACATCTTCGCAATATTCATAAGACTAGTCAAATTCTCCGACATCCCACCACCACCCATACCACCCATACCCCCCATTCCACCTCTAGCACCACTAGCACCCGCACCACCAAGAGCACTCATAACCCCATGAGGCAACCTCAACCCAATCATAGCCAACAACTTAGGCAAAACACCACTCGTCAACAGGGGAACAATAACAAGCATAAGAACCTTGAAAGGATTCTTCTTCGCAAAGCGAATAATATCACGGAACAACCGCTTCACATCACGGATCATTCGCTGGACAAAGCCCTCTCGCGGTCTGGCCCGTCGGGATGAGGAACTGAATGCCGAGAAGACGGAGTGGGTGGGACTTGAGCGCCCGCTTGAGCGGCCGCTGGTTGTGCGGCCGAGGTTGAAGAAGGAGGGTGCTGAGTTGCGGGTGTGGTGGGTTGATGTATAACCTGATTTGCTGCGGGTTGGTGAACCGGCTCGGCGGCGGACGTAGTAGCCATCGCCTTTTGAGGTGTGGTTGTGGGAGTTGGAGTGGGAGTGGTGGGAGGAGGAGGAGCGTCCGTCGAACCAGCCCATTGTTGTGATGAGGGTTGGATTGGATTGGATTGGATTGGTCTTGTGTTCTGTTCTGGTCTGTTCTAGTGGTCTGGACTAGATTGGACTTGACTTGTGTGGTGCGCAGGAAGAGCGGTGGGGAAAGCTGATCGCTGGTATGAGCTGAGCTCTGGAGCTGTGTAGTGTAGTGTAGATTGGAAATTGAAGATTGGAGATTGGATTGGATTAGATTGACCGGAATGAGAACAGATGAGATGTTCTTATTGACGTCTTCAGTTCTCAGAGATTTCCGAATCGCCCCTGTGTGGCAATGGGCGAAAAGAGACAGATGCAGGTCAGCCGCTCGGAGGTGCAGATGGCATGCGCAATGTGTGGTCTAGGCCGTGGTGTACGTGCTGTTTACTCCACCGATTTGCTTTGCAGAGCGGGGATGGGAAGTTGGGAGAATGCAGCTGCAAGAATGACAGGCAATCTGGAGGGGGGAGGCAGATGGAACAAGCTTGCGGCGAAACTACGGAGTACGAAACAGAGTGACTGGGGCGGACGGGGATAATGTTGGTGGCTGGGGGAATTGGTTTGTGCCCCCCTGCAATTATGAGACGCGGGACGAGGATTGTCTCAGGGGTGGGTTCGACACCTCATTACTGAGGCAGAAGAGGCCTCCACGATTTGCCATCTATGTGAAGCTGTTCGCGAATAGTATTTATAGTATTTAAAATATTCTAAAGAAGATGATAGCTTGTCAAATCAACTTAGATAGTACTTGAATACTATGCATCTGATTCGTTTATTTGCACTCCTCGTTTCGGTAGTCCACCGGCGTAAAACACTAGATATGCTTTATCAACTCGGAATAAAACAGTTGTCCAAATATTGCCATGGTAAATATCATTTAAATTTGCTAAATCCCCAAACTTCTGTCAAATATTGTGGTTTTGTTATTTTGAATTCTCTCCCAGCAGTGATCGGACTGTGGGTATAGCGTCGGAAAGAACTGGCGGCTTCAAGAACTGTTGCCGCAGTGTCGTCTGCATTTGGAATATGTATCCATGAATCACACCATCAGTGATTGTCAAGGGGTGATTGGTGCTTTTCGTGCTCAATCTATGCATTCTCCAAGTTTGCCGAGGGTTTTTCGGACGCCTCTCGAGTCGATCGTATTCCGCTCCCGTCTTAGTACATTTGATATTGGTGCTTCGCAATTCATGACTTTCGTAACAATCATGGTCGTGCTCGAGTTCTCCCGAAGAAGATGAGCCGTGTGTATGTCCTTCAACACCGAAATCATGAAACTAGTCACAATATTGTGGATCTCTTTGGGGTTCCAGTTGGTCGGTGCAATGGGCGAGTAGGGCGTGTTTGCTGGCTTCTCGGATCGGTACGCGAACGGCGCTGCGTGCTGCTAGTTGACAGTCAGGCGTTAATGACTGGTGACGCCATGATGGATGGTAGGCGATAAATGGCACAGGGAGGAAGAGATACAAAGGAGGTGGTGCGAAGCCTTGGGCCTGTCCATAGACAGGGCAGTATCGAAATGGTATTCGTCATAATAATCCGTGTTCGTTTGTTCTTTACGCTTGTGTTCTTGGGTGTAGTTCCAGGTCTTGTATGTGGCCAGAGCAGCCCCAATCGCTAAGCAGAATCTTGCAGAGATGAGTCAAGTCTTGAGTCGGGCTTTTTTCTTTTCTGGGTCTGGTGCTATGGTTAGTATGTGATCATCGAAAATGTATTTAGGAGGGGGTCTCCTATACATATACAGCCACGAAATGACCAGCGAATTGCGGCCCGGTCTTCAGCAGAAAGGCCAGAGAAGCGCTTTTCGGAGCTGTGACAAGCAAGCCGTTGACCGATAGACCGATATTGACAGACTCAGCAACAAGCGTCTCCAGACCCGTAGGAATAGGTTCATCTCAATGATCAGGGCGTGCGTCACATCAAACTTCCATCAAACTTCAAGGAATGGAGGGTGTGGATTTTTCTGACACTTGAGGAGAAGGACAGAAGACGGAAAACTGCCACAGCCAAATTTAGGGGGTCGCTCCTTCTGCCTGTTTCAGTATCTTCCTGGTAGAGTCGGGAACACCACCACATTCACTGCTAGCCCAAGTGTAGACTTACAATGAGGCTATGCTTTGTAAATACTTGAATAATTCATAAAGGTATTGCTCGATGGTAGTATACATCAGCTATTTTTAGTTCTTCGAATTCACTATCCTTGTTGTGGATCGGGTATACTTCCAAACATAACACAGGTCAGTGGGCACCGAGAGTTCATCAGTCTCATTTTAAAAGGGTGTGCATGCCGGAGCCTTTGGTCCAGCACGCAAAGGGCGGAGCTGAACTTAGCAAAGCAATGCCAAAGCCAAAGCCTGAACGTTACCCATCGCCCTAGTATGACGCCACTAGACACCTACTCAAAAGGTTTCTCCTTTTTCAATCAGTCTCTTTCAGCCTCCTTCCCTCATCCCTAAGCACCCGGTTTGATTCAAGTTTTACGAGGTTGACTCCAAAACTTCCATCTCAATCACTTTTCTACTCAACATTTTTCGCCAGGCCTTTCCAATGGCCTCGAAATATTCATCCTATTCCCCCCCCCTCCCCCCCACCGTCAGCCCAACACACAGAGAATTCCGATAATTCCAATCTCTCCATTCGAGAGCGGCTTTTAGACAAAAATTGCTACCTTCGTAACGAATATAACATTGGGTAAGTAAGAATCACGTCATGCATATGACGATCTGAATCTAATACTATCATATTAATCATGGGATACTTACTCGCTTTTCGCACCATCCAGGTACATTGCTACATACAGTGGATTTTTCTTTTTCGTCGAGTATATTTTCTTTCATCGGTTTATAGGCTGTGTTCCGCGATGTAGTTCAACACTGTGTGATAACACAATCTGGTTCAAAAGTCTTCACCTACTCTGAATTTTGAACACTAAAATCTTCAATAAACAACTAAACCTTTAAGATATCCTTATTATAAAATAATACTGATTAAATAAATTATAATAAATAAATTAAACTATTTTTTAGATTTATATATGTTGTATATGTAGTCCTTCAGCAATAATATTAAAATTCTGTATCCCAAGAATATCTTTAGAAATTTAAATGATGACTAATTTTTCAAAATTTATTATCTTTTATAAAATTACTTAAGCTTTATTTTTTTTATATAAAAAGTTTTTATATATCTATTTTATTAGGAGAGCTGTATTTTTTGAAAGTAGAAAGTTAGTTTTTTGGGTAGATTTGACCCAACTTTTTGTATGGCCCCACATAGTTAAGCGCGATTTATGGGAAATTTGAAAACTTTTAAAAAGTACAGCTCTCTTAATAAAATAGATATAGAGAAACTTCTATACAAAAAATGAAGCTTAAGTAGTTTTATAAAAGATAATAAATTTTGAAAAATTAGTCATCATATAAATTTCGGTATATTTCTGGTGTCTAAACTATCAAGTTTTCCCCGGAAACCAAAGTGGGTAAATATTTTTGAACCGGACTGTACTTTCATGTATTGGTGACGTGTGGAATCACTATATGATTCGTTATATCAAAAGTTCGATGAGAGATCTGCAGGATATTCTGATAGGAACGAGATCGTTGATAGAATCTAGACGTTAGCGAAGGGGACACACTGGACCTACTCTTGCTAGAATCATTACTGGAATGGGACTTGGAGGAATTTCGCTGTTTTTTTGCTTCCTATTTCTTCTCATGCATTGATATATTTTACAGAACTCCTATTGTAGAGATCTGTAAGCAAACTTTATATAAGTGCAATAGATGTGACAGAATGTATTCCATCGTTTGAAAACCCTCATATGTACCTGTCGCAGCTTAGCTGTCTGAATCTGCGATTGCTTCAGCGAATTATGTTTGGTCCAGCTACCTTGGCTTGCGTTGATTGGCAGCAAGGGAGGTCGATCTCCCCGAGGCGGCTGTGCCCCATACTGCGCCTCAACCAAACGAATTACGGAACTAACAACTTTCGACGCACATTCTTTGCTATAACTAAGACTTGAGAGCCCTCGACTGGTTAGGTATTCGCTTCGAGAACCACGACTCACTTCCACCTTCTATTTTCCTTCACCTCTGATTTATCCTGATCGGCTTTGCAAATCTAAAACAGTCTGCATTGCACCTCCGTGGCCACCAAATTTTGGCTTTGTCCTTTGCCCAAGTTTCAATTTGGAAATCCATAGATCCCGTGATCCCGTATCACTTCCCGTGAGCGACAAGTCGAGCAACATCGCGCATCCAGTGGGGCTGTGTAGTGAGGAACCTCACTCCGACCGGGCTCTACACGAAAGGGGGTGGATCCACAAGTATCGTATACTGTTACCTGTACGTCTACCAAGGGGTCTGGTCTTGCTGCTGCATCTTGCGATCTTAGTGGCGTGTCTGGGTGGTTGCCTGTTGGTGGCCTCCGCATCTAACGACTCTGGCGACCATTTCTACCAAGGCAATCCTCAATCCACCTGCCAGGCACAAGGTAAAACATATTGCCACGCATTAATATCTATACCACGCCATGTCTTTTGGTATCTCAATAGGAGATATTGTTCTCTGCGCCCAAGTAGCCCACCGTTTGTTTTCATCTATCACTAGAGGGCGCAGACAGGCACCGCAGGATCTTAAAGAACTACAAGTTGCACTCTTTGGGCTTTACTGTGCTCTGGGAATTTTGAAAAGGGAATATGAGACAGTTCTCGCAAGCATGCCTCCTGAGCACAGCGCCGCTTTGGCGTACATGATTCAATCATGCCAAGACACACTTCACGAACTCGATAATGCCACGGCCCAATATCGTGAAGCCACCGACGATCGAAATGCAGCAATTGGACCTATCAGAACACAACTCAGGATACAGTGGAAACGAATCATGTGGAGTTTCCGTGGAGACACTCTTACAAAATACCGACAAAAGCTCCAAACGCATACTGATTCGATCAATCTACTTCTGAATACCTTTCTATGGTTAGTCTCGGGTACCACTCTGCGTCTCTGGGCAAATCTAACGAGGCTTTATTTTACAGGTCTGCTACCGGTCGCATTGAGCAAGGAAGCCGATCTCATGAGCAGAGGTTAAATGAGCTTCTGCAACAAGCATCTCGGTTCAACGATGAATTTCAACAATCAATGCGGACTCTTCAGGCGACAATGCAGTCTACACAGCGGCACCATGCCCTCGGCTCGAGAGTTTCTATGTGTTTAACTGGTTGAAAATCGGAAACGGTCATGGCGTTGACGGGGGTTTATGTATGAACGAACATTTGAATCTACATAAGCGTGGCACCTGGGCATGTATTGTGAGCCCCATCGGACAATGGTGTGTTGGAAATATGTCATTACTGGATTGGCGTTGGCGGGAACCAAGTTTTGACAAGCATTTGGATCAACATAAGCGTGGGATATATTTTGAGTTCCATCGGAGAACTTGAATGGGACACGGCGTTGGGACTCCGGGGATTTTATATTTAAATTGGCATTTTTTTTTCTTCGGATATAACTTCATGGATCGGAGTATATAAACATTCTAAAAAGTCTGGAACGCATATTATTAAAGTGGTTTTCCCCACTCTTCTAAGTTCACTTTGCCCTAATTACCACCGGAACCAGAGAGTATAAGAGCAAAATGCAGATTTAGGTGGTGGATAATTTCTTGATCTTAGACGAGGGTCTTTTTGGCTGTGTCTTGATAAAACCATTCGATCATTTTCTCATACTCGACTCTGTTTACTTGTCAGCAAACTTGTGATTTGTTGCCCCGCAATCACCCCCAAACCCAACCCCCGCCTTGGGCATTTGGCGATGATTTTATCAAAAAAATTCGTTAACTCGCCGTATCCCAGTTGACAGCCAGTCGACATTTACTACTATAGGATCGCAAGTCTCTCCGAATTCACCAGAATTTACAAGAAATCTTGAGCCGATAATAGAGGCAGTGTTTGGCGCTGTGATCACCTGGTCGTTGGCTGGCGCCTTTCTTGCATTGGGTCTTCAGCCTAGCCCATCACTGCACCTTAACATGCACCATTCACCTGGGCACTAGGCACGATGTCAACATATTTTGGCAACGAAAATGCGGGATTACAGATCGCGGTCAATCACGGGCCGGTCTACTTTTCCTCTGGTATGTGTCGTGAATCCTTCTCCAAGCCAGTTATAGTTGGCTAATATAATCCAGACCAACCGAAGACCCCACAGGAGATAGACAATGGTTCGTATCGCCATGCATCGCCTGAATTGTTACTAAGCATGACTGCAGAACTGCTTAGATCGCTGGTTTTCTCGCAGATGCTAGACCGAAGAGACAATATTGAGCCTCGGCATATCAATACCTGCGAATGGATTTTGGAATTGGATGAGTACAAGTCCTGGAGGAGTCAGCCCCGCGGTCTATTATGGATCAAACGCAACCCGGGTACAGGTAAATCGACCATGATGGCTTTCCTGTATGAGCAACTTGAACAGGAGCGTGACCAGGGTATTCGACTTGACTTTTTCTTTACCGCACGGGGTACAGAGATGCAGTATACACCGCTGGGAATGTTTAGATCCTTGCTGAGCCAGATTTTCAACGGCGATTTCACCAGTCGCCCTAAATTGCGTAAGCTGTATGAGCAAAGATGTAGGGAGTTTGGAGGGCAGAAGTGGGAATGGCCACGAGTAGTGCTGGAAAAGCTACTAGCAAATGTCATCCTAGAATCTACGAGTCGGTGGTATGTGACTATTTCCGTCGATGCGTTGGATGAGGCTGGCGCTGAGTCTGCTCAACAAATAGCGGTATATTTCAATCGACTTATCGATCGTGCGGGCAAAGCAGCCATTTATGTATGCATTTCGTGTCGATACTATCCCATCGTGAAAAGTGCCCGAACTGTTGAGGTGCATATGGAAGACCACAACCATGATGATATTGCCGCATATATTAAGGGTACTCTTATGGACACAGATGTTAGAGATAGTCCCAGTGAAGATTCAGAGATGCAGAAGCTATTAGTGAAATAATTGATCCAGCAAGCCAATGGTTCGTTTTAGTGGGCTTATCTTATCATACCTCTCGCCCAGCGGAAGATTCTCGAAGGCGAAGCGATTAACGATGTTTATCGCTGGTTAAAAGAGGTTCTAAATGACTTAGAAGAAACTTATATATATATAATCTGCAATGTGATAGAGGCGAGCAATCGGAAGTAATCGCTTCTATTGTTTCTGTGGGTCTGGCTGGCCGAGGAACCACTATCGGTCACTGAAATGTAGTATGCCCTAGCTGTTGGCAATACACAAGTGATGACTCTGAGTATCCTAAAGCCATAGAAGATGGCTAACGTCTATATCGAAACTGATGAACGGATGAAACGAAGAATTAAGACGCTCTCCGGGGACTCGTCGAAGCGGTTTCAACAGAATATCGCCATTGGACCCTATACACTATACAGGTAGTACACTAATCGGTCAATGATTTCCTGCGCACGAAAGGGGCAGGGCTTTTGTTTTCTCTGACTGGTTCCGACAAGTCGCACGTGGATGTTGACTTAGATACTCGAAAAATCTTACAGAATTCTCTACTAATCATGTTTGGCTTATTTAGCCGAGTGCCTATACCCCGAGTGACACGTTGCGGCCTCAAGGACGCAAAGGAGAGCCTCATTAGCGACCACCCATTATTCGATTATGCCACTGTTAATTTAGTTGCTCACGCATACAAAGCGCCTGTATCTTGGCTGATTGTGTCACTGGATGAAGAGCTGGTTAGTCGATGGGTCTAATTTTACAATATGTTAGATCTAACAGCAAATCGTGTCCCCGATATGGTACCAAAATTGTGCATATGGCTGCGACTGCAGGTCTTCCTCATCTCGTTAAGTCTTTGAGCAATGAGGATATCGCGACGAGAGATGATCTTAGGATGACTGAGTTGCATTTGGCAGCACAAGAGGGCCACCTTGAGACGGGTAAATTACTTTTGGAAAAGGGAGCAGACCGCGAGGCAGCAGATTCATACGGAGTAACACCATTGATTGCGGCGACTCTCTATGGACAAGTGAAATTCGTTGAATGGCTTCTACAAGAGGGAGCAAATCTTGAACCAAAGAACGGGAATGAAAGTGCATTACAAGAGGCCTTATCGTCTAGCCATCATGCTATTGTCGAGATGCTACTTGCAGCCGGAGCTGACGTGAATTTCCGCAGTGGCTACCATGGAAATGCCCTGCAAGCCGCCATAGGGGGAGGAAACACCGAGACAGTACAACTGCTACTTAATTATGGTGCCAAAATAAATGCTCAAGGTGGTCGATTTGGTAATGCTCTCCAGGCCGCGGCCTATAAAGAAAGCCCTGAGACAGTACAGCTATTACTAAGATCTGGTGCTGATGTTAATGCCCAAGGAGGTCAATATGGCAATGCTCTCCAGGCCGCTGCATCCGGAAAAAACATCGACATAGTACAGCTATTAATCAACTCTGGTGCTGACATCAATGCCCAAGGTGGTGCATATGGCAATCCTCTCCAGGCTGCTATAATTATGGGACATACTGGGATAGTAAAGATATTACTCAACTCTTGTGCCGACATCAATGCCCAAGGTGGTGTATATGGCAGTGCGCTTGTCGCCGCTCGTGTAAATGGATACACAAAAATAGTGCAGATGCTACAACGCTGGCGTTGATTCTACTATCCAGAGTGTTTCGTTTAATCGTTGGATCGGCGATTCTGTTTCTTTTCTTTGCATATTCCTCATGAATTGAAGTATATAAGAATTTTGAAGTACCTTGTCCAGAGCGCATATGAATGAAATTATTTCCCCTCTCTTAACTTCAAGTTCCGCTTGGTACTACAAACCAGTAACCTGCTACCTGGCCGGCTGGATCCCATCGAATGAACGGTGGATATGCACTAACCGATATTGGTCAGATGCAGCGCTCAGTGAAAGTACGTAATTAACGACTATGATGTATAAATATTTAGGAATTGATATATTACCTACCATTCTATCCCTTTAGAATTGGGTTAACATAACTACCACGACAGGACTGCCATCCAAGACAATGACTACAACTACAACCATGACTCCTATCTCAGATACCTCTCCACCCGTGACCTCAACCACGCCAACCCCAACCACAACAACCTCCCCCAAAATCCCAATCTCCCTAACAGGCGTCTCAAAAACCCTCCTAATACCCCTAATAGCCCGAGCCTACGACAACTCCCTCCCCACCCCAATCCTAGCCGACCCCTACCCCGCAGCAGTCCTATCAAAACTCTCCTTCGACATCGATTCAATGCCAACAACACCATTTCAAAATGCAGGAATATCCCTTCGAACAAAGCACTTCGATGATTGGACGTCGTCATTTCTGAGAACAAATCACGACACTACAGTCCTGCATTTAGCGTGTGGTTTCGATAGTCGTGCGCAAAGGGTTAGCTGGAGTGAGGGGACGAGGTGGATTGATATTGATCTTCCAGAGGTTATTGAGTTGAGAAAGGAAGACTTACCTTTATCATTTCCCACTGGGAATGATCAAGAATACTCTTTACTCGGAATCGATGTCACTGGCGAGACTTGGATGCGTGATCTCGATATCGGTGATGGACCTGTGCTGGTTATAATGGAGGGTTTACTCTCCTATCTCCCCGAGAAAGAAGTGAGGGCACTTCTAACACGAATCTGCGAGACTTTCCCCCAGGGGGAGATTATCTTCGAGTGTGTTAGTTCTCCGGTCCTGAATTGGCTTAATCGTCCCGAATCGATGAATGCCGTCAAGAATACTGGAGCTGTGTTCAAGTCGGCTGTTGATGATCCGATGACGTTGGAAAATCTTCATTCTGGACTTAAATTAGTTGAGAATGTTTCGTTATTACTGGCGCCTGGGACGGAGAAATTTCCTCTGCTTGGTCGGGTGCGCATGTATCTTAGTTCGTGGTTTCAAAGTGGGCGTGATTCGGCGAGGTTTTTGCGGTTTCGGTTTGGGCAGGAATTGTTGAAATGATCTAATCTAAATAAAACAAAGAAAGAAGAAATTGAAGAAAGGGAAATGATAAGTAAAAAGAGTCTGTTCCATTCATATCTCTCTCTGCCAGGCCATTAATCATTAAGAGCCTAGGTACTGTAAGATCCCTGGGTATCCCATCATTATCTCATCTCATATGTACAAGTCAAGTCAAATATCAAATTACAGAATTGCCACCGCCATCAATGACTGGTAGCGGTGGACCCCAATTCCATCCAACTGGGACATAGGATACCACGTCCCTCTCTCGCTCTGTGTCTGTGTCTCTGTGTGTTTCTGCTTCTGTGTCTGTTTCCGTCTGTCTGTTCCAAGACCAAGGCAAAACCTAAGCCAAAATCTTCTGTCGAATAAGTCCCTGCATATCATCATCAATCCCCACCCCAGCCAAATACCCCCTCACACCCCCATATTTATCCTGTAAATATTTCATCGTAGCATCCACAAACCCCGGCGGACACCGCGTATAATCCTCGCCCAGACCCAGCGCCCGAATCTCCTTCATGCGTTCTTCGAATTCGGGCACTAGCTCTAATTCAGAGCGAACATAGTCATCCGTGAGTGCGGGTAATGGAACCGCTGTCTCTGAGTCTGGCTCGCCGGCGAGCAGTAGTGTGAGGAGAATTATCAGACCTGTTCGGTCTTTGCCTTGCGTACAGTGTACTAGGACGGGGTAGGTGTCTTCGCGGGCGAGAAGTTCGAATACGGTGCGAATCTCGGTTGTGCTGGATGTGAGGGTGTCTTGGGCTAGACCTGTTAGGCCGCGGGGTTGCATTACTTGTTCGCCGATTAGACGGACTGCGTCGGGGCGGTAGCCTGATAGGGCGAGGCTGAGGACTTTTCTGTGGGTGGGTTAGTATTGGTATATTGCGTGTCCAAAGTAATTGTATTTATGCCGGGTGGCTTTGAGGAATGTGATGCTGGTGGGTGTAGTGGAGTGGCCTGAACTGCCGTGCATCACAGTGCATCACCGTGCAGTGCGGGGAAATTAGACGTACATATAAGTCATCCAGTCCAATTTGGATAATAATGCGCGCTCAAAGCCCTTGCCGGTTAGACTGATCAGGGCACGATGTGAGTCTGGGATTTGGAGGAGGTGTTCTTCGGCATCGAGGGGGACAGATGAAGGTGCGAAATCGTTGTTATTGGGGCCATCTTGGGCGTCTTCCGTGGAGGCGGCGTTTTCAGCGCGTCGTTTACGGGTTGCCATTTGGTGTTCTGTTCTGTGGGGGTAAGCACATGAGAATTAGTTCGGTGAAGCAGTGTATCTTGTAATCTGGGTGGCCATACTGGGATCGTAGATCAATCACTGTTTTGATGTGTAGTTCTTCGGCCAGTCGGCGCTTATCTCGTTCGGAGGCATCGTCGAGCTATGGTCAACGCCGATCAGCTGTCAGTTCAGGCAGAGCAGAGCAGAGCAGAGCTAGGTAGGGACTGGACTCACTCTTGCGCTTCGGAATAAGACGCCCTCTTTTAAGATACTGTAGTCCTGGGTCAGCTTTGAGCTCCGAGCTCCAGGGGTTCGCAATGAATGGGCTCATCCACGTACGAGGAACCGCAAAACTGGTTTATGGTTCTGCCGACGTCACGGAAGTTGATGATGTTATCAAAGGGCCGATCGGGCGAGTCGAGGTCGATGCTGGACTGGCGGGCCATGGTAGGCGAGGTGAGGGTGAGTGTGAGGGTGAATATGAATAAGAATAATGTTTATGACCAGAACAAAACAAAGCGAAAGCGAAAGACGCGGTTAAACAGCGCGTGTTGGCAAATGCAAAATGGCGGTGGGGGGAAGTTGCACGTTGGGCAGAAGCACAGACGGAAGACCCGCTCACCCGCCTTGATTTTGGCCGATTCTGGCCTGAGCTTCACTTCTCTTTCCCCAGATCCACCAGGAGCTATGACTCAGTGATATAACTGCATTGCATTCATCCGCTGCATTGATCTACTCTGCTTACTCTCCTGTGTCCATCTACACATACTCTCCCCCGATTATCCTTCCACCTCGGCTGCAAATAACTCCAATCCCGATCAAAATCAAACCCACTCCGATACTTCTCATACGCCACCAATTCAACCCGATCCAACTGAGCCCCCACATCCGTCAATGCCCAAAGACTAATTGCCAAACTATTCTCCCCACGATTATTGATGATCCCCGGCGGGAACGGGAATAGCGTCTGCGGCCCAATATGCGGGAGATAGTGTCCAAATTGGTACCCATTCATGAAAATCTGCACCACCGCCGATGTATTCGCTGCTGCCCCCAGTTGCAGTCCAATCGGCACGTCTAGATCTTTATCCAGATTCAGCTTGAAGGTGGTTGTGTAGAAGCGGCCCGCGGCATTGGATACCCCGTCCAGTGGGGTTTCCTTGCCCGCACTCTTGGGGACGGTATAGCCTGGTAAATGCCAGCCAAGACGTTCGCCGTATAGGCCTCCTTCGTTCTGGGATCCGCGGACCGGGTCGATATTTGATTCTCCGCCGGCATTTCCTTGGATGCGCCAGGATGTGAAATTCTCGTTGTCGCTGCCGGTGAGGATGGCTCCTAGGATACCGCGCGGATTCTGCGTTCCGGCTGGCTTGACGTTATTCTCGTCGTGACCAGTGTAATCAGTCACGATGGTGAGGACATTGTCCTTCTCAACAAGGGAAGAAGTATTGAATTCCAGTTCTGCGAATGTCGTCGCGAGACTCGGACTCCCCAATGCTCCACCAACATATTCCCCATTCAACCAAGCCGCCCAGCCAGCTGCCACGCCATTCTGGACAGTGATGTTCGCGCCTGTCGCGGTGCGTCCATCAAATCGGCCGCGGTAGACCTTCGTTCCAGAGTGGTAGCCGTAGTCGCCGGAGTAGAGAACTGGCAGAGAGAGTGGTGCGACCGCATTCACGGTCGTCGACTTGTTGCAGATTGTCCAGCGGGAATCGTCGTAGTTGCGCTTGATTTCGGGGAGTGTATCCTGTGATCGCCAAGATTTGAGGACTGGTAGTGAGACTTTTGCGCTCTCGGCTCCGGGTGCTGAGGCGATTAAGCTGCCGTAGGCGGTCTTTTTCGTCGAGACGGACTTTCCGTTCCATTTTATCTTTGTGACTTTTGAATTTCCGGGGTAGACTCTGTTGTTGAGTTAGCTTGATTGCGGAAGGTATAGCAAATAACTCTGGAGTCGAGGAGAACACGATACTCACTCTAGCGATGTAGTATTCGCATTATCACCAACCAGACTAACAGTATCCTTCTCGATAGAAGCAGACCGAACCAAGTACGGTCCCAGAGCCAAAATCTGCTTACTTGGCGAAACATTCGGATTGGAACTCGTCGGGATAGCGAAGAAGTTCCACGCCGTTTCCTTATCAAGCAGATAGACCAGGTTTCCATTGGAGAATTTGATGACTGTCGATCCATCGCCTTGGGTATAGGTATACTTCGTGCCATACTCTGATGAAGACGAGGTCACGTTCGAGTTACCGTATGCGCGGAACGTCAGCCCTTTAGTAGTGTCCTTGAATACGAATGTTCCTTGCTGGCCGATGTTCAAGTAGAACACAATCACGTCGACGTCGAGGGTTGCGTAGGTCAGAACTTCGGCGGATGAGTAGAGAAGGCTGGATGCTTTGCCGATTGTGTAGTCTGTGACTATGATCTTGCTCTGTCGACCGGCCAGCTCGATGTCTGGGATAGTGATAGCGCCTGGTTCATTCAATCGTCAGTTCAATTGTCATCCATGTGAAGACTTCTCTCCCTCGCAGTCACAGCACATACCAGCAGTAGTATTAACATTCAGTGATGTGGTCGTAACATCCCTCGACGAACTCTTAGAATGCGCGAGGACATAGAATCCAGCCCTCGTCGAAGGATTCCTCAAAGCCCAAGTAAAAATACTCGCATCACTGGTATACCCCGTCCCATTCCCCTCCATGTCCGTCTTCAACAAATCTCCCGAAACCCGCGTAAACAAACCAAGCAGCTTAGTCTGCTTAAGTTTATCCCTAATCTCCCTCGTCTCCCTCAACGGTGCCGCATAATCGTACGAAGTATAAACCACCGGCGTAGCACTATGACCCCAATTCGTCCCGCCAAAAACCATATAAAGATTCTGCAACGTAACCCTCGACCCAATATTATTCTTATAATAAACGTCCGCAAATTCAGGCGATTGTTCCGCGGCACATGTATCATAGAAATACCCGCCCCAGGGCTGAAACCACCCGCCCTCAAATTCGGGCAGATATTCGGGTTGCGTGTAGGAGTAGTTCTGGAACCATTGGTAATAAGTTCGAACGAGATTAAACCCCGAATCTGGATTCGTGCACGATAGGCCTCCCGGGTAACTATCCAATCCGTAGACATTTACCGCACCGCCGACATCTTGGTAATCAGTTGACCAACTCATCGAGCGCATGCCCTTCTCATTATGTGAACTCGGCACAACGATACCCGCCTCGGTAAATGCGTCGGCGATTTGTTCCATGTATTTCACCAAAGTATTATCCGCGCTATGCGTCGTCTCTTGCAATTCATTCTCGTGCTGATTTAGAATAACCGGACCGCCATTCGTGATTTGATTTTTCGCAATAATTTCGCCAACTTTGATTATCCAGGGGTACCATTTTGAATAGTATGATTCGGCGCTGGTTCTTTCACTGCCCATTTGGCCATTTGCTGCCCATAGTGCGAAGCCGCCGGCTGATGTTTCTGCGTTCACGTAGGGTCCTGCTCGGGCTATGACGTATAGACCGGCTTGTTTGGCGTAGTCGAAGACGCGCTGGATATCGTGGGCGCCATGTTCAAAGTCGAAGACATCTTCTGAGGCGGAGTGGAAACTCCAGAAGAAGTAGACTGGAAAGTCAGCATTGAAGGAATATGACATGAGTTTGGGGCATTGAATCGAATGCCACTGGCAGTGCGATATAGGAGAACTTGAAGAGGTGTAGGAGCGAAAGTTGCCTCACTTACTCGACACAGCATTAAACCCGTTCGAACGAAGTTTTTGAAAAACATCCAACCACAATTCCGGTACCGGGAGACGCTGGTAATGGAATTCACCAGAATAGATGAATACCCGCTCCCCCTTCACTGAGAGACTATATTTATCCCAGGTGACATCGGTTGTTTTTCCATTATCGGTTGCTGAGACGAGGTTGTTCAACCCCAGGAGGAGGACTGAGAATATTGCGAATAGACGCATATTCGGGCTCTGCTCTCGCTCGCGCAGGCAGTAACCAGAACTCGAATCCAAAGAAAAAATAGGAGTCACTTGGAGTGACTTTCTTCAGGTGCCAGGCCAGCCAAACTCCGCATTCCAATCCAACCTATTATAGCATATAGCATATTCATCCTGCCATGGGGCTCCTGCTCCCTACCTCGGTCTTCGCGGTAGCGATACCCCGAAAACATCCGGATTGGTGGATGTTTTCTCGCGAGCGATGGCGCTTTGGGCAATTTTCCAGGGAAATGCGGGGGTTTTGGCAGGTGTGGGGGTGGTGCACAGCAGTACTAACTACTAGCTAGTACGGAGTAGTATTTCGGAAATTGGAAGTTGAAGCTACTATCCTCCAAGGCTAAATGATGCTGTGGCGCCATCTGCAAGCGAGGGAACGAGCGAGCTATACTTTGAATGCCACGGGCGAAGGGACAACAAACCAGGGCTTCAAGTTTGAGCCAATTTGCCAAGCTTGACTACTAACTAGTTCAAGTTCTACCATAACACAAAAGTCAGAAGTAAAACAGAAACTTGGACATGGAACCTTTCAATAAAAATATATCTTAAATTCATTTGCACACGAAGCTGACAAGCAAAATCTCAAATTGATCGATTAATCAATAATCACGTACTAGTATTTGCGGCACAGCATGAAGCATGAAGCATGAAGCATAGGCATAAGCATAAGCATAAGCATAAAAGTCGTGTATGTAGTAGTAGTTGTTAGTTTAATCCAGCGCCTTTGCGTAAATTCCTTCAAATTGTTGTCTTTGTCTTTGTCCCTGTCCCTGTTCCTGTCCCCCATAGTGCACAGCACTGAAACACCGGCGTAAATTCCGAGAAAAAAAAATCATAGAGAATAAAAGTAAAAATAAAACATGTGGAAAGAAAGGTATTGAGCAGGGAGAAGCGAGTGGATAGGATCCAAACATAGTTGGGAAGGAAAGTAAAGAGAAGGAAAGGGGTAAAAAGGTATAAAAAAAAAGATAGATTACAAGAAGATTCAAATCGAGATCGGTTCAGATCAGATCAGATCAGATCAAATCAAATCACAGATCTTCAGAGAACCTAGACTCCCGACCCGTACTGGCCGTTTGTCCCAGAATAGGCGGGGCAGGAAGACCCTGCTCAGTAGCGCTGTTCCGTAGACTCTGAAGACCCTCCCCAGTGCCAGAAACCTTTGTCTCGGACAAAGAGGAGTCTTGGCGGGAGTGGCTGCCGCCATTGGCGTAGCCATTCGTCTTCGAGTCTGCCGAGTTACGGGACAACTTCATGAAACTTTTGCGAAGACGTTGTCTCTTTCCAGTACCAGCTCCGGTACCGTTGGCATTGGCGTTGGCGTTGTCGTTGGCATTGGCATTGGCATTGGCATTGCCATTGTCATTTTGCTGAGCAGAGCTGGAAATCGACTCACCACCCGTACCACCGGTAGTCGATTTTGTCATTTCAAGAAATGTGCCTCCGTTATGACTAGGCGGGCTTTGATCCAATTCATCCCCATTCCCAGGATTAATAGGATGAGAGCTTAAAGCCGCCCCACGAGATTCACCCCGGCCTTGGCCGGTCAGTGCTGCACCCCCTGTAAACCCAATCTCGCTGCCGCTTTTGAAGTCGGGTCCTGGCTGGTGCGGGTAAACGGGTATCGGGCCGCTGCTTTGACGGACCAGTCTGTCTCTGAACCAGTTCTTTAGTTTTGAATCGGCCCGGGGACTTGTGATAGGTCGCACTATGTGCATGTCGCCTGATTCCTGCGGTTGCTGCTGCGTCTCGTTGTGGGATGCCTGCGTGCGTTTGGGATGTTTCAGAGGGTCCGGTGGTTACTAGTCGGACTGGTGCTGCGGTTGGGGCTGCTGGGCCGGCTGCGAAAACGGTTGAGGGGCCATGCTCTTCGGCGGTGGATATTTTGGATGCGGCGGCATGGTCTGAAGTAGCCACCATATCTTCAGATCGATCTTCGACGATGGCTTCGGGTTCTTCATGAGCAGTTGGCTGAATCGTAGCTGGCTCAGCGGCCGCTGCGACAGCCGGGGCTTCCTTAACAGCCGGTGCTTCCTCAGCAGCTGGTGCCTCTGCGACAGCCGGTGCTTCTGTGACAGCCGGCGCCTCCTCGACAGCTGGTGCTTCAGCTGTAGAGATCGGTTGCTGGACAGCCTCCTCGGCCTGTTCTTCGGGCTGTTCACCACGAGTCCGCTTACTCTTCTTTCTGAACAACAAGAAGCTCAAGCCCTTGAGCTGGCGCTTTTCAGAACGTGTCTTCTCTTCTAGATAATGGATTAGAATATGTCGAAGTTTCGGAGAGGACAAATTACTAACCCTTTTCACCCCCAAGAGCACGCAAAGAAGCCTCACGCTCCTTCTCAATCGCAGCCTGTCTCTGATTCTCCTCAGCATCAAGACGAGCCTCAAGCTCCTCCGCTCGACGCTGCTCAGCCTGCTCAGTGATCTCATCCAAAGCCGGCTGAACACGGGATCGAGCAACAGCTTCAACTTCAGACATATCCATAAAGTGTTGACCGCCAATATTCACTCGGCCCTCCGGGGCACGACTCGCCTCAGTGACTTCAGCCTCCTGACGAGCTCGTTCCCGAGCCGCATCCTCCCACTGCTTCTGAACAGACGGCGGAGCACGACCAGTATTACTATACAACTTCATCTCCATATCCTGAATAGTCGCATCGACATTCCGCCGAGCAGCTTCCATAAGCAGATCACGATCTCTCTGCCTCTGCACATCAACACGATCAACCTTCGACCGCAGACTTGTCATCTGATTACGGATATGCCTCGACTGCTCCGCGTCGACCTGGGACGAATCAGCATCACTAGACGTCCTCTTTCGACGCGTCGTCAGACGCGATCGCTGAGGCTGATGCGCAGTGCCGTAATACTGTTGCATTTCCACATGATCATCTCTCATACGGGCAATTTTCTCCGCCGCACGCTTCTGAGCCGCATCCTGTAGAGCCAGGGCGTTGTGAGCTGTTGTCCCCATGGCTCCACTGACGGTTTTGCGATATTGGAGGCGGTTTTGACCTTCTTGCGCGGCGTAGATTGCTGGGTCCACGGTTGCTGTGTCACCCTTTGGACCTGAGGCATCGTACATATTCTTCGCCATGACTAGAGCCGCGGCGTGTAATGAGTTGCGACGATTGCGCGCCTCGACTTCGCTCGCGACGGGTGGGGACGAAGTATACATCCGAGCATTTGCATGCGCGTGCTGGATTCGACTCGCCTCCATAGCGGGATCGATATGATCAAGAGGTCCCTCCTCTTCGGCCCTGGCGCGTTGTGATGCGCCCGCAGCGCGAAGTGCATAAGGAGTAGTACTATCAGCCGGCAAGACCGGTTCACTTGGTGCCGAGTCCGCTCGTTTCCGGTTTGCATAGGCTCCAGTCGCCGCAAGGAGCGCCTTATCCTGAGCACTAGGACCGCCCACAGCAGCGCTAGTATGGTCGGTGGTGGAAATGTCGGGTTTACTCGTATAGGCTTCCCGAGTTGGGGAGAGGTTTGATGATGAAGCGCGCTGCTCGCGCACCGCGATGATCGCAGCGCCTAGTCCTGCTGCGCTGTATCCAGTGCTCGGTTGAGGGAACTCAGGCTGACGGAAATCCCTCACGGACCAGGCGGCTTTTTCCGCGTCCGTGAAGCGACTCGGGGGTGACCATACTTCGATTGGTTTTTGGTTTGCGTGGGCGAGGGCTGCGCCGGCGGATGCTGCGCTTAGGTTTGCGGCTCCGGTGGTGGTTTGTGGATCTGTTGCGATGTTCATTATTAGATTTGTGTGATCTTTTCACCATGGCGCGGGGCAGGGGGAGGGGGTTATCAAGCTCACTTAGAAACTGGGTTTCTGGGGTGGGAACGGTTAGGGATGCCTTGCGTCGAGGATGTGTCGCATAGAGAGCAGCTGTGGCGGCTGTTTCAGGAACGCATGGGAGTTAGCGAACAGTGCACAGTGCGCAGCACATACAGTCGTGACGATCAGTCTTACCATCATCAGCCAGCCTCGCGGACCTTGGACCCGGCATTTGCGCAGTAGCCATTCCGGGGACGGCTGGAACAGCGAAGGGATGGAGTCGTGGTGGAGTAGCAGCAGCAGTAGCAGTAGATGAAGAGAAAAGCGCGGGGGAATCAAGGTTTAAGACATAGCCAGTGCCAGTGCCAGTTTACTTGAACTTAAGTCAAGTTGAAGTGATGAAAGTGCAAAAGGTGCCAGCTGTGGTGGAATGGAAGCCCGGAAGCTTCTTGGACCCGTGACGTCGTCGGCTGCTGAAGAGGATCCAAAGAGGATCCTCATTGCATCATTTCCCCCCCCAAAACTCAATCGATGAATCAATGAGCGCTCTCCCAGCGGAGCTACTGTGGATTGGGGGGGCTTCGCTAGGCTGAGTTTAGCTGCGTTTAACCTTTAGTTAATCCCATCCCATCCATCCCATCCCATCCGCATTCGATCGGTTCCTCGTGGTGGGGACATAAGACAACTGGGATCGCCCAGGATTTGCATCCGCGAACCTGGTGACTTGGGGAGGACGATCTCGCGAGAACTTTATCTGGGGTTTTGGCAGCTGTGGTCAGCTCGATCCTGATCCGCAGAGACCTCCATCCCCCTGAGACCACTAGCAGTGTCGGTCGACTCTCAGTGCTGTTCCGCATCGTGACTGATGACGCCCGATACCCGAGGCCGAATCGGGTAGGGTTACAGTCGGGGTGTGAGCTCCTCTCGTGTCTACTCGTAGCTCACTCATAAACTAGTCACACTAGGTGATGGACCCACTTAAGCTGATCTAAAAAATCGGGTCTCGTAGGGTCGAACAGTGGGGATCGGGATCATCAGGAGAGTGGAGGTGGAGTGTTCAATATGAGATACCTTGTTCCTCCTCCGCTATCACTCCAGTCCACTATAAAATTTACATCATGAGCCTACCACACTCCATAGGCGCAATACAATCAGGGGTTTTGCAAGGGTGCCTCTCAGCGATAAGTACCTAATAGGTACCAAATATATAATTGGGTAGAATACTGGTTTTATGGTGTTCATGTCTCTACTAGTTAGTGCTGGCTATCTACTACTAGTAGTGACATGTTGAGGCCGTTATGCCTCAGGCATCCGGCATCCCATCGCCCTCTAATATTGAAATAATAGTACAATTTGCCAACTTGGCCATTTGTGACATAGTCAGTTCTTCCCCCCCCCCTTTTTTTTTACTCGTTATTACGTACAAAGCCATCTCTCGCTTCTGAGCATTCACGTTGTCGCGCCATTTGTGGTGATTTAGAGGGATTCTTGTGGCTTTAAGAAGAGTTAGGAAACGTTTGTATTTGGAAAATAGACCATGAGACCGGTCAGTCTGGACTAGTAATAATACATGCGTACAGCTTGTTCCGTCTCCAGGTGACCGTTAGATATTGAAACGACCCTTAAGATAAAGGGGTAACCATATATGGAATAGTGGACCATATAATTAGTCAGGATTGAAAGAGTCTATCTCTGTCTCCGCCGTGGAAGGCGAACCTCTCAAAGCTCCGTATCACAGAAAACACAGCAGACTTCAGACTCGGGGCTTATGTTTTCAATATGGAAATCCACGAGCAGAGACAAGCATTTATAAAAAAGGGCGAAAATCTCGTCTTCGACCACACGAAGCTAATCCTGCGAAGAGGATCTGAATACTTTTTCGCCAGGGCAAAATGGCGTCGTCGCTCCGCGCCCTCCGCGGATGAGATCAGTCAACTGGAAACTACAAAAATCTCCATAGAAGACGTCTGGCCACCAATGAAGTCGTCCTTCACTTTGGCTGCTGATCCTTTGCCTCCGAACACCTACATCAAGCAGCCCAGTCTCCTACATTACGGCGATAGCCCTGCGTCCCTCCAGCCCGGCCGCCATATATTGGCTGAGATAGAAGCTTGTGAAGTGCTTCGGACGCTGGAGGTCGCCCGACACCACACCCCAGACCTGCCTGGCTTTGAGGTAGGAGGTCATGAGATGTTTCCGGATTGCATAGTGTTGTAGTTCAGAGATATATTTCTTGCATAGTTATTTTGAGGGAAACATTAGGCTATATGTATACAGCGAGAAGATCAAATTGATTCCAATCAACTTGGTTCTTCGCATAGATACTTCGGGATTAATTCCGATGGTTCGGCTTTGTTCCTGATCTGCACAAGCCTCATATCACAATACATAGTTATCTCTTCCTGTCAGAGGCTCGATGGCCGTGATGGCTTTGTCGGGCGAGTCGTGAACCAGAGCAGACACGGTGATGGCTACGAAAGCGGGCTAGGTATATAATTAAGACGGATATGTTGGTTCTTTGTTTAGGCACTTCGGGAATCATTTCCGTTGGTGCGGCCTTGTTCTTGATTTGCACCTTCAGCCTCATATCACAACAGAATTGACCGGGATTTCCTTACGTCTCTCAGTCTTCTCGGGTCAAAAGCGCTCTTGATCTGTTACATTCTGCATCAGTTGACTTTCAATGCAACATAACGTATGCGGATTTGCAAGTCTTCCAAGTCCGGTGTTCCGCCGGCGAATATCCCGAGCTAGTTTCGGGACAAACACCATCGCTCCCACATGGACGCGTAAACTTCATTGACCACTTTCGTCATCTAGATTTTCAAGAAATGCAGCGATTACAGCACGCACATGCAATAAATTGGAGACAAGGAAGCGAAAGTTCAAGGGCACAAGTAATGAAAGGCATGCAATGCATTTTTCTGTAAAAAAGCATTCTTATTTTGGATAAATACCCTAATATGCCACAATTACCTTGGCAAAATTTGTGTAACATAAAGACTAGGTGATAGTGCAAGGGGAAATGCGGCTTCCAAGCCCTTTAAATTTTAAGTTCTCGGTTAACCACTGGCGGGGGTGGATAAATATCTTATTGATATTATAGGGTCGATAAGTAATATCAGCTCAAGCTGTTCCTTTCTATAACAATGTGCTGATAGATTCATAAACCTTTCTACTTAGGTCCACACAAACCAATCATAATCTATAGATTCAAAAACGTCGACGTCTTTGATAAACGGACATGTACAATCGTACGTTTTGTCAAAAGCTTCTTCCTGATCAGGGGCAATATTCCACCTGGCCAGTATCACCAATCCAAGAGTAATGTACGACGTCAACGATCCTCCGAAGATTGGAGGGATTTAGCAATATCCTTGTCATATCGGCCAGCCAAGCGAAATGAGTTCTTGTTGACTGACGGTTGATGCTGTATAGCTCATCCAGCTCCATGCGTTTCTTAGCCCATTGAGGGCCGTCATCTCCCAGTGACCCATATGGCTGCAAAGCCTTAACCAACTTATCATACTGCTCTTCAAGACCATGGTAGCTGCATTTTTTGACTTCAGTGTTTTCACAAGTTTCGTGGTATAACTCATATAGTTTATGATGAGAAGCCATGACAGTCCAATTGCAAAAAGCCATTGTTACTATAGCAAGTAGTTGTTTAGTCTCAATGAGCTCTGTGGCGAAAGTTAAGCAATCGAAGATTTTCTTGTTGAGATATTGACAGGTTGATCCCCTCACGCCTCTAAGGATGGGGTTCTCCCTTTGTTTGCGCATCGTATCGCTTCTTAAATCCACCAGATCGTTGATCAGGGTAGATCCATAGGACAGCTTCATGTATTCAGCCTCGTTGATTCGTTGTCCTGTTGCCAAAGATGCTGCAACTACTCCAACAGCATTGGCAATGTCAATATGCCGATGAGTGGTCAACTCGGTCATTCGACTGCCGTATAGTCCTTCAGGTAAAACGGGGACAGCATGGTTACGGTAATAGCCTAAGACACGGAACTGAAGATGAGCTGCAACCAGGAGATCCATATGCCAGTCATGAATTATCCCTGCCAAATTGCAAACCCTCAGAAACGCCACAGCTCCAGCCCCAGTTTTCTGTAATAGCAAGAGGATCTCATCAGTGGCCGCTTCGCAGTAATCGCCGATCATAACATCATTTCCGGAATCAGCAATTGCACGCAAAATGCCCTCATCAACCAAACTAACACCGCAGGCCATAGCATAGAAGTACTTTGCATCCGCGCAAAGTTTGACTTTTTCAAAAGTTGGAAATAGAGCTTGATGCAATTCCATTGTGCTGTCGCAATATTGGCTTGGTCGACGATCTGGTGCTTTGATTGGAACGATAGATGTGATATCGGCCCCAGAGCATAGCGTCGGGCTTTCTTGGATGTCCACGGAACAAGAGATAAGCTCCTCGACTGCACGTTCCAGTTTCTCAACTGTGAATAGGCCATGTCCATTCCATTCATTGTGCCTTTCATTTACGTCTTGCGAGGCTTGGAGCATTTTCTCGATAGCTCGACAGGCTCTCACTTTCATCACATCTGCATCTTTAATGGACGAAAACGGCGATATACCGTCACAAGTACAATCAACACGAGGATTGTATCGCTCGGAAAGCAGGTTTGTTTCATCACATGAAGGGGGAAGCCTACCCCCAAGGGTTATTTCCCCTCTCATGAATCGTCGCCGAAACGATGATACCACACGGGACAAGCATGCAGTATCCAAAAGTTGACTTTGGTTAGAGACTTGAAAGAGGTTTGATATCTCGTCAACCCTCAAGGTGGATGATGTTTCATTTGTCTCTTCGAAAGGTGCTCGGACCCAGTGATGCGACCAAGCAAGATAAACTTGCAAGAAGTTGCTTTGTGGAGTAGGGGAAACTATCATCATGCTGTAAAACTGCTCCTTTAAACAAAATGTAATATATGGGTAGAGAGGAAAATAGGAGTATTAATTTGCGGGCCTTTCGTGGAATTTATTTTAGCACAGAATTGACTGGATCCATTGCTTCTAACATCAGGTCAAAGCTTCTGACAAACTTATCCGGATATGAGTTACGGAATTGTTCGCATGGATCAGTTAAACGATGTGGATCAGCTTTTCACCCTATTTGATTGGCCTTGGTCCGGGTAATTTTTGGGATCGATCACAAGCGGACCGATTAGTGATGATCATTCTACACCGCCATTAGACCAGTGTGATCATCAGGTTAGAGACCACACCCACGAACCCATACAGCATCATTGCAGTGTATGCAGGTCATCCGGGTCTCTTGGATATGCAAGACTTGATTATGAAAGAAAAACGTAGAACGAGGATGGCGAGGTCGCGGCTTCACGTCAGGCGGTCGGGGTGCACGGCGTATTAGGACGCCAAGACCGAAAAGGCAAATGTAATAGCCGGAAAAGGAGATTCACAGGTCCGTCGTTTACAGAAGACAATGAGAACCAAGAGAGTATACTCGCTGCATTCGCTACTGGAATCAACAGCTCTCATTCCTACACGAAATCTCACCGCGATGACTTATCCCCAGAGCCACAGAGCTGGCGAGAGATGATGAATCACCCGTTTAACGAAAGCTTCCTAGCAGCTGGTGGACTCGAGGTTAAGACCATCGAACGAAAGGGCACTTTTTAGGTTACAAAGCGTCCGAATGAACGCAGTGTGCAAGCACTCCCATTAAAATGGGTCTTCAGCTATAAATTCGATAGTGATGGATACCTAGCGAAACTGAAGGCAAGGATCTGTGTGCGAGGAGATCTCCAGAAGCTCTCTACGGAGGAGAAATATTAAGCTACCTTCGCTACCCTTATAGCCCGTGCCGTTCACGCTCTAATCGCTGCGTTTAACCTCGATACGCACCAGTTTGATGCTGTCAACGCCTTCCTCAATAGCTTGCTGGATGGACTAGGGATAACGGAGATGCCTGAGGGATTTAAGCAGTCTGGCTATTGCGGGAAGCTGCTAAGAGCTCTCTACGGCCTACGGAAATCCCCAAGGCTCTGGCAGCGTGAGGCCTCAAAGGTATTGACTAAACTAGGTCCCACTGTCGTTCAAGTAGATCTCTGTCTCTTTGCATCCGATAGAATCATCGTATTCTTCTATATAGATGATAGCGCCAGCGCGCGGCTGATATCAGAGAGAAACTTAACATGACATGGGAATCGCGAGATATAGGCGAACCTGAGTGGTTAGACATCCACACCCTAACGTCGCTCGATATCTTGACTGTATTCCCGAGAATGGAAGGGTTAAAGGGCTTTATTTTGATAGGTATCCCATGACATTATTGCAGAGGATGAGAGACTCGGAGGTGGCGATCTTTGATAAAGGTCTTTGTCTGCAAGGTATCGAGGATAGCGTGCGACATATAACATCCTCTGGGACTTGTTCACAATGATCTTAATCCGTCGAATATTATGATTGACGGACGAAGGGCTGTGATTATTGATTTTGACTCGTGCATGAAAGAAGGGGAGAAATTGGGTCTTAAGAGGGGCACGGTTGGTTGGGAAATGGAGGGTGCGGTTTACGCAATGCCAGAGAATGATCACTTTGGTCTCTCGAAGATACGGGAATTTCTGATGGAAGGGGGGGTTTGAAAAATGAGAATTCCATGTTCATTTGCGCAGAGAAAGTGCAAAAGCATGTTTGCCAAACTCAACGATCGGTCGTATTGTATAGGGCCGTCTGGTTGATATTCCTGGATTGTCACAGCACCATTTCGTTAATTACTTCCAAGGTTGTGTGAGCCGACGACAAAGTATATCATACCACCCAGGTGCAAATTCCCACCCAGCCGTTTTCTGACTACTTCCGAGCTTCGTCCCGTCGATCCTTCAGCAGCGACGCATACTTTCCACTATAACCTGTCTTTTCCATCCACTCTTTTACAGACATCACCCTCGTCGGCAGAATTGTATCCAACAGTTGATAGTCCCTCTTAGTCAAATTGTCTTTCCAAGTATTCCAAAACCCCGAAAAGTTCTGCCGATAAGTTTGTAAAGTCGAGTCATTTTGATCACTAGAGTGACCAACTATCGCATCCGGATCAAGGATGCTAAGCTTGAAATACTCGTCCAAACTCACATCCTTATACACTGCCTTTTGGCCGGTGATTTGCGAAAACGTAGAGGCGAGATCCTCCCAACGGATATCCTCAGTCCCAACGTGCAACTCGACCCCATTGCTCTTAGCCTGGTTATCGAAAATCCATCTCGCATATGCTCCATAATCATCCAAATAGATAAGAGGACATCTTCCTTCCCCAAGCGGAGCCGCAAAAATCAAGGTATCCGGATTTTCAGGATCAGGGAACGGGCGCAGAAATTCCGACAGAGCCTCCATATACATGCAAGATGTCAAAACAGACCAGGCCATAGGCCACGTCGGCTGGGCAGAAATGAAGTCCACGACTTTGCCCTTCCCATCTAGATGACCACATCTGTACTTGGAATTGAAGTTGCCAAGCTTAGAACCGTATTCCAGACCTGCGTAGACGAAGTGCTCGACTTGAAATTCTCGAGCTAGCTCATAGAGCCTGATGCCCCAATAGATCTCTGCTTTTTCACCGATGGCGAATCCATTAGTGTTGACGAACACGTGCGTTGTTTCTTTAAACGCTTGGCGGAGAGTTGCTTCGTCGTAAGTGTTTCCTTCAAAGATAGATACACCTGGAAGTGTTGCTAGGTACTTGGCCTCTTTTGAGGAGGCGCTTCTTGTAAGGACGCGGACGTTATATTTGGAGTCAGTGGCCAGAGCTTGCGAATATGTTAGTAGCTGTTGTGAGATGGCACGTTCGGCTCACATTTGACAACGGGTAACCCCTGGGCACCTGTTCCGCCGATGACCAATACAGTTCCCTTCATATTAAAGTACCTGGGCAGTAAGTTGTTCGTGACTAGAAGATAGTGACTCAAAGAGCAATTTAGAAAGGGAGAAATGGGGATAGTTGTATATAACTACCGTCAAACCCTAGTATCTGACGTCAGAATGAGATCCGAAATTGCTGACGCAGCTCTTTTGCTCCCTTCCTACATGCGACGGGAAGTTCTAGATTGATGTTCTAGATTGTCCCAGCCTCTTGCGAAAATTAAGTTGTTCTAGACCACATGACCGTTCAATCATGGTACGGACACTATTTTGTGGTATTGTTCAATACAGTATACAGATACTGAAACGCTGTGGGAACGGAGTAATGACGAGGGACTAGTATCTACAGAGGTATCTTTTCACCTTGGTCGCTTGTTGGAATGTCTCAAAAAGTTGGGAGTCGAAGCTGAATATATGTCCAAATAGGTAAGTTTACTTTAAAATAAAAATTACAGGCCTCCCAAAGATGTAGTCTCAAGGTCTGGCAGAGCAATGCTAATTGCACGACCCTCTTTGCTAATCGGACCATGGAATTCCTAATTCAGATTAGTCGGTATGTACCATACAATTGGATGCACCTCTGCCATAGAACCCATACAACGTAGAACGTACATTGGGCATTTTCAAAGCGTTAAATTGAAGGATGCGAACTTTCAAAAAGAGTATATAATCATATCTCCGGTACTTAAGAGGCGTTTAGTCTTCATAGTAATCCGATTCCAGGCAATACGGGCTTCCACAATCGTAATCCTTGTACCAGTAGATCGATCCGTCTGTATTGAACCCTGTGAGAAACTTGCAGGTATCCGTTGGTTGAGCAACCTCCTGGTATGCCATTTTCTAAGACCTTGTTAAGATGATCTAATAAATGGGTGTTTTTCGCATTATATCTTGACTGAACGAATGAAAATGGATTGAGTTTTGGTGACTCCGTGGGAATTATTTCGTCTAGGAAAATTGCTTGACAGAGCGGGGGTATTTCAGCAAGAACTGGAAAAATAAAACAGTAGGCCAAAATGAACTAGATGTTTCTTGTTGGGAGCAGAGTTTGGCGAACTTGAAATTGATAGTTAGGTAAAGCCTTGAATGGCAGCCTCGGGGTGACGATATATAGATTCCTGCGACAAAGAAAGCGGGTTTGCGACCGGACAGAAAGAACCTGTGGACAGTCACTCTACTACCAAGTACTTGATGTAAAAACGTGGAGCAGTGACAAAGAATGGAGGAGGGGGACTTGCAATGAGACTCATTACGGCAGAGGGGCTCTTTGCTTGCTTCTCTTTATGATGGGCGAAAATGACGGAAGCGAGGTGCCAGTGAGCTTTAGCTAGTATGTATCTGTCTGTTTCAGCCTCATGCCTAACCCATTCATAATAGGACGTGAAAGACCAAGTTTGCAATGAAACATGAGCCTCGCTAGTTTCTTTTCTGGGTCCCATAATAACTATTTATATCCTCTTTTTTGTTCGACGGTAAGGCTAGCAAGATGAATAACCACTTCATCGCCAAATTTCTCACCTATCTCCTCGAGCGCAAGGCCCTTGGTTTCAGGCAAGTAGAGCCACATCAGCGGTATGTTGATGACAGATAAAATGATAAACAAAAGGTAGTATTTTTATCCAACTTCAGCGAATGCAGTTGGCGCCGGAATCAAATAAGCGATGGTTGATGCGAAAAGAATTGCCAGCGGCCATGCCATTCCCCGAGAGCGTATGCGGGTTGGGATAATCTCTGTACAATAAACGTATGTACTGGCATCGATACAGCACCCATAACTTTTCTTACATTAGTATACTGACAGGAGCTATAACATGGGCCTTGTACTCACAAAGTGATATAAAGAAAGAGGAAGAAGACCCCGGCGCCCAGTCCAGATGATTTCGAGGTTCCTATGTACCCTGCTGACAACGCGGCCTCGAATACCAAGCTGATAAGACAGCCAGTGATTCCGATGACTAAATCTTAGCCCTGATGTTTGGAACCTCTTATATAACGAGGCGTGCTTAACTTACCCAATAGCTTCACTCGTCCGATTCTGTCAATGAGAATGGAGTTGACAAAATTGCCATACAAGCGACCGTCACATATGCCGCAGCCAGGAGCAGGGAAATCCCGTTATTGAATCCAAGGCCATCATAGAGTTATCATCCGAGCCTTGAATGGGCACCTTGTACAATTCTGAGTTGAATGCAAAAGGGCAGTACTGTAAACCAAACCAAACCTGGCATTGGGGGATTTGGTAGCTACCAGTAATTGCACACGGCTAGGTAGGTACCAAGGAACTTGAGGATTTGAAAGCTGAATGGATATTTGAGATAATATTGAGATACTTCCCTATGCCACAAAGTCTTTGCTTGAAATCGGTAACTACTTCTCAACCAGTTGCCTTGATGGAGCGCCATAAGTGCCTTGGCATCCTGCTCTAGATAGCTTCGCTCACTCACCCACCACCAATATCACTACTTTCCCTCATTAGTCACCTACTATCAGTCTCCTGATCACAATATCAAGTCCAGGAAACAGAATATTCGTTGATTAACCTGAATTGGCTATCTCTGCCAAAGATTTTTCCATCCAAAAGGTCCTAAATCTTCCCCTTAATTCATACTTTACATATCGTTAGCGCTAGTCTCCACTAAAGAGCAGAGTAAACTCACTTGATAAGCACGGTCTTTGGCTCTGTAAATGCTCGCAAGGCCTAGTCACTCGGTTAGATGAATTTATAAAATTGGAAGAAGAGATCTTACATATTCCCCATATTCCCTTCCGAGTCCGGATTGCTTCTTTCACCGAAGGGAACCTGAACATTCATCTTTGGAGGGATAGGTATTAGCACGACTCGACACTGACAGGGACGAAATTTGAACTTCCAAGTCACTCACATAGCTAACACAATTGACTCCCACAACACCAGATTCCAGCTTAGCAGAAACACGCAAGGCACGATTAATATCCTTCGTAAAAACTCCCGACATCAATCCGTACTCGGTATCATTAGCCATCTTCAAAACTTCTTCTTCTGTCTCAAATGTCTTAACAACAGCAACGGGACCGAATATCTCATCACTGTATATCCGGGCTCCCTTCTGTGGGTTCAGAAATACCGTCGGCTCGATAAAACAGCCTTGTTCTCCGTGACGCACGCCACCAACAACAAGCTCTGCTTCATTCTTTCCCCTCTCGATCATCTTGCTTACTCTCTCGAGTGCGGTCTTGTTAACAAGTGGTCCCATCATGGTTGCTTTATCTAAGGGGTCTCCGATCTTATCAACAGCTGCTCGCATGCGCTCTGTGTATTTTTCGACAAATTCATTCGCGATGGATCTTTGGACGTAGACTCGGGATGCTGCAACGCAAACCTGTCCGGATCGTGCGAGAATAGCATTTACGGTCCTGGAAAAGTTAGTACATTACCATAAAAGTCTTCATCTTATCCCTTTACTTACCATGTAAGCGCATTTTCGAGATCTGCATCCTCGAAGACCAATGCTGGACTTTTACCACCTAGTTCCAGGGTGACGCGTTTGAGGTTACTCTGCGCGGCTGCAATTTGGATCTTTTTTCCGGTGGGTAGACTTCCAGTGAAGCTTATCTGTAAAATTTAATTTCAGAATTAGCATGTCTCTAAAATACTGGCAAGTGGAAGTAAACTCCTACCTTGCGAACTCTCATATGCTTAGCTAGCAATGCGCCAGTGTCACCGGCCCCAGTAAGAACCTGGAACACGCCCTTCGGAATACCTGCGGCTTCAAATAGGGGTGCGATGGCCAGTGATCCAAGTGGACTTTGTTCCGACGGTTTTAGGATCAAGACGTTTCCTGTTGCTAGACAAGGCGCGGCTTTCATAAAAAGAGTCGCGATCGGGGCGTTGAACGGGTTGATGCCAACGCAAACACTAGTTATTAGTTAACCTCGGTCAACTCTAACTCTTGCATCTGTTCTTCAGAGAGTAAGAAATGGAAAAGGGGGATACCCCAAAGGTTCCTGTCGAACAAGTTTGACAAAACCATCATCGGCCGGATAATAGTCGCCTCGCAACTTATCGGTCCATCCAGCTATTTTGATCAGCTTCTGATTTCCTAATTATCGAAGTTGATTTGGTACGTACCATAGTAGAGTAGATGTCCCAAGATATAAGTCTTTTCTCGAGTCGGAATAATCGAGACCGGATTCCCGGTACTTTGCGCATCAAGTGTGAGTAACTTGATCAATCGATCGTCTTCTTCGAGAAGATCCGCTAGTTTTCGCAAACATGCCGACCGCTGAGCACCCGTGAACTGGCTCCAAGGTCCATTGAACGCGCTTTCGGCGGCATCGACGGCAGCATCGACATCGGCCTCTTCGGCGATAGGAATCCTGTCGGAAACAACTGAGTCGTCGGTTGGGTTGTAGAGAGTATATGTTTTTCCCGCCTTGGGTTCGATGTATTCGCCGTTGATATATAAATTCGTGATATCTGAGGCTGGTGGAATAGTGTAGCTGGTTGAAGACATGTTGGATCGTCGAGGCGTTGTCCGAGTTAGAAACAAAAGCTGAAAGCTCAAAGAGATAAATACAACTTTGGAAGCCCTGGTGGCCAGACAGGTAGCCGAACTCCTGTAGCTTCCCCTCACTTTTCAGCCTTGGCTATCTCGGTCATAACCCCCTCAACGAACGGGGGGTCTGGCTGATTCCCCGCATTTCGAGTGACATGCATCGGACTTGATGGCGCGACATGGGTCGTTGTGATCCGGGTCGGTTATGATCTTCCCAATCTCCTGCTATTCAGAGTAGCTTTCCTCCACGTCTTCTCTATATTTCTCGCTCCTATCCGTGCGTATAAAATCGACTCTACAATATACCATCATGAGCACAGCAACCATGCAAGCAGTGGTCTATGAAGGGCCATTCAATATTGTTGTTAAGGAAAAGCCTAAGCCTGTATTGATTGATGAAACGGATGCCATCCTTAAAGTGCACATCGCGGGTGTTTGTGGGAGCGATTTGCACATGTATCGAGGGCACCAAAAGACGACCACGGGACATACTATGGTAAGAAAAAGGCATCCCTGGAAGATGAGTATTTTCGCTTAGAACTTCTGCTAGGGACACGAGTTCATCGGCACTGTTGAGAGCGTTGGGTCTGCTGTGTCCAGGTTCAAGGCTGGTCAAAAGGTCATGTCTATCTTCTCTCCCATGTGGTAATATTGGAAATCCCATATGTCAATTGCAAAGCCAATTTCAAAAGCTGATCAGAAAGCTTCCTAGTATGCAATGTTGGTTCTGCCAGCACGGACACACAAATCGATGCGTCAACGGTCCTTCTTTCGGAAGCATGTCCTTGGACGGCGGACAATCCGAATACGTCCGCGTCCCTTTTGCCGACAGTACTCTTGAATTCATACCCAAGGAAGTTAGCGATGAAATGATGATCATCATGTGTGATATCTTCCCGACGGGATACTACGGAGCCATGAAAGCTATCACAAAGCTGATGCGCAACAATGATACAGCCGATTCGATCGCCGGAGGTGCGCTACACGCGCCGTCTGCCCTTCGTCCAAATTTTCAGAAGATCGCACTTGATCAGCTAATGGTTGTATGTCTAGGATGTGGACCCGTCGGACTCTGTGCAGTTCTCTCAGCAAAGGCCCTTGGCGCAGGCACCGTGTATGCCGTCGATTCAGTCGATGATCGTCTAGAAGAGGCTCGGAAGATGGGTGCTCAACCGTTGAAGCTTGGAACAGATGATATTCCGGAAATTGTCAAAGCTGCCACAGATGGTCGAGGAGCAGATGCTGTGGTTGAAAGCGTGGGCAATAAATCAGCAATGAGACTTGCCATTGATTTAGTTCGAGCTTGTGGTGTCGTTTCCTCGATCGGTTTCCACCAAGGAGAGCTACCTTTCACGGCATTTGAAGCGTATTCTAAGAATCTAGAGTAGGGTCTTTGTTTCAATATTGTTGGGCACAGTACTGACTTTTGCCTATTTAGTATTAATATGGGGCGTGCAGCAGCCAGACCGGTCTTCGGCGAATCATTGACGCTATTTGCTGAGAACCAGGACAAATTTTCGGATTTTATCACCCATCGCATGCCGTTGGCAGATGCACCGATCGCATATGAGATTTTTGAGAAACACCAGGCTCGGAAAGTGATCCTGACGTTATAGGTTACGGTTATTGCACCTTGAAGTCAAGCTTCGGTGCGATTGAGCTGTTGTTAGCTGAAACTTGAATTTTAGAATTTGGGCTTGGGAGAACATTTTTCCACAATTATCTTCATTCTAGTGGATTTTGGTAGTTTTTTTATGCTCACCTAAGGCATTCCATAGCCGTAGTCGACCCAGTGTTGCGGTTTTCGTGAAAATAAACGATAGATGCCCCTGAGCCTAAACCCTTTCATGATCTCTGGTATGCCGCATGGGGACTGGTCAAACCCACTCGTACTCCCACCTGTGATTATGATGTACAAAGGGGATATGGTAATGGGAACTGCCATTAATCTACAGCTTAGCTTTTAAGTACAGGGAAGATCGAAACCGGACTCGCTACCCCCTCTACACAAAGATTCTTTCTCGAACGCTCTGTTGACCCTACGCAATTACTATTAAGATTATTCTTAACTAAACCCCTATCTTGGCAGTAATTCGGTACGGCCGCAAATAGCAGCATAAAATTAGCATCCGTAATAAGCTTATATGGTCTCAGAGGCCTTTAGAATATTGATTGATCCCGCAAATAATGCAAACAAGAGAGCAATCTGCATTATCAATTTGGTAATCTGCCCGGAACTCGAATTCCCTCCCTCCTTCAAATAAGCTACTAAGCCTCCACTGCAGTGATCACTATGCAAAGGCGAATTGTATAGAGACAATAGTTGCTTGGTAATCATTTCAATATGCGCTGTGGAACGCTGCTTGCATATGGCAATATTTTCATGGGTCAAGTGACTCATCTTAGTTAGAGTTCTGAGCCCCAACTATGTCCGTTGAGAGGCTCGTGTTTGTGTCAACACTTTCCTCCGTGTGCCCCGGAATCTGGTCTGCATAATCTCTCCAGTCCTCATATGTTCGAAATATGTTTGGGACATTTGGATGTCTAGAATAGTACGTCACATGATTTATCTCACAGATACCATCCCTCGTCCCCTTATGGTTGACGCAAAAGGGCCGATTGCATAAAATGCATTGCTTGTTCGGAAAGGCGTCTTGAAGGTGTGGTTTTCTCAATCGCATCCTATTATGGACGTGGCATGGTCCAACTTCAGCAGATTCACTCTAGAAGTTTCTCAGCCCTCACAAAATGCTGGTGTGGAGTGGATAAACAGACCATTTTATAATCTCTAGTAAAGGTTGTGTTGATGGAATTCCGATGTGGGGTCTCAGAAGAGCAATCAGTGGAAATGGACAACAGACATACGAGTGGGGAGAGCTGGGCTTTTATCTCAGTAGTGCATGACTCGTAGAACTTTCGAGTTGTTCGATTGACAATTCAGATTGGGCACCCTTACAGGGTCTTGGAATGAGCTGATTCTTGTTGTACCTGCAAATACCGGGGTGTTGGCCATGCGTAGGCTTTTGGGCGAGTTTTCCAAAGATCTCACTGGTCGGATCGAAGACCGATTATTCTGCTGCCTCAGTCTCCTTCAAAAAGAAGATTGGTATATCCTTCACCCCAGATTAGGAGGGGGGCGCGCTGGCGCATGCATACGTCCCAACTTGAGACAGACCCTACAATAAGAGTACCTGATTTCGGGTCTTGGTGCGAAGATTACGCTGTAGTAATGTAAGAGCTCTATCATTATCATTGACAAAAGCCTTCGCCAGATCTAAATATCGAGAACGAAACGGTCCACTCGGATTAAATTTGTTGAAGCTGTGAATTAGGGATGTAAGCAAAGTTTTTCATGCTCTACAGCCATCTTAGCAAAGTGCGTCGTCAATGAGATTTGGGATATGGGCCATATAAAAGATTCGCCTGAATAGGATCTTTGGTTCAGATATCTGGATATTTAGCGTGACAGATAGCCGACAGAAGTGACATCTCAGGTGAGTTAAGAACAATGACGCCAGAATTCATATTTTGCAAATGAACAGAATACGCCATTTATTTTGGTAGAAAAATGAACAAGGACCAATCTTGACGGACACGCCAAGAGATGTGCTTAGATTATACACCGGCAGGATTTCAGTATTTGCACGTAATGACAAATTCTGAACCTGGAACAAAAGAAGATCAAGTACTACTAGTAAATTCACCCCAAGGAGACCGTTCACAACAACTTAGTAAAAATACTCGCAAAAGTACGTCATTCAGTGTTTCTCTTTCGAGGCCTTGGTAGGAATATATCCCTATGGTAAAATCTTCTGACGTCTTCAAAACTCTAATCAACCAGGACGAGTGTATTGACACATCTCCAAGGTCTTTCAGAAATTCACCCGAGGGGATATATTCAATGCGAACGTGACAAGGATGATTTTTTTTAGTAATGAAAAGTTCTCTAGGTGATGGTAAATATGATATGCGAAAGGCGTCGTCTCTGAGCAATTTTCATATCACTTACTTTCAATCAATTGGATCCATTTCAGGATTTCGCCCACTATATCCTGGCGTAAGCTTTGACCAAGGAGCGTTGGGCCTAGCACAATATTGTGAAGAGTGTCATACCTGGTTCCCCAATCCGCTCTCTTATTTGAGTCGGATCCTCGGCATTTATTTCACTGATATCCATTTCGTTGGGAAAGACGTCGACTAGACTTGATGATATCAGAAGCTATGGAAATCAGCTTGCTTTTTAAATTACTTTGGATTTTATCTAGCTAGACATAGGTAGGCAGAAGTATCACAGAATTGCGCCGCATTTTTCCATGGCGTCATTGGGGAATGCATGGATACCCAGCAAGCTGACTATGACATGCAATCCTAGCACGTGTCCAAGCATCATTGGTAACAGATGCCGACCCTTGTTAATGACAACACACGGGATTGCATCTTGTACATGTATAGAATCGCACACACCACTAGTTAGTACCTGCCCTCAAGGCCATAAATCGGAATATACTTGATCCTTTTACATGCGATACCTGTGACCGTCTTCCTCCACCCTTGCTACCTCTCGCGGAGATATAGGAATATCCAACCCCCGATTTCTAAGTCTCGATTAACTAAACACTATTCTTCTTTATACAGGTAGAGGAACTGAGCCAACTAATTTTTAAGGCGCATCAATTGACACATGTGTCAATAAATGATCGGTTAGTTAGATAGCTTGTGCATTAGTCCGTTTGTGGGATCCAATAAAGCTGAGACGGCTCAATGAGGCAGACAGAAACAAGACCAGATATGACCTTCGCAGATTCGGCCATCCGATATGTAGTAAGTAAATCTCACAGATTGCATGATGGCTTGATAGTGAATTTTCGAGCAGAAAGTTTAGGGGATTACATCTATCAGAAAATGAACGTGAGTTACATGATGGGCTCACAGTGCTTGGGAGGTCGATGGCCATAACAAAGCTACGGACCTCAAAAAATAGCAGCGCGAAGACTGGACTACCATGATCTAGTTCAACCGTAGCATAAAACTGACCTGCAACCGCTTATACCATGAGAGTGATAGCAAACAGAACTAGATATCCAAATTTGAATTGAGAGAGTGTTTTTTTGTAACTTAACTAGTTGATCTCGGGCGCTGTGCTTAGTTTGGGCGTCCTATCTCGGCTTGATCTGCTTCCAAGGTGCCAGGGTGTGTCAATCTTAGGTTGATCCCCTCTGTCTTGGTGCAGCAACACATCCTTCTTGCAACAGGGCAGAATACCTTTGTACTTGGAATAGTTTTCATTCGACCTAAGTTCACTTGATCGTGGCATCGATCGGTATCTTTTTGTGGCAATGACCATGGGCTTTAGATTGGAGATAACCATCTCTTGATCAACATACACTTCCATCTCCTACCAGGTAAGTCAGAAACTGGAAACTATCTAGAACACTAACTTATTAACAATTTCGGGACGCTGGCAGAAACACTAATTGAAGGTTTTTGAATCACGGATTGGAAAAAATTAATATTGCTGGAAGAGATAATTCCATTGCTATTGACCATTCTCATCAGAGACTGCTAGCTTGGGATCACCTTTCGTCTCAACAGGATGTTTCTGCAAACTTTCAAACCATTGAATCGTAGACCCAATCATGAACGCCCATGAGCCCCAGAAAGTAGCCAGCGTAGCCTGGTACTCAATACCAGAGTGACCAATCGCTGGACCCAGCGCACCACAAAGAGTGAATCCAATACCCCCTATAAAATTCCAGGTACCAATATGCCATCCTAGAACATGGAATGCTGGCTTGTACCACCTTTCCTGAGTCTCCAAAGTGAACAGCAGGCCACTGATGACGAACCCGATCCCACCAACTATTTGAGGTACCCAGTACACTCCATCCGCTAAGCCTTGACTCAAATGATTGGTAATACCAGGCATCCCGGTGAATCCCGCGATCCAGAATATCGTCGCCGCAAGAAATTGCACGAGAGATGCGAGGAACCCCAGCTCATGTATGTAATGCGACTTCAGTTCCGACCACGATGGTAGCCAGCGGAATGATTTGTCGTTGGTCTTGGACGAGGTCGTATATCCAGCCATAGAATCGTGAGAAATATGTCGATGTAAATGCCTTCCTGCTCCGACGAGATTTTTCCTGTTCGCATGGTGGTGGCGACATTCATGCGGGTTTGGTTTGAGTTGAGTGACAGCAACGGAACGCGATGTTTTACCCTCAGCCTTCTTCAACTCCGTTTCAAGCGCCCAGCCGAAACAGCCGGTTTGATTTGCATTGACCGCTTCCAGGAGCAGCAGCACGCTTCCGATTTCAAAAATAGTCGCACCGATCAACGCACTGATACCCCCGCCGTCTAGAGACTCGCCGGGAAACTCGGTCTTCGGGTCTACAAGAGGTAACCACACGAAAAATGCATTGATGATCCATACCACCGATCCGAGCGTGAATGTTACCGCGACCAAGTAAGATACATCCCAATAAGGCGCGTGGGTCGCCATGCGGAGAATACCCCTTGCAACCGTCTGCCAAGTGGATGTTGGCGGGGGGGGGACGTACTCCGATTCCCCGGAGATACACGATAGTCGACACGTAATGCATGACGCCCCTTGCGATTATCGCGAGATCGCCAGAGATGTTGGACGTGTGCTGGCGGAGAGGGGCTGGGTCGGGGCTCTGACGTCTCACCGGCCCGGCGATCGGTGGTAGGTGCGTACCAGGCCCATGTGGGATTTAGGAATGAGAAAGGACCAGAGACATGACTTCGACGAAGTTCTAATGCCGGGTGATCCTGTAATGGCTCACGATCCGGTCGAAATTGTGAATTTCGACTCATTGTTGCTCGAGTGGAAGAGTAGAAGAGGCCAAGCTTCGGGGGGAGATCCATTTTGCGGGGCCGCACGGACTCCACGCACCAGGCTGCCCATCCATGGATATGAACGTATTCAGAAGTAAATTCAGCGAATCAGTATGCATCTTAGGCATTGGTCAGTATTTTCTAATAGTCTCCCCCGGAAAGCTCAACATGATAAATTTCCACTGTACTGTAGTATCCTGTTGGAATAGGTCCAATCACTATGTTTTTATTAGCTGCAGTCTGATGTTATCGAATAATATGCCAAATATATTTCCAAAAACCACTATGATGAGAGTCGATAGGTAGCGGCCGGGAACAATATACTATGTAACCCAATTCTTTGGCGAGCAGAATCCTAGCCATGGCAATGAGAACTACCTTTTGTATACAAAAAGGCAAATACGTACTACGTACTGTGGGGAATGTAGAAAGCGATCGTACGATAGCCACTGCCCACTATGTCCACGGGTTTTTCGTATGAAATGGTAAACAGTCAATGGCTCCCAGTCACTACTTCCCTGGAAGGCTTTTACATGCAAAGGGTGATTAGACCACAATGACTAGTGTTTAGTTACACAGTCTAGAAATGTTATGGGCTTTAGGGTACACTTATTTTCGAGAACGAACCACCCACCCAGGTACCTACCTCGGTAGATATCAGGACCAAAACTTGAACTGCACCGTAGCTGCCAGGTAGTGCCTTCCTCGAATTCATATCTGCGAGGCAGTTCAGAGCTCTCTATCTCCCCTCAAAAAGGATCCCACGGCGCAACGTCAAGCGTCATTCACCCACTCTGGTACGTACCTTCGAGCAAAGCACAATCAACAGACACTTTGCGTGTGGGAGACAAACACGGCGTACAAGGCCGTTTCCAGCACACCGCCTGCCAGCATCTCGGGAAGATTCTTGAAGCAGAAAATATCAATTTGGAATTCGCAGACTTCAAGTGCTAGGAAGCGAGTAAGGGAACGGACGTATTCCAGACGTCGTTGAGCTGACCCTAATACAATCTCCACCAAGGCCACAAATCATGGTGGTCGGAGAGCTGAAAATACCTTGGATTACACGGCACGATATTTTACCAAAGGTGGAACTGAGGGACGAGGACGAGGGGCCTTTTAGGCAATTGATCGGCCAAGAACCACGATATTTACAGGATATGCAGTGCGAGTTTGGATTCCAATGAGTCGAAGATGGTGGTTCATAGCTTCAACGAGTGGGCTGTATGGAATCCCGGAGAATAGAGTGGCCGGAGAAGATACTTCCTGTTTAGGAAGATTAGGATGAGATGGAATGTACTTACTTCTTTATGAAGAATCAATGCTTTTCCGACAATTTCTGAACAATGCGGAGATTGGGGGTTGGAATATTCCCCAATAATTACTGGAAGTGCTGCGTCTGAACCAGCGAACTCCAGCAGGAATGCTACGGCAATCCCTGTACTGTCAGTGAAGCGTTGTATGTTTTATGTGTGTGTTTGTGCAAGTACTTCACCTCCTACTTCAAACCAGACCGTAAATGGACAGTGGGTCACTGGCACTTAAGTTGTCAAAATCGTTGGATGAATAACAAGTACACGCTATGTAACATTAAGAAAAACCGTGACGCTTCATAAGACTCCGCATAAATCCCGAAACAGAAAATCAAACATCATACTGGTACTAGTAGCACCTCGCTATTTTAAACCCTTGCCCGGTCTCTCCAAACGACTAAACATTCTGAGCTCCATGATAAGCAGGGGCCGGAGCTCCGTTGTAAACTGGGTCGTACGCAGTATTTTGCGGAACTCCAGGGTAGGTAGGATTATAAGCAGTGCTCTGAGATCCGTGATAGGCAGGGTCGTAAGCCGCATTGGCACCATTGTAAGCAGTGTTATAATCCTGCGCACTTAGAGGCTTTCCCTCGTCCGGGTGCTGCTGGTCCTGATCCCTCTCCTTCATTTTCGCCGGATCAAGCTTCACAAAGTCAGGCTGTAGAACAGCTGATACGCCAAGACCGATGATAATAGTACTGGCAGCGATCTCTTCCAACACACACATGCAAAGGTAGACAGTTTCGTTAGCGCCGAGCTCAAATGCCTGGATGGTAGTGTAGTCGGAGAGGGCGGAGTAGATCATTCGGACCAGCACAAATGGAGCAGAGAGGGCGATGGCGAGGAACAATTTCTTCTGGTATCGCAGTAGAGAGGAAGAAAGTGCGAAGAAGAGCCAGACACTCAGGAGCATGGTAAGGGCGAATACAACGAGGAAAATAGCCATCGCTACCTTGACCATTGTTCCGGGCTTGTAAGTCTCCCCTGCGGAGGTTTTGGCAGTGGAAACTCCAGCGATGGCGAGAATTAAGCCGATGATAGCGACTAGAGTGACGAGTGCGAGACGCCTGGGAGGCATTCTTTGTTCATAATCACTATAATCGATGATTGTTAGTCTCCGGTTACTACTAAATCGTAGAACTCCGCGCTCTTTAAACTCACATTTGTCGCAACATTCCCACGTATGTAAGTACCAAAGGTGCAATACCGATCAGTTGGCAAACTGCAATAGCAATTTGGACTTGATGAGAGTTATGATCGATTGCAATGAAAGTAGAAATGCTACCAGCGATTCGAAGTAAGGAGAGAACGGCGGGATAACGCCAAATCTTGCTGCCAACTCTCCATCCTGCTCGTTTCCAGACGAATATGGAGGCGGCGAAGATAAATGGATAAACAATAAATTGCAGGATAGCAATCCCGGTGGCGTAGCTGATTGTTCCCATTATGCTCCCGATAGATACCAGTAAAGCAGGGAAATGTTGATATTAAGGTGGATGAAGCGAGGTATAGAGGTGACTGGCGTAGGTGGGTGGATGAAGAGAACTGCTTGTTGTGTGCTATTTTTTCAACAGGCGGAAATTGGGGCCCTTTTATGTTTCTCTTCATGTAAAACTCTTCTATTTTGAGTACATTGCGCCATGACACTCAGCTGCATCTTGCCCAAGCTTTTACGAGGCTTGTTGGCAACCTCTAATCTCGAATCTCGAGAATTCCTTGTGCTGATTGGCCGAGCAATTGAGATACCCAAAAAGGATTAGCGTATAAGAGAGGAAACTCCACGCATGCAACACAACGTTTCGGCCAATCATCACGCTGAATATTCAGCCCTAGGTGGCTGTGACCAAACAGATCGCATCTAGCATACCGATCTTGGTAAACAGCTGCAGATCACTGTGTGTCAGAGGCGTTTTCTCTCGGAATTATCTCGCACTTCTGCCCAGAGTCAGCTCGGCGGGGCCGTTTGGGGGCCGTTTGGGGGCGATGCGTTAGGGGCCATTTTGGGAATTTGGGTGCTGGAGAACTTCTTCACTTCGACCCCACGTCGCTTCTAGACTTGCTAAGAGAGCAGAACCTCCGTTGAAGTCGATTAAGCACTCTCAGAGGCTGATGACAGTAGCTTGCCTCCGAGGCTAATTCAACTGGGCTGAGCAACGGGAATCTTCAAATATAGCAGCCCCTTTTTGTATTTCTACACTCTTCTTAACCACCAGTGCCTTCACCGCGTGAATGCCCGCGCGCATTAATATGTCACCATCACCGCCTCGAGCCCGAGCATCTCGGAGCTGCGGTAACTGTCGAGCCGTCAAACGACGTGTAGGTAGATCCTTCCTGTTCCAGCGACAATTTAATACAAACAACACACACTGACCTTGTTCCATGGGGACAATAAGTGCGATAAGCAGTCCCCGCAATGCGGCCAGTGCATTCGCACCAAGGAAACATGCCAGGGATACCGAGATGAGTGGGACCTAGTCTTCCGAGACCAGACAAGCCATACCATCAAGCGGTCCAAGAAGAGTCCACGAGGAAATGATACAATCTCGACCGAGCTTACTACAACTCCTACTACGACCCACTCCCACTCACCTCGTTCACCTCCACCTGCCCGTGGCCCAGACCCCAATCTGGATGACATAGGCGTGAACTATTTCCTCCAGGACTTCGTGGCGGGCGGCCGTGTCCCGACACGCGGTTATCTCAACTATATTCCGAACGTATACAGCTCCGATTCCGAGCATCCAACTCTCATCGCCAGTATGGCAGCCGTAGGCCTCGTCGCACTAGCAACTCGACAGCCCGAGCTCGCCGCCCACGCGCGCGCCAAATACTCCGAAGCAATCCGCCACGTGAACAATGCCATCGCCTCGCCGACCGAGTCCGTCAAGGATAGTACTTTGATGTCGGTAATCTCGCTCGGTGTCTTCGAGCACGTGTCGAATTTCGAATCCTGGGTTCGACATGTTAAAGGTGCTGCCTCTTTGGTGATTGCGAGGGGTAAATCTCAATTCTCTAGTAGGGTGTCGATTTTGATGTTTAACCAGGTGCGCGCGGACATGTGTGCTGCTTGTATTCAAAGTATACAGCCATTCCCGGATGATATGCGCGAGCTACAGGACGAAGCAACCAAGTATACCGAACCGACCGATGCGTTCTGGATACTTGGCATTCTGAGCTCGCGCTGTGCAACGCTGTTCGCGCGCGTGGTGGCGAAGAATAAGGGCGCTGCTCTGACCATCTCTTGGTCTGACTTTTTAGAAGAGTCGATTGCGCTTCAGGCGGGATTCAAGACCGCCGCTGCCATCCTCGCTGTGCAACAGCCATACACATCGATTCAAGAGCCCAAAGGTAGCTCGGCGTTTATTTCCTTTAGGGGGGAGGTATGATCTATATCAGACGGCTTTTTCAATAAGGCTCTGGAATAACTCACGCATGGTCGAGATCATTGTTTGTGAGATCATATGCTGGCTTATAAACAAGATTATTACCTCGGACCTCGATGGGTCTGGGCCTGTTTCTGGACAGGACGGCACGGAGCTTAAATCAAAGCTGCATTATGCGGCTCATATCATAGCGGAACGGGGGGGAAGATATCTTGTCCAGCATTCCACAGGGTCTAGGCCTGGTGTTTGCACCGGGACAGCATCAATATTTCGAGGAGCCCCCGCAGGCCAATATCTCCGGGGGATATATGCTGGTCTGGCATCTTTATACGGTCGGGAAGTCACCTGTCATAGGTGATGGTGATCGAAAATGGGTCATCGAGCGACTAAAGGGTATCAGTGAGAGTGCGGGGATTGATATGGCTTTGCAGCTTGCTGAGGATCTGGCCAAGTTAGAGATAAGTGGAAAGTGAGGTCAAGCAGGAACCATTGCATTGAATCGACGAGGGGCATCAGGCATGGCCCCGTGTGAGCTGCTGGCCCATCTCGCATTTTCATCTATGACTGGATCATGGTGAAAGGCAAAGGGATAGAAGTTAGTGGTGTGTCCATAGTATTGTAGAGCAGAAAGAAATTTGCATGACAGAGATTTCATAGCGCACAAAGTGGCCAAATATCCAGTCTTAGATTGAACAATTTGAAAAACTTTATCCAAGGGTATTCGGGGGGTCTAAGTAAAATGTGGGCTCCTATAACCCCTCTTTATATCGTGCTGCTCGAAGCGAGTCGCTCTATGCACCCTACACCTCAAAGACCCTGACTCCCCTCGTATCGGCAAGCCGGTGCCCAGGAACTTGAACTTGGCAAAAATACGTGAAATCAGCCTGACATCGTCAACAACCGCCGATAATCTGCACAATATTTCCAATTAGAGTGTCTTGGCGCGCGCCTTCGTCGTCTGAACTAGTCCGCTTTTGGTATCTGAGATGCTGCACCAGTCACCGGCCGAGGATATCAGCAGGTTTTTTGCCCCCAATGACCAAACCGTTTAGCATTTTCGGCAAATTCGTGCGTTTCAGTCCAATTAATTAACTGATGACGAATTTTAGGTTCTCGTTCATGCTCGTGCGGTATGCGATGAGGACAGAAGGCCAACTGAACTATGATTTCGGCTTCTGACCTCATTTATGTTTGGTCTGTAAGCCCTGTTGTCAGAAAAAGGATTGCTGCGGTCTAAGTTGTGCTCTGTTAAATTTATATCGACTCGGATTACAATTCCCTTCGCCCAGGGCACATCATCGGTATCCATTCAACTTCAAGTCTCTGTAATCCGGTAAACGGTATGATATTTTCATTTCAATCGGCATAAGCCGCCAAAGCTACCAAAGAAAATCATATCTCATAAAGATGAGTATCCCATAACTCAAGCCCAAGGCTAAACCCCGAAAAGGTCCCATTCATTCCCTTATAAACCGCCAAAAACATAAAAGCACAGTGTTGATTACCATCTCCATTACCATTATCGCAGATGCAGAATCTCAAGAATATCATACCGCGCACAAAATGCCCGATTCCATTTTCCGAAAACGTCTGCATCGTATTAGAAGATTAGCCAACTTAAATGAAAAGGAAAGGAAAGAAAATTAGGGAAAGAGGAGCTCGTACACATTGGAAGAGTCAAGAGGCATATTCCGACCTGGATACTGCCGATGACGATCATGGTATGTTTTATCCCACCGCGAGCAAACCAGTTGTAGGCGAAGAAGGTAAGGACGAAGCTGAACATGTTTTTAAACACGAGTAGACATGTAAATGCCTCGACGGCAATTTCACCTGTCAACGTCAGTCAGTCACTTGAATCTCATCCATAGAAGAGGTTGGTGAGAAACATACGATGTGCATCGACGATGTACAGTGAAGCAGCAACAGCGCCCATAACCATCCCAATAATCAGAAAAGCAAAGAATACATCCGGCAGTAACCATTTGTACTTCGCGACATCATTGGCGGTCCATCCAAATCCATACAGACCCATGCAAGCAAAGATGAATTGGAAGAAGACCAGCAGAAGTCGGAACTCGGGCTCGTATTTGCCGCCGTTGAGTCGGATCATCATCTTGTTCATTGAGTCGGTGAGGAGGCCGGATAGGACGAGACCGATTATTGATCCAATGAATGCGCCGGTGTAGAGGTATCCTGTTTTATCTTCTTCGAACCAGAGCGGTGGGCCAAGGAAAACAATCGCTAGAACGACACCAATGAATACGGCCCAGCCGATGACAACGCCTTGTATGAGACACGCCTATGATCGTTAGCTATCGCCAAAGGAAGAAAGGGAATTGAATTCAGGGAGCGACTCACGTAAAGGATCCCTGGGTGTAAGAACAGGGAAAGGGACGCAAGAGCAGCTTGAAAAAGTTCTCATCTGTCTTTCGTCCATTGAACAATCTCATCGATTTCAGAAGCGAATCTTTTTCCGGGATGGGTGTCGCAGAGACTTCTGTCCTAGACATTCCACGTCTCCCAGACTCCCCCGGCACAAACGGTTTAGGCTCATCACTAGTATCATCGAGTGGCAAGTGAGACTCTGTAGACTCGTTCCGCCTAGCTTTGTGCTTGAAATCAGTGTTGAGATAATCGGGCCGACGATACGCAGTCTCCGGAACAAAGACGATCATGAACGGGAGGGCCGCGGCAAGGAAAATAGCCACGAAATAGAAGGACCATTGCCAACCCATCGTCTTGGTGATTTTGCCGACGAAAACCGGGGTCAGGAAGGCTGCTCCGAAGAGCGAGACGTTTGACACGGCCATTCGTTTTCCTCGTTCCTAGACGCGCTGTCAGCTAAAAAGGATTTTCTTGTCCTGTCATGGGGGTGCCACAACAACTCACATGTACAAAGTATAGATCACCAACACAGGCATTGACCAGGGCCTCAAATGGGGCCAAAGCAACACCCTGGAATATGCGTGCCCATAGAAGACTCTTGGTATTTGTTCCACTCCCACCGGCCCAGGCGCAGCTCACAATCATCAAGACATGGCCGAGCAGAAATAGATGGCGCTTGCCCCAGACGCGTGCGGTAGGAACAATCAGAATACCCGCTACTCCGACGCCACAAAGATGGTATCCTGTGAGAAGGGCAGCGTCCACAAAGGTGATTTGCTCGTAGTCGGCGATCGTGACGGTGTTAGCGGCCATGATGGAACTGAGCGTTGTGCAGAGCACGGTGACGAAGGACAAAATGCCGAGGATAACGTCGCGGCGCCATAGTGGCCAGTTCTAGAAGTGCATCAATGCTATGGTTAGATTTCAATTCACCGTGGTGGAGAGACTTGTGCATGATCGGGATAGCGTACCAAAGGATCATTTGGGTCATCGCTGGGTTGCGGTACAAGAACCGTGGGCTCTTTGGTGGTCCAGTCGTATTTCAGGCCGGTGCCAGAGGGGCCATCGGTCGTATCCCGGGCGTGGTCGTAAATGTTGGAGGTGCCTAGAGTTCGCGCAGAACGTTAGCTTTCGTCGCTGTGGCTCGAGGTTGTTCAAGCTTACCGGGGACCTCAACATTTTGCGCCACGTCTAAGACTCCCAGTCCCATGACAGTGGTAAATTAGGCGAAACTGCGTGCCTGAGGTGGAAGGGCGCGGGATGTGAAGCTTGTGGAGGGAAGTTGGTGAGGAGGAAATAGTTGGAGTATGAGGGGGTTCTCGAGCTCCACCCAAGCACATTCAAAAGAAAGTTCAGCTGGCACCAGCGGACATCGCTCTTTTTTTCGACCAAAGTGCAGAAGGAGCTGCTGGCAAATCTACTCCATCGAGTGCTGTCCAGTACAGGCAGAACCAGTATAGTTGAAATATGGACAGATGGAGGGGAAAGTAGAGTCGAGAAATTTCTTTCGGAGTTTCAAGAAGCTGCAGGTTTGAAAAGCAGCCAGGGGCGAGAAACGAGGAACGAGGAACGAGGGTCGAGGGCTGACGGAGTCAATGAAGTAGACTAGTGGTGACCTCCTGCAAGTACCCTGCAATTCGTCTGCACGGTGGGATTGACAACCAATGATGTGGAGTCCCCAGACTAAAATCACAGGCAGATCTACCATTTTTGGGGTATTTGATTGGATGAAATCAAGATTGGAGGGGAAAAGTAAAAATGGAAAATGGGGTGTATTGGGCCGAGGTATTTAGCATGAACTACTAGTATCACAGGAAGAAAAAGGAAAAGAACTAAGTACTAGTACTCCGTACTGTGGTACGAGGGTCCCGGGGAAATCCCCACTTGTGGAGAGGAAGGTTTAGCTGGTAAGATTGGGTAGTATACAGTACTCGTATTACCGCCTCAGGCCGGACGGGATGTGGAAATTGCACTAATTCATATTCATTCATACATTTAAGGATACATAGTCATAGTCATCATCGTAATTGTCATAGCCATAGACCATCTACTAGTAGTAACCCTGCTCGTGACCACTCTGGTGCTCGAAGCGAGCCCTTGCACTTCCTTTTAGCCACTTGGCAATCCTCTCCTCCCATTCTTCCTTCGTCCATGGAGCGGGGGTATAGATCAGCGAAATTCCGTATTCGGCCAACTCATCACGCAGCCCACTCATTCGATCCCATGGATACCCATGATCGTCTGGATAATTCCCGTATTTGTGCGGATACTCACTCCACGGTTGGAACAGAATGTCAATGGTCTCCAACGAGGATTGCCGACTCGCTGCAGCCTGGCCGAGTTGTCGAAGCCAGCTCACCTCCTTGTCGCCGAAGTTATTGATCAGACAACATCCCAGGATCCCAAATGACATCCCGAAGGTCTTGAGGTTTGGTGGTAATAGGCGGTCAGGATGAGAAGATTCCCAGCAGAGATTGTTTTGTACACCATCACCAACATCATCATTGAGTTGGGTGCGAGAAAGCGTGAGACTTTCCAGTCGGGGAAAGATGGAGGCGTCAAACTCCTGAATTCCTTGATTGTGTCCAAGGAGGTCAATGTAGGCATACTTCAGAGTCTCTTTGTGGTTTAATAGCCAGCTTTGTGCATCCATTAGGCTCAGATGGGCGACCTCCTCATTCCCTGAGGTGTTGATGGTAAAGTCGACAAGATCCTTGGGCCAGGAGATACATTTCTCGATTGCCTCAACGCTATCTTTGCAATAGGCCAATGACAAGCAGGTGAATGGTGCCGTGCGAGGTTCCTGCAATTTGTCAGCCATACATTCTCTCTTCCTGCTCATCCCGGTGTTTCTTTGCACGTACCTCTGAGTTTGAGCTGGGCATTGGACGCCAATCTTCGGAGTGCCCATTACCGGTCATAGATAAGATCTCTAGCGAAGGAAAGTTGATGTATTCCATCGCTTCTAAAAGAGACAGTCCCTCGTTGGTATCGTTTCCCATGTCAAGCAGGAACTCCTTTAGGTTGGTCATGCTCCGGGTCGCATAGTAGATCAATCCCAGGGTATTTTCTCGTTGCCCCGAGTCCGATCCACCCCAAGGGAATCCACCATAGAGTCGAAGAGATTGTGTTCGTCCCAGCCATGATACAAGGTCATTGGCGACCCGAAAGTCCTCATCTGTGATTTCCGCCTCGTCGTCGAAAACCATTTCAAGATCAAGGCACATTGATCGCAGGGGTGGATTATCACGCAACACCCGATGCAGGGCTAGTGCCCGGGGACATGGGGGAACGATACTGTATTCCTTGTTATCCGAAGAATGCGGATGGCCATCGTACAAGCTGATTCCTTGGTATAGGAATGGCGTTGCCAGTCGGTGAAAGCGGTGGCATACAAGGGACAGTGAAGTGAGATCACTGTAGACGCGCCTGATCCGGTAGACGTGGTCACGAGGGATGTAACAGAACCCTTCAAGGGTGCTGTACTCGATGATTTGTACGAGAAGTTCCTCTGGGAGATTCCCAAGGGAAGGTCTCGAAGTTGCCTGCAATCGAGTTCAGTCCAATGTTGATGAGCCAGGTGGAGAGATGCCATACCATTGTTTCTTGTTGTTTGGTTCAAGACCAGCGATGAGATGAAAACAGTTGTCTTAGCTTCGAAAGCAAGCTGAGAGTGGCAGTGAAAAGTACAAAGTGCAAAGTGAAAAGAGAGCTCGAGAGATGGTCACTGGTAGGGAGGGGAGATGTGAAGGGTGAGGACCTTCAGAGGTAAAGGAATACCTGCGTGAGTACTAGCTACGCGAGTACCTTCGTGGAAGGCACCACCACTACTCACAACTCCCCGGCCCTCTTAATAAGCATCTTCACACTTAGTCTCAACAAGAGAATCACCCTAGATAGCATCAATTCAAGATAATCTTGCATCTACATACTTGAAGTATACCAGTCCAATCAATTCCCGAAAATGCCACGCGGATCTGCAGCCAAACCCCACAACCCCGTATTCCTTGTATTAGTTCGATACATACAGCTGCAGGGTCGAAGCATAGATCCAATAGGTAGTTTACTGGGAATAAACAGCTGCATTGGATTGGACCAGTCCAATGACCCTTAGCCAAAACCAAACTGAAACCAAAAAGGTGAAGAAGCTCTGAGAAATAAAAAGCGTGGCTGCCTTGAGCACATCCTGCCTCTCCTTCTCCCTCTTCCCTCTTCCCTTCACCTCGCACTTCTCTTCTCTCACACACTCCCACTCTCTTCCACACAATTAACTGCACCCCGCTGTACTCTACTCACCATGAAGCTGTCTCAGCTCACTCTCGCTCTGGCAGCTCTGCTGTCCACCGTCGTCGCCCAAGGTCTCGGTGACCTGCCCGATTGTGCGGTACGTTTGTATCCAATTCATCGCAGGACCCCGTATCCGCGAACCACAACCATGCAACTAGCGAACAGCCACTAACAAAGTCAAAGCGCTCTTGTGCAACCGACGCCATTCCCGCCAGCTGTGGAATCGACGTCAAGTGCATCTGCACTACCAAGTCCTTCCTGAGCGACATCTCCTGCTGTGTCGCTGATAAGTGCTCCAAGGATGATCAGGAGAGTAAGTAATCACCTATCCATATCCAGTACAAATCGCGCCAAAATGAAAACGAAAACTAACACAATTCTGTACAGCCACTCTCAAGGTCGCCAAATCAATCTGTGCCCGCGGCGGCGTAACCGATGTCCCCAGCTCCGTCGTCTGTTCAACCGGCGCCAGTGCCTCAACTGGTACTAAGACTGGAACTGAAACCAAGACTGGAACTACTACCGGCACTGGAACCGCTGCCACTGCTGATACCACCAAGGACTCCACTATGACTGGCACCAAGACCACTGCTACTGGGACCCATGCTTCTGGCACTGGGTCTTCCACCGCTGCGTCGACCTCTGCTGCTCACACCACCAATGCTGCTGTCTTCGGCCAGGTCAAGGATACTTCTTTGATGGCAGCTGCTGGTGCCGTTGCTGCTGTTGCTTTCTTCGTTTAGAAAGTAGCTTCCCTTGGTTTGGCTTTACCTTGGCCCAGGGTGCTGTGCTGAGTTGAGCTGGACTGGATGTGGATGTGCAGGGTATCGATCTGTGACGGGATAATGAGATGCCCGCATTTTATGACTGAATGATCGATACTACCCCATGTTCTGTGAATCTGAATCTCTTTCACTTCGATTTCGGGGTGGATGATTCTGTTTTTCATTTTCGTTTAATTTTCGTTTTCCTTTCCTTTTCTTTTTCAATTTATTCTTATCTTTAGCCCCTCCGCGGAGAGGGGTTTTATCATCTTATCCAGCGTATGTATTAATGGGATACCATGTAGTATGATGTATTGAACGATCGAATCGAAACGAAGCAAACACTCTATTCTTTTGATACAATTTGTGCGCCATGGGTAGTCAACTGCTAGCCATTTAATCGGAAGCCTCCTCACGAGCATCTTCAAGTAGCTTGGTCAACTTCTCCTGTCGTTCCTGGCGGAGAGTAGCGAAGATCTAAAGCAGAAAAAAAATGTCAGTCCTTCCTCATAATAATCACCACACCCACCAAAAGGGGTGGAAACCCAGAGCCACAGCCACAAGGACAGGGGAAACATACCCAAAACCAAGTCATCATCTCCATAAAGCAAAAAGTAAAAACAACCCTCGACTTAATCCTCCCCAACCCCTCCGCGGCCTCCGACCCCCCCATAAACCGAAGCAACCATAGAATCCCTGCCCTGATAAATAAAGAACGAAATACCCCCATAAAGACTGAACCGACTCGCCGCAACACTGACCCACACATTCCAGTACATTGTCAGGGACTTGGTGATATATTCCGGCAAACTGGCGAGTACTTGGAGATCTTCAGCGGGGAGGTTTCCATTACGGAGGGGGCGGACGTAGCGGAGGGCTTCGTCTAGGGCGTTTTTGTAGGGGAGGGTTGAGAGGAGGATTAGGTCGAAGATTGCGATTGCGGCTAGTGGGACTGAGCAGAAGACAAAGGGGTTTTCGAGGGCTGGGGTTGTTGTTGGGAAGTCCTGGGGATAACAGGTTAGTATAGGTTGGATAGACTAGAGAATTGGTTTGGTTTGGGAGGGTTGAAGAAGGGGACGTGTTTCGTACAATGTTCAATGCCTCGCCCATCATAAATACGAGATCGCAGTTCGTGATCAAGGCTGGATTCTTGATTAGGTATCCCGCAATGACGATTAGGAGCACGGCGTGTGCCTGGATAATGGTTTTAGATGAGAGGAGGACCATTTTGCGCGGATGGTGTGTGTATATAGTATGGAAACCGAGAAGTTCTGGAAGGAAGAAAAAGTGACAGCTGTGGCCTTCTGCGGCTGGCGGAGCTGGCGGAGCTGGCAGGCAGTTGGCCGTGGGTGGTCCGAGTGTCTGCGGCCGACGCGGCGTATGTGGGGGAAAACACCGAGAGATTCCACACCCCACCACCCACGTTGAATCGCTGTCGCATTCCAAGTTAGTGCTGATTGGAGAAGGAAAGATCAAAGGGAAAACAGCATTGATTCCGTCGACTCATTTCGCACTCTGTTCAACCTTCCACTCTCCACAATGGCCCAACCCAAGGCCTCGGCCTCACCCGAACCCATCCTCAACACTGAGCGCCATATCAAATACTACCTACGATGCCTAAAGACCTTCCTCCCCTCGGCTTATATATCCAATGACTCCAACCGCATGCTCCTCGCCTTCCTCACATTGACAGGTCTAGACGTCCTCGACGCCCTGAACAGCAAAACCACCCCCGAAGAACGACAAACCTACATCGACTGGGTGTACCACTGCCAAGTACCCTCTGGAGGATTCCGGGGCTTCTCAGGCACGGATTTTGGCGCCAGCAATCGGACACCAGAGAATGAAGCTTGGGATCCGGCGAATGTGCCAGCGACCTTCTTTGCGCTGGTCAATTTGCTTGTTCTCGGTGATGATTTGGCGCGCGTGAAGCGGGTGGAGTGTTTACGGTGGCTTCCGAAGTTACAGCGTGGTGATGGGAGTTTTGGGGAGGTTCTGGGCCCGGGGGAGGAGATTGAGGGAAATAGTGATTTGAGGTATTGTTGTTGTGCGGCGGGGATTCGGTTTATATTGCGTGGTAGGAGTGGGATGGGGGTGGAGGAGGTGGAGGATATTGATGTACCCCGGTTTATCTCGTTTATTCAGGCTTGCCAGGTGAGTTGACCTTCCCGGTTCCTTTTTCGGGCGCTCCCAGTCGAGTCCGGTTTACTGATGGTGGTTTTGTCTCAGAGTTACGATGGTGGCATGGCTGAGTCTCCATACCGTGAAGCTCACAGTACGTACTCCCCCCCCCCCCGACGTCTCCCCTCCGGCCGACCTTTTTGACAAGGCGATATAGGTGGTCATACATATTGCGCAGTTGGATCTCTAGAGTTTCTACGTCGGGCATCAGTTGACACCCGACCGGTGCAGTTGTTGTCGCCTGGGTCTTTGCAGTTTGAGACTCTGGTTGCGTGGTTGGCATCACGACAGACGAACGACTTGGGGGAAGAGGATGACGAGGAAGAGGATGAGGGTGAGGACGATGACGAGGGAAGCGCAGAAACTAATAACGATGCTGCCGCCCACCAGCCGACGATAGACAGAGATGTTGGGACCCTCCGTCTATCAACTGACGAGATCTTTTCACTTCCCAAGATCGCATCGATACCCAGCGAGACAATAACCTGTGCCGGTTTCAATGGCCGGTGCAACAAGGTGGCGGACACCTGCTATTCGTTCTGGAACGGGGCAACGCTGGCGGTAGGTGTTTCAGGGAACCTTGTTTTTGTCTCCAAGACATCCGCTCACAGCATATCATAGATGCTAAACCGATCCTCGGTGATCGATGACGTTCGCAATCGGCGATATCTTCTAGAGAAGACGCAACATCTCGTGGGTGGCTTTGGAAAAGTCCCGGGCGATACCCCCGGTAAGGCGAAACAGAGGAGGTCCCTCCGGAGGCGAATTGACATGCTAACCCTAGCCAGATCTCCTCCACTCATGTTTTGGCCTAGTCTCGCTCGCCTTTCAAGGCGAGACTGGCCTCGCTCGCGTCGATCCTGCACTGGTCACTACCGAGCGTGTTGTGCGGCACCTGGAATCATTGCCGTGGCATAAGTAGATAGGGATAGAATATTCCCCACCAAAAGCAAAAGCAAAATGCAACGCAAAAGCCGAATCAACCCCAGCCCATTGTATGATCATGATCAACCCTGCAGGTTTTGCCTCCGTAAGCCATTGGTCCAACGCACCGCCATGGGCACCAATGAGTAGACGCGCATAAATTGAGTCGCATCATGTACTCCGTATTAATAGTAATTTGGGGGAGGGGCACATGGACCGGGGAACCCTGGTGAGTTGCAAGAGGAAAGTCACCAGAAGTCACCAGAAGAGAGTAAAGTGACCCCGAGCGGCCCCAAACTTGTTACGGAGTAGAATCACATCACATCACTAGTCAGCAAGAACTGGAACTAAAATTAATTAGTCGTAGATTAACTATGAAACGGGCAAGGTAATTTCCACTTCCCACTTTCCTCCCACTTTCGCATCACTCAGGGGCTCAAGCCGTGTATGATATAATCGAGTCAACGCTAGTGTTGGTCAAGGCCGTTCGAGGGAAAAAATAGTACAATAAAACAGAAAATAGCATAGTGTGGACTCCACTTGGTCCACGGTCCACGTTCCCGTTGACGTCTGGTTTGCTTTGCTTTGTACCGCATTCCCCGAATTTCTCCCTTGTCAACCTCCTCCCTACCAGGACATATCCTATACCTCGCACCATACCTCACCACCAGTTCGAGTTCGAGTTCGTGTTCGACATCGCCCTCTCCTCCCTACCTCGCCAACCCATTCTGCCGATCTTCATTTCCCCGTCCCTTCGTCTTCTCTTGAATGGCAAAACCGAACAGCCCACTTCTCCACGCCTCCCTATTCGACACGCGCAGAGACCTCCGCGGCCGACGGCAATCCCGGAGATCGATCATAACACATGCCGCCCAGGACGAGAGCGGGGGTGCAAAGCCAGAAACAAAAGGAAAAGGTGCGTGTGTGGGTGTGGGTGGTGCGCTTGGCCTCGCCGGTGCCGATATCGCTTTGCGCAGGAACGGGAACATCACATCAGGACCGTTAGCTAACTTGAGTCGCGTGCGGTCACAGCTTGCCAACTCCTACAATGAATTACTCGAGTAAGGTCACTCCCAGCTGCCCAAAATTTCGAAGTCGTGTGGTCCTGGTCCATTTGGCTAATGCGCGAGGCTTCACAGGGAATTTTCGTCCAAGGACCTTCGCAGCGTGGGAAATTACACTCTAGGGAGATTAATTGGCAAGGGCTCTTTTGGAAAAGTGTATCTCGCGTCTCACAAGCTCACCAATGGCTCCAAGGTACGCATATACGGGGGAGTGGACGAGGGTGATGATGTAAAACCCCGAGACAGAGGCAACTGACACCATCTTCACTTACTAGGTTGTTCTCAAGTCCTCCAGCAAGGAGGATACCAACCTCGCGCGTGAGATCCACCACCACCGCCAATTCCTCCACCCTCATATTGCGCGTCTCTATGAGGTTGTCGTCACAGAAGAGCTAGTCTGGCTTGTGTTGGAATTCTGTCCTGGTATGTTGAATTGGGTGGTTGCGACATGGCAGGATACACAGAGCTAACTTGCGCTTCTCTTTTCTCCTCATAGGCGACGAACTTTACAATTACCTTCTCCGCCATGGCCCGCTGCCCGTCGACAAAGTGAAACGGATCTTTACCCAACTGGTCGGCGCAGTGGCGTATGTTCATAGCAAGTCGTGTGTTCATCGGGATCTCAAACTGGAGAACATTTTGCTGGATAAACACGAGAACGTCAAACTGTGTGATTTTGGATTCACACGCGAGTATGAAGGAAAGGCCAGCTACCTACAAACTTTCTGTGGGACCATCTGTTACAGTGCTCCGGAGATGCTGAAAGGAGAGAAATATGCTGGTGAAAAGGTCGACGTGTGGAGCTTGGGCATCATCCTTTATGCGCTATTGGCGGGGGAATTACCATATGACGACGACGACGACCAAGTCACCAAGAAACGCATTCTCTCGGAGGACCCCATCTACAACGACAAGTTCACGGATGAGGCAAAGGCATTGGTCAACCTTCTCCTTTCTAAGCGGCCGTTGATCCGGCCGAGCTTACAGGACATTCTCTCCCATCCATTCCTTTCCGAACACGCCCCCGAGCAACTCGCTATTCTCAAAATCCCGCAACCTTCTCCGTTTACGACACCTCTGGAGAAAACGACCCTACAGCGAATGAAGAGTGCAGGAGTCAACATTGACGAGGTTATTGAGAATGTTCTGGCGCAGCGATGTGACCCCTTGGCTGGGTGGTGGGCCCTGCTGATTGAGAAAGAGCAACGAAAAGAGAAAAAGCGGGAGAAGAAACGACAGCAACGAGAGGTAGAAGCGAAAAACATGCGCCGTCTTAGCGCTGCAAGCAGTCGATTAGAAAAGCTCTCAGCCGCTCTAGTTGAGGTGGATGAGGAAGGGCATGCCAACTCAGATAGCCAGCTCCACGAGCGCGGACGCCGAGACAGACGAAGCCTTCCATCTCAACTTGCAGTCCCCGAGCTACCCTCGCTACCGGAGCCTCTACCTGTACGCACGCCAGAAGTAACAACTCCGCGGTCGGTCGACAAGGAATCGATACGTTCCAACTCGACAATGCGCCGTCGTCCTATTCCCCCGCCAAAGGACAAGAGACGGTCCTCTCGACCCAGCATGCTACATGTCAGTGCCTCGCAGCCAGAATTGACGCAGCACCATGGCATCTTCCGACGCCGTACCAATAGACGCCATCATCCGATCATCAGCCAACTCGCCCAGTTGAAACATTGGTTTGCCGAAACCGCCAAACGCGCTCGCTCTCCCGGTTCCAAATCGTCCGGATCCCGCAAATTCCTGTCGGACAAATTCAGCCCTGCGAAAAGTCAAGATACTGGAAAGAAAGCATCCTCCTCCCCTTTGTCCGCGACTAATATACAACCCGAAGAAATTGTAACGCCTACGCAAAACAAACGGATCTCCGCGGGGAGTAGCTTGGCTCCTAGCAGTGCTTCTTATCGTCAGAATCGGCACTCATATCCTCGTCAGCCACGTCCATTAAATACCGGCCACTCCAGTATTCGCAGCAATCGCAGCAATCGCAACTCACTGTCACCGTCGCCAATTACCCCTCGCGGCTCGTACCGGCGATCTTCGGCTGGACTGCGTGGACGGAAGTCGACCTCCTCCTCTGTATCCTCGATACGCAGCATTCATCACACCCGAGCTCATTCTAAAGCGTCCTCAATTTCATCCAACAGCATGGACACCGTCGCAACACCAACTGCGAGAATTTCCAAGTCTCCTCACAATTCCATCAAGGTTCTTCCCACCACCCCAGGCTCATCAGCCCGCTTCCCCAGTAACATTCGGCTTGTCCGTGGACCTGGAGGCGCTCCTAGAGAAGTTGTCAACACTGGCGAAATGCCGTCTGCGTTCAATGAGGCTGCGCCTACTCCGCTACTGTACTCGCCTTCTTCAAGCTTGGTCTTCGCCAGGCGCAAGCGATCCGCCTTCAAGGGACCGATGATTCACACATCCAACCTGATGGTGTCTTCCGGCATGGTTCATTCACCTGTTGCTGGTCAACCAGTCGAAGCCAGTGAATCCGTCCCTCCTGTTGGACGACCGGCAGCACGAAAGAGCCAAATTATCGAAGAAGAGGAAGATGATGGCTTCGAGGATGAAATTGAAGAGGTCGAGGAGTTCGAAGGAGAAGAAGAAGAGGAGGGAGAAGATGGTCGGGCTGGACACGGCGAGACTCTCCAGGAGAGTAGCCAGTCTATCAAGGAGACTGCCGAAGCCGAAGAACCCAGTTCCCCCACGTCAACCCACAAGAACGCCCTCGAGCCCGCCGCCGAACTAGAATCTAGTCCGCTACGGCCCCCGCGCTCCTCATCACTACGCTCTCCCCGGCCTGAAACAGCCGCAGCAGTCGCAGCAGTCATCGCCAACGAAACCGCCAACGACGACGCCGAAGCATCTGCCAGCCAAAGTGCCGAGGCAAATGCAACTGGTGACGCAGCTGCTACTACTAAGCCTGTTCCTTCCTCCGATTAAACGGTCTACCTTGCTTTGCTTTTTTGCTGTTGTTGGATGCCGGCGTTATATTCCTCCCCTCCCCGTCCCATCTCATTTCCATCCACACTTGGTTAGAACGATAGAGCTGTTTCTGCGCTTGTGCTTGTGCTTACTTTATACCCCCTCGATGTTTGCAAGTTTTATACACAGCCTTTATTTTGGCTCGCATTTTGCGATATGTTTTTTGTTTCCACCACCCCGGCCTCCAACTTCTTTTGCGCCACGCAACTCTCTCTCAACATTCACCCTCTCTTATATTTCCTTTTCCGTGTCTCACCTGCTTCTTTCTCACTGAATGAAATGAAGCCCATCTGTACTCATTCGAGCTTTTCCTTTTCTTGTTATATCTACTACCCCGGATCTCATACATCACAGGTCACCCACATTGCTTTGCTTGACTTGCATTTTTATCACAGCCCTATAGACTTGCTTTGAATATTTGGCCAACGCCTGCATAATGATACCAGTGCATCTTTTACAATTCCCAGAGTCCGACTCATTATAGTTTTTCACATGTACAGAATCAGGCCAGGGTACTAGTAGTAGTAGATGATATAAACGCAGTGACTGCCCAGTTGACTTGGTGTATAGCATAGTACTAATAGCTCTTGCATTCTTAATCGAAAGATCTGGATAAACAGATTACTAGTGTCCTACTAGAAGTCAATGATATCATGATGTCTACAGCTAATCCCGATGAACAGGCACCTCCTTCTCATCATGATGCTCCGCCTCAACAACCTTCTCCTCATCAACCCTCTCATCCTGCAACCCAACCGTACTCTCACCCACCTTATCAACCGTATCCCGATACGACGGCGAGAAATTGACCGCAACAGCATACGTCCACGCAACAACCATGAACTATAAAAAGAGCCATTAGCAAAAAGCCTCCAACCCCAATCCCGCCCCCAACTCTTGGCCATGAAGAATCCAAATCCAGCTTGAAACTCACCATAGTAGGAACAATCATAGCAAACCCCGTATCATTCCTCATATCAGCCACATGCCCCAAAATAGGCGGAACAACCGCCCCACCACAAACACCACCAACAATAAACCCCGAACCACGCTTATAATGTCTTCCCAGCCCCCTAATTCCCAACGCAACGATAGTCGGAAAACAAACCGATTCAAAAAATAATGTCAAGAATAACATCGCCACACCTTTCTCTTCTCGCTGCGTCACGGACGCAGCTAGAAACGCTACCGTGCATGATAAATATACCAAAAAGACCCATCGGGCTTTGGTGAATCTCATTAGTCCTGAACCTAGGAAGCGGCCCACGGCGAATGCGCCTTGCGCGCCGGCGAGGAGTTTTGCGCCTTTGGCGCTGTCGGAGGGAGGCCAGGTGTCTGTTACGTAGTTTATGAAGTAACCCGCGATGGCGACTGAGCGTGAAAAGAAGGTTAGTTAGTTAGTCAGTGGCTGGCTGGGTGGCTGTGATAACATAAACATACCCTGAGCACCAGTATAAGTAAACTGAGCAAGCGTAGCATGAAAAAGCTTATACTGTTTCCAGAAAGGTTTATTCTGCTCATCGACATGCGTAGCCGAAACCTGAAATGCCATATCCTCATCCGTGACTTCGGGAATATTCGAGATGAAGAATACGAATGCGAGGCAGAAGACGAATATTCCGATTGCTAGGTAGACCCATTGTACGCGTTGTAGAGCTGAGACGTCGTCGGCTGTTTCGGTGAAGAATACGTAGGAACCTAGCACGGGTCCGACGACTGTGCCGATTGCGTTGAAGGCTTGGGCGAAGTTTATGCGGATTTCGGAGTACCGGGGCGGGCCGCAGACTGGGGGGGGTATGGTGTTAGCTTGGGTTTTTGGGTTTGGTTTCAAGTTCGCTGGATATGTTCTTTTGGGTTTGATCCATTATGTAGATCATGATGGAGGAGGACTCGTAGGGGGTGAAGGATTGAATTGAATCCGAGTCCCATGAAGGACATGGGATGAAATGAATGCTTTGCCTCATACCGGTAAGATAAGGATTCGCCGCCGTCTCCAAAGAACCCAATCCAGACCCAATAACGAAGGTAGCGCCGCAGAATCCACCGAAAGACTCATTCAGTCCGGCGGGCCACATGCACAAAGCGCCAATGCCGTAGAGGACGAGTCCGAAGATGAAGACCGTTTTGTAGCCGTAGTGGCGCAGGATCCAATTGGCATAACCTAGTGAGGCGAGTGGGTATGCGCTGCATAGTTGGATGGATATGTTAGTTAGGGTTTCCTAAATCATTTTGAATCTGAACCTTGCAATGTTCAACTTCAAGTTCCCAATAACTAAAGGAGTAGTATATATTATACTACCACCCCCTACCTATGTAGGTACTAGGACTCGACAGATGTATACATACCCGAAATAAGCAGCCTGAAGACCCGCCGAACGACCACGCGTAATGTGCAGCGTATTCTGGAAATGCTTATTGAGAGTATCAAGTAAGCCGTACGCAAATCCCTAGAAGATGGACGACTGGCTCAGCATGATGGCACACTAAGTGAGACCTAACCTTGCCGGAGCGGGGCAGGAAAGAACAAAAGGTCTACATACCCAAAGAAAGAACAAAATCGTAACCAAACCAAGAGGATACAAACTCTGTCGCAGCGTCAGAGTAGCAGCACTAGTCGTCTTACTATTATCAATACGCATGCCGGAGCGATTCCGGAAAAATCCCTTAACGCCCATGATGAGCGGGGATGACTTGCACGAAGTCCTGAATTGGTGGGTTGGTTTGTTTAGATGGGAGGTTATTTATCCAGGGTAGGGGGGAGTAGAAGCCAGATGCAAGTCCAGTCCAGGGCTTTGCAGGGGGTGATGGATGGATCTTAGTATTTTAAAAAAGGAGAAGAATGCAGAGAGAAGATGGAAAGAAGAAGAAAAGAAGAAGCTGCAAGGCTAAATGAGAGCAGTTATTTCATTTGACATCCACCAGGAATAGCAGGGTAACACTGGAGAATGTCACATCACCCTCTCCTCGGCCCTTGATCCTACTCGTATGTCAAACCCCAACCCCCACACAAGAAGAATCCGGGGTGGCACGTCGATCCCTGCCCTCCCGTCTTGACGCACCAAAACCGAACCAGTCAGCACTGGCATCGCAGCACCGGAGTTACCCCGAGAGTGACGCCGGAGGAGCAGTCTAACTCTGTTTGTCGTGAGTCCGGCGGCGCTTGGGGATCTTGCAGCGCGGGGTTTAGATGGGACACGGCACGGGCTGTGGAGGTGGAGAATCCGAAGTTAGAATACGTCTGTGGGGGGTTAGGTTCTTGGTTTTTAGCCTGTTTATCATTGTTGCATCGGGGTTGGTTGCTTTGCTTGGTCCGTTGCGAGTAGTTTCCAAGGTTATTTATTCTACGAAGGTGTGGCGGTGGAAGGTGGCACGCGAAAGGGTCAAAGTTCACAGCTTTCAAAAATTCAGAGTTTAGGTTCGGGGTATTGAGGCCCGATTAGAGGAGAGGGGGCAAAGGGAAAACTTGTAACAGCAACTCTTTCAAAGTCAGAGCAGAGTGAAATTCATTTCTTCTATTCAATGGCATGATACATCCCCCGCCTCTGATATGGAGGATAGATGGCACAGCTTTCACAGGTCTATTTCTATTTCAAAATTGAGTCTTCCTCTTTCCTGTATGCCGATTCATCGGATCATCTCATCTCATCTCATCGTTCATTTAAGCCCGCTTGGGCTTGCTAGCGGCACCATTCTGGACCGGGGCGATAGTAGCCACCTTCGAATCGTACAGTTGGCGTTCCATGAACTTGAGGACCTCGTCGATCAAACTATGCGGTTATTAGTATTATGCCAGTCACATAACTATAAGGCGGAAAGGGAAACTCACATCACGGGGGCACTAATCACCAACACGGCCTGCCATTCAGTCCAGCCCAGGGGCAGGATGGAGAACAGGGTCTGCAAGAAGGGGATGTAGAGGATAGCAAAGTGCAGAGCCATCGAGAGGGCGATGGCATAGATCAGCATCGGGTTGTTGTGGAGGAAGAAGGTGAAGAGAGATTCGCTGGAGGACAGCGCGTTCATAGCGTTCAGCATCTCAATCACCACAAGGATGGAAAGAGAGACGGTCGATGCGGACTTGGCCATGTCGTTGCTGAACATCTGGCAGCCGATTTCCGGGAACTGGGCAGAGCAGTGGTGCCAGTGAGACTAGAAGATATAGTTAGAAAGGGTTACAATCAAGGGAGCATCAAAGGTAAGCTTACCAGCTGCCAGAAGGTGATCTGGGGACCTTCCGGGTTATACATGAACCACCAAACGTAGCCGAAGACAGTGGCGGCACCGACGTAAATACCAATGACCATGTAACGGAACAACAACCAGCCACCGACGAGCGCCTCGTCACGACGGCGAGGTGGGCGCTTCATCACATCGTGGTCAGGGGGGGTTGAAGGACAGTGCAGTAGCAGGGAGACCATCGGTGACAAGGTTCACCCACAGCAGCTGAACGGGGATCAGAGCCTCGGGCATACCCAGGGCAGCAGTCAGGAAAATCGAGACGACCTCACCGATGTTGGAAGAGATCAGGTAACGGATGAACTGTTGGGTGTTGCTGTAGATGGAGCGACCCTCTTCAACAGCGACGGTGATGGTAGCAAAGTTGTCATCGGCCAGAACCATATCGGCCGCCAGCTTGGCGACGTCGGTACCGGTACCCATGGCGACACCAATATCAGACTTCTTCAGGGCGGGGGCATCGTTGACACCGTCACCGGTCATGGCAACGACGTGGTTCAGAGACTGGAGCAGATCGACCAGCTTGGACTTGTGGCTGGGCTCGGTACGGGAGAACAGGGAAGCAGTCTGGACAGCCTGGAGCTTCTGAGCATCGCTGAGGTCGTCGAATTGACGACCAGTGAAACTCTTTCCAGTAAGATCCTCATCAGCACCAAAGACACCAATGGAGCGGCAGATCGACTCGGCAGTGTTCTGGTTGTCACCGGTGATAACAATAACGCGGATACCAGCATCGTGGCACTTCTTGATGGAGCCGGCAACCTCGGGGCGAGGGGGGTCCAGCATAGCAACAAGTCCGATAAGAGTGAGCTTCTGCTCCAGCTTCAGGTAGTCGTCGGTAGAGGTAGCGTTGTGCAAGTTGTCCTTGCTAGAGAGGTCACCACGGCTGGCAATGGCCATCACACGGAGACCGCGGTTACCACACTCGATGACCTGGTTGGAGAGCAGCTTCTTGTGGGCAGCGGTCATGGAAACCTTGGATGCGTCGGGGCCTTGCAGGACTTGAGTGCAGCGATCCAGGATAGTCTCGGGAGCACCCTTGACAAGCAGCTTCTGTTCGCCACCATCGCGAACAAGGACAGACATGCTCTTGCGATCGCGAGAGAATTCGTAGGTGGCCTCCAGAGCAAGACGGTTCTCGTAGTGTTCGCTAACCTTGTGCAGTCTCTCGTGGGCAGCTAGGGAGTAGATCTTCTTGTTGACGGAAGCGTCCTCGGTACCAATCTTCTCGACCAGGGCGCGCAGAGCTCCCTCGGTGGGTTCTCCGATGTTAGCGAATTGGCCGGTCTTGGGGTCGTGGGAGAGTTTGGCGGCATTGCAACGAGCAGTGACCTCGGCAATCTGTTTCACGGTAGAGGAGGAAGTGGCCAGATCATTGACGGCCTTGCCGCCGCGAGAAAGCTTGCCAACGGGTGCGAAAGTGGTACCCTCGACATCAATCTCATCAATGGAGGTACCGGTGCTGGACACAGTAAGGATCTTTTCCACGCTCATCTGGTTGGTGGTGAGGGTTCCAGTCTTATCAGAGCAAATCACGCTGCAGCTGCCCAGTGTTTCAACCGAAGGCAGAGAGCGCACAACAGCGTTCTTCTGGGCCATCTTGCGAGTTCCCAAAGCAAGACAAGTAGTGATAACAACAGCAAGACCCTCGGGGATAGCGGCCACGCCAAGAGAGACCGCGATCTTCAGGTAGTAGATAGCACCCTTGGTCCAGCCACCAAAGGAAGGATCGTTGAAGTGCTCGATGTTGATCAGCCAGACGAGGATACAGATAAGCGAGATGACCTTGGCCAGCATATCACCAAAGTCATTGATCTTTTGCTTCAGCGGGGTCGGCTCGGAGATTTGAGAGGTAATGCTGTCGTGGATATCACCGATGGCAGTTGAGCCACCAGTCAGAACAACAACGGCAGTGGCGTGTCCGTTGACAACTGTGGTTCCGGAGAAGAGCATGTTGACTTGGTCCTGCTTGACAGCCTGGATGTCCTTGATGGCTTTGGTGTCCTTGCCAACACTCTCGCTCTCACCAGTCAGAATAGCCTGGTCAACACGGAAGCTGTTGCTGTGAACCGAGATAAGTCGGCAATCGGCGGGAACGCGATCTCCAACAGCGATCTCAATGACATCGCCGGGCACCAAATCCTCAGCCTTGACCTTGACCATCTTGCCATCACGCACAGCCTTGGCCTCATTGGCCGAATATTCCTGGAGAGCCGCAATTGCCTTTTCCGCGCTGCTTTCTTGGGTGACGCCCACCACCGCGTTGAGGATCAGAATGGTCAAAATCTGTAAACAACAGGAACGATTAGTAGCCATCCGGGTGTAATCTTGCGAAGGCGTCGCGGTTTGGGTGGAAACGTACCACGGCAGGGTCCACAAATGCAGTCCAGTCGTCACCTTCTTCGAACAGGGCCAGTACAAAGGACACGGCAGCCGAGCCCAGCAAGATAAGCACCAGCTGGTCCTTGAATTGCTCCAGAATCAGCTCCCACATAGGAGTTGGGGGTTCTTCAGCGAGAGCTAGAGGATGGTTAGCATCGGTTCAGGTATTCGCCAACAGCGCAAAGGCGCATACTCCGAAGGGGGTGCACACTGACCATTGGGACCATACTGCTCGCGAGCCTGGACGACCGCATTGCTGGTCAATCCGTCGCGCTCCGAGACATCGAAGTGTTTCAGCACCTCCGACGGAGAGTGCAGGAAGGAATTCTCCATGACGTATCTCTCACACTCTCTAAGTCACTCTGTGGTAAAAAGAGGACAATTGAGGGAGGGAGGGTTGGGGAGGGGAAGAGAAAGAGTGGAGAGCTGGGGAAGAAACAGAAGGAAACGGGAAGGAAGTGCTAGTAGATTAGAAATGATACATGCCCCTGGGACAGCCAAAACTCGAAAATCGAAGGGGCCAAAGGAGGGACGAGCGCAAGGATATATGAGATTTCTCTCTTTTTCTCTTTTTTTCTCTTTCCTTTTCCCTTTTTGCCCTTCACGATCGCAGGGCCCAGCAGCAAAGTGGAGCGCGGAGGCACAACGTGTTCTCATCCAGTTCCCCGATTGCTGACTCATCACAAACAGGGCTGAAGTTTCTCCAGGTTAGCAAAGTCTATACTGCCGGTGTACACATCCATCTCCCCTTCTACTGGCTTCCATCTACAATGAATAAATTTCCTACCTCTGTTTCAACACCTTCCAGATGCTAATAGATCAATGACATTCCTTTTAAGCCATGCACCTCCTGCGGTGTTCCGCCTGGCTCCAACACTGGGGCATTCATCACCAGATCGACTGGTCTCATTGCAGAATGCGGTGTCTTGGGAAGACAATCTGACTTGGCGAGGGAGACGACAAACTCCACTTGTGGTCCTCCGATAGGTAAGAGGAGAACGATGCAGCCTAGAGCCACCGAGCCCCTTAATAAATCCCAGCTCTCGGCATCGATACCGGAGATCCCTGACGCAACGCGCGCCAACACTGCTCCATCTAGCGGAGCAGCCCTATCGCTGTCGCCTCTTGACTGGTTCGCCAGACTGGCCCCAGTTCTGTCTGGCTTACACAGGGCTGAGAGAGAGGACGACGCTACAAGTACAGAGCCATTCTCGTTCCAGTCACACAGATAGAGGAGTCGGGAAGTTGAACGGGTCACCCCTTACCCGCATTTCACTAACTTGCTCGTTGGCCTCATCCTGGTTCTGATTCTGATCCTGGTTTTGGTTTTGGTTTCAAAACTTGAACCCTGGGACCCTCGATCTACGGAGGTACGCGCAACGTCATCTCCCACTAGTTTACTGTACGAGCACAAACTTTCCCTCCTCCATTCTGGCATCTCCCCAATGACTGCCGGTGGTTTTCCCCAGTGGCGAGCTGCATGTACATAGAATCACCCGAGTGGACCGGACCAGTGTCAGTGGTACATGTATATAAGCACGCTAATTCCCATTCATCTGTAGGGCTGAGCCTAGCTTGGTGACGACTTGCATCATGGGTTGGAGGACCCCAGTCTGCTCGTCCCTATTGGAGTGGACATGGACATGAACAGCACGGGCCACGGGTGGTCCCTTTCAAGTTGTGGGTTGGCTATGCTTTGCTTTGCTGTGATGTGATGTGTCTACAGTATGTGTGGTTTCGTCAATGAGGATCGTCCGATTGAAATTGGCGGGTGCTTGACACTCATGGTGGTTGGTGTAGGCCCTGACTATGGATTTGCGGAGAAGACTTAGATTGGGGCCGCATTGCGATCGGGCCTAGTACCCAATTGTAGCCCTCTGATAAAATACAGTACAGAAGAAGTAAAGCATCTCTGCATTTTCAATTTTGAGTGCGCAGTTGATCTATCATGCCAGATCAGCTGGAGTAGGTTGTCCAGAGTGCACATATTGTTCTGGATATTTATCATGTGCCTGTCCCAGGGGCTAGATCACCCATGTCAGGTGATGTGATATACGGGACAGTCAACAAATCAACAAATCAACAAATCATTGTGGAAATGATAAATCACCGGCAGATATGGGACGGAACAATTGGAAATACTATTGCATCCGGAGTATTGTACTTTGATGCAGTCCCCTCCTCTCCGGGCTGTGTATGTATGGCATGGCATGTGATGAGATTGGCGAGTGGGCTGGCCACTACATCATACCCTAAGCCTAAGCCCGAAGGCCTGAGGTTGTCAGGCGCCGTGAATTGCTGGAAGGTTCGATGCGGTTGCATCATCGTCATCGCGAGACTTGAGTTTACTCTGTAATATGGGCACATGTAGATATGCTTCCAGTTTCCTAGAGTATAGCAATATGCCAATATTTATTGCAAATTCATGTACAGTCCCATAGTAGGGCCTCGCCGAAAAATGAGGCCTGAGGCCCACCGAGTTAGTGATCGCCGGACCTACGGGGACCCGATAAATAGCGGCAGTGTCAGTAGCGGTCGGTGACCGTGACAAGTACAACGGCAGTATTATCCGATGGCCGTGCCAGAGTAAAATCTCTTGGCTTCTCTGTCTATAGTTCTGAGTTACCCGTATCTTTTGGGCGTGAACAGAGCCGCGCAGCCCAAGGCAGGAGTGGTGTAATATATTCTCGTATTTGTGTATTCCGGTTACCGACAAGCCAGTTGGGCGGGCATCCACGTCCGGCAGAAAGTACACAGAGGGTAGTAGATACCTTGTATCGAGCGGAGAAACCCGGCAAAATAGAAGTACCCGGTACCCCCAGTATTGTTTTGATTTCCCCCCCTCAAGCAATACACAAGCAATACCAAAAATACACAGCTCAACTCAGCCGACTGCTCTCCTCTCGCTCGCTCTCTCTCCCATCTTCCTCCTTGTCCTGTCTTCGCCCCCCCCACTTGATCCTCTGAACCAACTTCCTCCTCTGCATCTTCCCTTTCCTCGAATCCCCACCACTCTTAACCATCTCCCTCTACCATACACATCCACTATGGGTTCTGAAGTACGTATTGCTCTCTACTTGACCCCCTCAACCCCTCCATCCCTCATCTGTTCCGTCACCGCCATCGCATTCAACCCCCCTCTCACACATCTCCATCATCATTCCCATCTTCTCATCCTGGTCCCTGCATCCTGTCATTTTCTTTCAGATTTAAACCATCGCTAACCTTTGTCGTCGCAATGCAGCGTGAGAAGTAAGCATCAAACCATGCTCTTTCGGCGACCTTTCCCCCCCACCCCCGTGACACCACTAACCCCCTCATCAGCAAGACGTTCCTCGCGCGGCTCTGCGAGCAGGCCGAACGCTACGATGGTAAGATTGACTGTGCCGGATTCTAATAAGGTGGTGCATGCTGACTCAAGGGTGCTTTCCCTTCAGAAATGGTCAAGTTCATGAAGGTCAGTCGCATCCGTCTCGCCTATTGTTTATTATCTGAGCGCCCGGGCTAACCAGTTGAACAGGAAGTCGCCAAGGTACGACAACTCCACGCTTTCCGCCATTCTTTCTCTGCCACAGAGACAGAACTGACAACTCTCTAGATTGGCGGCGAGCTCACTGTCGATGAGCGCAACCTGCTCTCCGTTGCCTACAAGAACGTTGTTGGTACCCGCCGTGCCTCGTGGCGCATCATCTCCTCCATCGAGCAGAAGGAGGAGTCCAAGGGATCCGACCAGCACGTCGGTATCATCAAGGAGTACCGTGATAAGATCGAGAAGGAGCTTGAGGATGTCTGCCAGGATGTCCTGAATGTTCTTGATGACTCTTTGATCCCCAAGGCCGAGACTGGCGAGTCCAAGGTCTTCTACTACAAGATGTGCGTTATCGCTGAAAGAATGGCTTCTCACCGTCTCTATTTCACCCCGTCTACTTTCTCCGATATTTCTCTTGAATGCTTCTATCATGCAATACTAATATTCTCGATTTACAGGAAGGGTGACTACCACCGTTACCTCGCTGAGTTCGCCTCCGGCGAGAAGCGCAAGGTTGCCGCCACTGCCGCCCACGATGCCTACAAGGTATGATCTTCTCTTTCTTTCTTTTTTCCTTCCCTACACCGCATTCCGTAACATCTGCTGATCACCCCAATCTAGAACGCTACCGAAGTTGCCCAGACTGACCTCACCCCCACTCACCCCATCCGTCTCGGTCTCGCCCTGAACTTCTCCGTCTTCTACTACGAGATCCTCAACTCCCCCGACCGTGCATGCCACCTCGCCAAGCAGGCCTTCGACGATGCCATTGCCGAGCTCGACTCCCTCTCCGAGGAGAGCTACCGCGACAGCACTCTGATCATGCAACTCCTGCGGGACAACCTGACCCTCTGGACCTCATCCGACAGCCAGGACGCTGAGGGTGCTAAGGACGAGGCCGCTGCCCCCGCTGCTTCCGAGGAGGCTCCCGCGGCCGAGGAAAAGCCCGCCGAGGAGACCAAGCCTGCTGAGGAGTCCTAAGCGGACCGACTGAATGTCTGCCCGTGGTAGGATAGGTAGGTAGGTGTGTGAGGGGGGTGGGTTTGCGATTGAAGCCGTTACCGTACGCCGATACTTGGTAAGGGGGGCGTTTTTTCTTCGCATTTCTGTTGTCCTAGATCGTGATCGTGATTCGTGATCGTGATCGTGATTCGTGGATTTCTACAAGTACCGCTTGCTTGTTTGTTTTTCATCCGCAGCGTGTAGCTGGGTTGGGGACCGGCACCTACTATCTGTTTTGCACGCGTTTCGTGTTCGGAACCGCGTGGGTCGGTCGGCGGAGTTTGATATTCGGCTTTGACGCGAGCGAAAGAAAAGGGGCTGAGTGGAAATTTCTCTCTCTTTTATTGTCTCTATTCCCACTCCAGCACGATTCAATGTGTTTATTTTCCAATTTACCCTCTGGTCCCTCGCCCGGATTTTTATTGTTTCTGCCTGTGTAGATGTGTGATGTACAACGTACAGAGTAGAGAGTAATTCGATGGACCAGGTCCATGTAGTCTAGTAATTTCATTACTACAATGTAGGCTTACTCATTGACTTGTCGGTGACTGCTGCCAAGTTAGTAATATTAAGAAAGACCTGGAGTAAAACCCCAAATTAAAGATGTCCAGCTCACGACCCGATCCAACTGAACGCAAAATGCCCTTAATAAAAACCCCATTAGTCATTTCACTTCTTTACCTGCAGGACATCTGTGTGCGTGACTAGTGCATTCGCCAAAGGACACGCGAGTCGGTCAGGGATCAGGGGCCAGAGATTGCTAGTACGAGATATGTATTTGCAGGCCTCAGGCCATTTATACTAGTCCACTTTTCCGCCCAGTCTGGCTGTCCCCGTTTGATCTCCACCGTGACCTCGTTAATGGGTCAGATGGAGATGCTCACTCTAAACTTGAACATCATGGATTGCTATTTTAATTAACATTTTTTAAAAAGATGGTTTGTGTGTTTGGTAGGAAATTCAGAGTGGTAATTTAATTTACTGACGTCTAACATTTGGAAGTAAAGCACGTACTTTGAAGGCTACCTGGGTAGGTACTAGTCTGCTAACTATTAGAAGATATTAACTGATAGTAGACAACAGGGAGTCAGAAACTTTTGTAGTACTAGTACTACTGTAGACATAGACTGAGTATATCTAAATTTGTATAGAGATTACATACTAATCTGGATTCAGAAGGGCCCATGGTCCATTTAGCAAAAGGGTGATCCATTTAGCAGGTCTCACGAGATTGTCTAACCGATCCAAAGGTGGTGTGGTGCTTACTCTCCTCCCATTGGAGGACAAGCATGCTGCATGCATGATAGAGTTACTACATATTTCCCATCAAACAAAGACCCTTGCCTTTTATATCAGAACGGGATATAGCATTCAATGCCTAACATACGAAAGTAACAGCAGAACAGGGCAACACATAGCTGCATCGGGCAGGGACGCCTAGTTGCAGTCTGATTTCAGTTCGGACTAAAAAGGTTGACAGAAAGGATGCATGAATTAAGAAAAGAACGTCATTGAATAAAGGAAAACGATGACGCTTTGCATATAGCTCTTTTTAACACGTTGTCACTCTTACCCCTGCTAGCTAGTTGCCAATATGCATGGTAGGGTAAGGCAAGGCTATCAACATCTCACTAGCAAGATCCGTATAGAGAGCAAACACACATACATTAAAGCAAAGTCCCCCCACCCGCTCCTCTCCTTTCTCAAGCTCAATCAAGAAGAAAACTCTCCAGAACAACCTTGTTGAGAAAAACCCTCGTTCCAAATTTGTTTAATCTTCAAGTTATTGGTCTTGAACCTGACCTCCACTCCGCCCTCTCGAAAAATGGCAGTCGATACTATGACTACTACTACCACCTCATCCAACCCAACAACTCCCCTCTCCTTCGAACCAAACACAATATACATCCTCCTCCTAGACCGAGGAGACAGCTACAATTTCCACTGGACCCTGTTCCTAACACAAACGCACACGACAGGAACAACATACCACATAACGAACGACGCGGGCCCAACATCATGGAAATACGAAACTACCACCACGAAAGAAATACCTCAACTGCGCCGGCTACTTGTAGCTCTGAAACTCGGATCGCTGGAAACGGTGCTGCATCAAGCTTTGTCGGATCGATTGGCTCTTGTGCCGTTGTGTTGGGGTGCTATGCGGGTTAATCGGGGTTTTACTTGTCGGTCTTGGGTGCTTGAGGCGCTTTTTGTGTTGGATGATGAGGGGTATGTTGATCTTAGTGGTGGAGGAGGAAGTGGAGGGGCAGGTACTACTACTAGTACTAGTAGTATTAGGGGGATTTGCGATGAGGCGCAGTATCTTGCTATGATTCAGAAGAGTAAATGTGAGCGGGGTGTTATGAGGAGTCGGGCTCGTGTTTCTTGAATTATTGAGTTACTGAGTTACTTTTGGGGAGGGGACGCCATGTTTAAATTGGCATTAATGTATATGAATAATGGAAGTATGGCTTGAGTAAAGAGGCAGAAGGCAGATTCGAATGGTTCTATTTGCGTATGCTAGGTGATTGTTCGGAGATGGATATACACTTGGTATTCGGGGATGTGCTGAATAAAAGAGAGAGAAAAAGAAAATGTTTGTCCATCCATTACATGAAGTCATCATCAGCAAGACCATCACCGCCATCATAGGCATTGTTATCAATTTGGTTATCCCGGTTCGAAACAAGCGAGACCTTGGTCTTAGCAGCCTTGCTCTTCTTGTTACCCTTATCAGCAGCGCGCTCCTCGCGCTGCTTCTCGTTACCAGCCGTAGTAAGCGCACTGGCCATCTTCTTGATCTCCGCACTGGGCAGCTCCTTAACGAGTCGGCGGGTGAATTCCTGCGCCCAAAGAGAGTACTGCGGCTTCTTGGAGTGGAGGGTGATCAGCGGGATCAGGGTATCGGACAGACGGGCGAACTGGTCCTTGGTCGTAGGCTTGAAGAGGGGCATCGCAGAGAGATCAATGGAGTTGGTAGGGTCGGCAGAGTCAGTGATGACGACAGCCTTGGGAGCACCACGGTTGCGGTTCACATCGATGCCCGAGAAGAGATCGGCCGCGTGCTGAAGGTCAGAGTCCTGCTCCTGTTGGCGCAAACGTTCGCGGCGCTCGGCCTCGGTCTCATCCGCATCGAAGTCGTCGGAGTTGGCTTCGTCGAGACGGCGCTGCTCGCGGTGCTCTTCTATCCGCTGGGCCTTGGTCTTCTTGTTGGCGAGAGCGGCGGCCTTTTTCGCGGCCTCGGCTTCTTCGGCCTTCTTGGCCTTCTCGCGCTCTACCTCGGAGTCTTCGGCGGCGTCCCAAGAGTCGAGAACCTGTTGTTTCGGAAAAGGTGGTATGTATCAGCGCCGTGTCCACAAGTGTAAGAGAACAGCAGGTCTCGTGTGGCGAGACCACTCGCTAGAAATGGCCTTACTTCGTCTTCCTCCTCATCGTCGAATCGGCGGCGGGGAGCGGCAACAACGGGAGGGGAATCACTGTCCTCCTCCTCATCTATAAAGAAAAATATAAAATTAGCACACAGTCAAAATATTATATAACGGAAGCCACAGTTGCAAGTCGCATCAAGTTGCCACAGCGGCAGCCACTTCTGCGGCAACCCTAACGAGGACGGGCGATAGTCGCAGGATAAGAAACTTACCCCACTTCGAAGGCGGCATTTTGGCAAATGAGAGACGTTCGGAGAACGAAATTAAAAAAGAAGAAAAAGAGGGAGGGAAAGAATGCGCTGTTCGCAAGACGTAACGGAGGACAAAGAACGAGTCCGCGATAGGAACCTGCACCAACAAAAGGTTGGAGGGGCAAGACAAATTTTATGTGGGCCACTTATCGCACAGGTGGGATGGCACGTGATCTCGGGGCTCTTAGTGCCCGACCAGCGTGATCTATATAGACAGCAGCAACTACGCAGCAGGATAGATAGTTGGAAGGGAAAGTGAGATGATACCTAGGTATCAATGAGTAGGGTGTCATAGATACCGATGACTTGAGCTACTCGGCTAGACTCGCACATACTGGTAGTGTGCAAGCATGGTCCTACGATCTATAAACCGACTAGTTTTACTCCACTACCCGGACTGCTCAGTATAGTTGAATTGTCTTTTATTCAAGAGTTCTTATTAAATTCATAATCATAAAAATATGGCGAGTCATCGCTTTTTTCTCGCTGGTTTCCACCCTATTCACAGGTGCAAGCTCATATCAAGGTAAGCTGCATTTACAGGTTAACCGAGGTACGGAAGTTCTTGCCAGCGTAGACAGCGTTCTCGCCGAGCTCCTCCTCGATACGGAGGATCTGGTTCAGCTTAGCCAGACGCTCGGAACGGGCAGGGGCACCAGTCTTGATCTGTCCGGAACGGAGACCGACAGCGATGTCGGCAATGGTGACGTCCTCGGTCTCACCGGAACGGTGGGAGACCATGACACCCCAGCCGTCAGCGTAGGAGTCCTTGGCAGCCTGGATAGACTCGGTCAGGGTACCGATCTGGTTGACCTTCAGCAGAAGGGCGTTGCAAGACTTGAGCTCGATGGCCTTCTTGATGCGGAGGGGGTTGGTGACAGTCAGGTCATCACCGACAATCTGGAAGTCGGAGGTCTTGTAGAAGTAGCTCCAGGCCTCCCAGTCGTCCTCAGCGAAGGGGTCCTCGATGGAGACAATGGGGTACTTGGCAGCCAGGGACTTGTAGAGGTCGGCCAGCTGCTCGTAGGTGAGCCACTTGGTGGGGTCGGACTCGGGGTTCTTGAAGTCGAGGTCGTACTTCTTGGCGTCCTCCTTGTAGAACTCGCTGGAGGCAACATCCATGGCGATGGAGATCTTGCCAGTGTAGCCGGCCTGCTCGATGGACTCGGTGATCAGGTCAAGAGCCTCCTCGGCGGTCTGAATATCGGGAGCGACACCACCCTCGTCACCGACGTTACCAGCGGACTGGCCGTACTTCTTCTTGGCGAGAGCCTTGAGCTTCTGGTAGACCTCAGCACCCTGGCGGAGACCCTCGGAGAAAGAGGAAGCAGTGCTAAAATAGTGAGTTAGCCATCTCTATTCTCACGAATGTTGTTTTCAAATCAGGCGGAAACTTACTCGGGAACAATCATGAACTCCTGGAAGGCCAGACGGCCACCAGCGTGGGAGCCACCGTTCAGGACGTTCTGGAAGGGAACGGGAAGGACGTAGGGCTTCTTGGTACCGGCAAGGTCGGAGATGTGGACGTAGAGAGGGACACCCTTCTCAGCGGCAGCAGCCTTGGCAATGGCCAGGGAGACACCGAGGATGGCGTTGGCACCGAGCTTGCCCTTGTTGGCAGTGCCGTCGAGCTTGTTCAGGAAGTCATCGACCTTAGCCTGGTCCTTGACATCAATGTTCTCCTTGATGAGAGCGGGGCCAATGATCTCGTTGACGTTCTGAACGGCCTTGAGGACACCTAGAAGCAAGAAAAGGTTAGCAACTGACTGAGAGAAATGTCAATTACAATGAGGTGGAATAGCACTTACCCTTGCCGCCCCACTTGGTCTTGTCACCATCACGGAGCTCAACAGCCTCGTGCTGGCCTGGAATTTGTTAGTCGAATGGTTCTCTCGAGTAGCTCTGGGTAATTGGGATCATCAATTGACATACCAGTGGAAGCACCGGAGGGGACAATGGCGCGGTGCAGACCAGTCTCAGTGACAACGTCCACCTCAACGGTGGGGTTGCCGCGAGAGTCGTACACGGAACGAGCGTGAACCTTGGCGATAGGCATTTTGAATTGTGTCTGAAAGATGGGGGAAAATCTGTCAGTTGCAAGAAAGGAAAAGAAGAAGAGAAAAACGGGGATGAGGAGGGGTTAATGAGCGTAACTCGTGACTCAGGGCGGCGGGGGGGGAAGAGGTTCACCGATGACCCAAAATGACAGGTCCGGCGAGTGGGAGGATAGGGGGGGAGGGGATGTGATTTGTTTAGGAGGATTGATTGGGGCAATTGGTTGGGGCAGTGGTCACCGAAGGTCTGAAAGTGTAGAGGAGGGTAGACTATGCTATCCGTTCTTGGTTCCAGGTGTGTGAAGGTGTGATGGGGTTGGTGATGGATGATGTGTATAGGAAGGAGGGGCAGCTATGGCGGGGTATCTGATGTGATGCAACAACTTACCTTGGGGAATATATGGGGAGAGCAAAAAGGAATAAACAATTACAATTCAAAGAAAAAGAATAGCAGCTACGGAAACACCCGATTCTTTAAATACCATTGACCCCGGAAAAGGTCACAGCTGGTCCTCCGATTCTTTCCAATGCGGTGGTGGGGCCTCCACGCTCTTCTCCAGCGCTTGCTGGCTGATCCGACCGTCTGCGGACTTTTTGGCCTGCGAGATCTCCCGTTCCTCGGGAGGAGATGGACCATTCTCGGCTCGGGTCCTGCTTCTCCTGTTGATTCCCCGATTCTTACGTACGGTGGTGGATGTGTTTGCTTATTGCTAATTAGCTATTGGTAGCAGCTATCCGTAAGTCGTGTAGCTGTAGCTCTAGTATGACGGAGGAGTCTTGCGTAGTACTACATAGACCGTTGCAGAGTTTTTTTTTGGCGGGATTGCGCAAATCTTCCACTAAAGGACCGGCATTGGAGGAGGACCATTGGTCCATTCATCTGACGTCGTATTGGCGAAGACTGGGATGGGCACAGGTTGCAGGTTGGGTGCATGACGAAAGAGGACGTTGGCCTCCCAGCCTTGGGGCCTTGGAGCCTTGGAGCCTTGATACCTTAATCAATTTTTTGCCTTACCGCCTTATAGCCTTACTGCCGTGATGCCTCACTGCCTTGCTGCCTTATCGCTGTCCACCGCTGACTAAGATGATGCAAGTCACGTGTGTGTACGCGCAGTCAGGTGACCGACGCCGCTGGAAGCTCCTCGACGGGCGGTGCTGGAAGCTCTCCAGGTTGAAGTCCGCTGCCCTTCCTATCAATCCGTCCATCCGATCATCTATCTGCGGGGACATTGCATCTATCAATACCCGCATCAACAATCACGACCCTCATCACCTTCCTTACGCATTTCCCCCTTCGATTCCCGTTCGCCGTCCATCATGAGCGGCGCCAACGACCCCGAGCGGGACCAGGCACTTGATGATTATAAAAGGAGCTTGTTGGAGCTACGAGAATGGGAAGCGAAGCTGAAATCACTGCGGATGGGTATCAAGGATCTCCAACGAGAGTTTGATGTCTCTGAGGAGAATATCAAGGCGCTACAGAGTGTTGGTCAGATCATCGGCGAGGTGTTGAAACAGCTTGATGAAGAGCGATGTATGTCCCCTCTGCATTCTATCAGGTGTCTCTAATCAAATATCGCGGAAATTATACTAACCCGCTCGCACAGTTATTGTCAAGGCCTCATCGGGCCCTCGTTACGTTGTCGGCTGCCGTTCAAAGGTCGACAAGGTCAAGATGAAGCAGGGCACCCGTGTAGCCCTGGATATGACGACGCTTACCATTATGCGAATGCTGCCGCGCGAGGTCGATCCTCTGGTCTACAACATGTCTTTGGAGGACCCCGGGTCAATCAACTTTGCTGGAATTGGTGGTTTGAATGACCAGATCCGAGAGCTGCGAGAGGTCATTGAGTTGCCGTTGAAGAACCCGGAGCTGTTCCTGCGAGTAGGAATCAAGCCCCCCAAGGGTGTCCTTCTCTACGGTCCCCGGGTACCGGTAAAACACTTCTTGCTCGAGCCGTGGCCAGCTCCATAGAAACCAACTTCTTGAAAGGTGTGCACGAGTAATCCCTTGTTCTAATCAATTTACGATTAACATCCGTGCTAATACCTGATCTCTCCTCCAGTTGTTTCATCCGCGATTGTCGACAAGTACATTGGTGAATCCGCTCGTCTGATCCGAGAAATGTTCGGCTACGCCAAGGAACACGAACCCTGTATCATCTTCATGGACGAAATCGATGCCATCGGAGGTCGACGTTTCTCCGAAGGTACATCAGCAGATCGTGAAATTCAGCGAACACTGATGGAACTGCTCAACCAGCTGGATGGTTTCGACTACCTCGGCAAGACGAAGATCATCATGGCCACCAACCGACCCGATACCCTGGACCCGGCTCTACTGCGTGCCGGTCGTCTGGACCGCAAGATCGAGATTCCTCTGCCTAATGAGGTTGGCCGTCTTGAGATTCTGAAGATTCACACAGCCTCAGTCGTCATAGAGGGTGATATCGATTTTGAGAGCGTGGTTAAGATGAGTGATGGCCTGAATGGTGCTGATCTGCGTAACGTGGTGACTGAAGCGTAAGTCCTTCACTCGAATATCTGTATTGCCTTTGGCATCCGGGTGCACTTTTACTAATGATTGATGAACAGGGGTCTATTCACCATCAAGGATTACCGTGATGCTGTTAACCAGGACGACTTCAACAAGGCGGTGCGGAAGGTTGCTGAGTCGAAGAAGCTCGAGGGCAAGCTTGAATACCAGAAGCTGTAATTGTAACTACCTATGGGCAGGTCGTCCGTTAGAATCCTACATGCCGACTGAACTTCGGTTACGAATATTGCTTTTCATGGCGGATTAGATCCGTACTAGGCTACCTAATAGTTAAGTAGACCAGGTCTAATTGGCGAGTATACTGTGCAGTACTACTACTATTACTACTCATATAGTCGTAGAGTGTTTATCGAGATATAACCGGAAAATATGCATATACAGATCAGCAGAGTTTCAGGATATCACTCTGGTGATTCGAGTTCTACTGACAAAATCGGCTTCGCCATGAGGATCTTTCGATCCTGGCAAATCGGATCTCGTGGTCCCGAGGCCGAGGCTGTACTCAGATGTCGCGTCGTACCTTTCGACAGGTAATGAGGCTGCTTCATATTTCCCGTAAGAGTAGTCAAGCTTCTCTCCGTCGTTATCATCACCATCTCTTTCTTCTTCTTCTTCTTCTTCTTCTTCTTCTTCTTCTTCTTCTTCTTCTTCTAAATTAGAAAGGGCAGCGAATCTGCCGTAGTCATGCATCTCGCTGCTGCTTTCAGCTGCCGAGTATCAATTGGGAGGAGTGGCGGTGACCAGAAACATAGGGCACAGGTGAACGTTTAATAGGATTGTAGATCGTCTCTTTGGTTTTCTAAGGCGGCCCTAATTTAAGAGGCTATGCAAACACCTCAACCTAATCTGGGCTGGAGGACTTCGTCGCGACAAATGCGGCTGAAGCCATGGATTGCATTTATAGGTAAGCCCTGGAGGTGGCGCTGTGGGCAACATTTCAAGGCGAGAGCAGCCGAACGCCGGGGTGCGGCAAAAGCCCGGGTTCAGTAACGAGGCTGACAGTCCTAAACAGCGACATGACAAGCGAGGAGCTATAATATTGTACGGGGAAAATATAAAGATTGATTCATTCCGATTGACTTAGAAACCGGGTCACCTGACCCTTGGCCATACTAAGGGTAAAAATAGCATACTACTATCTATCCCTTGAAGATCCCGAGGTCAGAAATTTTGAACTTCTTTTTACCATGCCAGTCTACCTATGCTACTACTAGTACCTACTCACTACCCATTATAGTTAGCTACCAGTAGAAATGCCGTCGTCAAGATAATGTGTTGAAGCTTAACCTGCCTCGGCGAGATCCTGGACCCTCTTGGCCGGCAACAGCCTCCGTTTTTATCTTCTGTCTAACCGTATGCGCAATTACCTCCATTCATTAATAAGTATGTTTTATACTTCGTTTTGAAGGCTTGTGAACTACCAGTTTTTCAACTGGTGGCCAATAGTAGTATGTTTATACTTGATGGCGCGGGCCATGTGACGTGCGGTCCAGGTCCAGCGGACTTCTCCACTTCCCCGGTTTCTCACAACCCTGAGGATCCTCCAAACAACAAAAACAGATCAACAAAGACTCGATTCCCTCGTTTCTCTGCCTTTGCTCATTTCATTGGAAAGATCCTGGATCCCTGGGTGATCGACGTTGTACTTTGATCTTTCGGACTCAAGATTCGCCGGTGACGCGCCATCGGAGAAATTGTGCTAAGCACACGCTGGCATGTTTCGGATTGGTCCTCAACTATTCCACCTCGCGTGATACCGCGTAATTTAGACTGTGCGAGCAAGGGAAAACCTGACAGGGCACCTCGCTCCTGCGACCAACATCTCGGATTCAATATACCAACACTCAGCCGACCGCGACACGACGCGACGCCACATTGGACTCTGCACGACACTCTCTTTCCCCATCCCGTCGCTCGACTGCAGCATCAGCCTCGGAGCTCGAGTTCTCAACAAGACCGATCAACCACCACTTAAGCGATCCCATGCTGCTATAACAGGTCCGGCATATATTATATTGGAAATACATATTCAAGAGGAGGACAAACCGAATAACCATGTCGTTCCAGGCACCTTACCCTCCCTCCTCTCTCAGCCCCTCGCCACAAAACCCCGGCCGTCTCTCCCCTGCCGGTTACAATTCCAGGAGTGGTCTAGCTGGCCTCGGCCTTTCCTCGACTACGGCAGGACTCCCCAACAAACTGGGAACTTTCTTTGAGCAAGATCGCCCTCTCCCCATGTACAAAGATAAGCCGCATTTCGCCCCGCGGCGAACGGCTCCGAGGAAGAAGTGGAGACCGTTGTTAGCTCTGCTGGGGCTGTCTATAATCGCCTACTTCTTTTATAATCAGCCCAATATTCCGAGATGGCAGAGGTCGGGTGGATATGATAAAGGCGCCGCGCTGTGGAATTGGATGCAGACGCTTGACGATTCATCTGCGTCCGAGAAACATGTTGACTGGAATGCGCGCCGGGAAAAGGTACGCGAGGCGTTCCAGGTTAGTTGGGAAGGCTATGAGAAAGAAGCATGGGGTAAGGCGCATTTTCGAGGAAGATTGGCTTCTTCAAATCACTAACCTGATGGATAGGCTTCGACCAATACAACCCCGTGTCGGGCAGGAACAAAAACATGATCGAGGGTGGTATGGGCTGGATTATTGTCGATTCCTTGGACACTATGATCATCATGAATCTCACTTCTGAAGTTCGACATGCGCGGCAATGGATCTCTACTTCGCTGCAGTATAATCAAGACCACGATGTCAGTACCTTTGAGACAACTATTCGCATGCTTGGAGGACTATTGTCAGCACATTACCTCTCAACGCAATACCCAAATCTTGCGCCAATCAAGGAAGATGATGTCGGTGCTTCTGGGGAGGATTTGTACATTGAGAAAGCAACGGATCTAGCAGACCGACTCATGGGAGCATTCGAGACACACTCGGGAATCCCGTATGCGAGTGTGAACCTGAATACATCCCAGGGTATCAAATCGCATAGTGATGGCGGTGCATCTTCCACTGCGGAGGCAACATCTGTACAGCTTGAGTTCAAGTATATGGCCAAACTCACTGGCGAAGCCGAGTATTGGAAGGCTGCAGAGCGAGTAATGGAGGTTGTTGACCAACAAGAGGCTCAGGATGGCCTTGTTCCCATCTATATCCATCCCGACAATGGTGAATTTAAGGGGAACAACATTCGCCTCGGCAGTCGCGGTGACTCTTATTATGGTTTGTTCTACCCGAGCTTTCATTATTGTGCTTACAAACACGACAAGGCTAACCACGTCTTTCATCTTAGAATACCTCATCAAACAATATCTCCAAACCTCGCAGGAGGAGCCCGTGTACAAAGAAATGTGGGATGAATCTTTGCGAGGCATTCGCAAGCATCTGATCGCCTTCTCTAAAGATGCAAACTTGATGGTACTTGGTGAACGGCCAGCAGGTCTGAAGAAGAGTCTCTCCCCTAAGATGGACCACCTTGTCTGTTTTATGCCGGGAACCATTGCTCTTGGCGCTACTAGTGGTTTACCCCTGTCCGTGGCAAGAAAATCCGCTAGCTGGAACCAACAGCGAGAGGAAGAAATCTTCATTTCGCGCGAGCTAATGAAGTCCTGCTGGGCAACTTATTTGAACACAAAGACCGGGCTAGCCCCGGAAATTACCCACTTCGTCCTAGGCGATGAGCCAGTCATGATGGAAGACAAATACCCAGAACCATCCAAGTCGGGATCGACATTCGAGATGACCAGTATCTCTCAACCGCTGGGTTCTTTGCCGGATGGCTCAGAGCCCTGGCGCAAGGATGTCACTGTCAAGAGCAATGACCGTCATAACCTCCAACGACCCGAAACAATCGAATCCCTATTCTACATGTATCGTATCACCGGAGACGACATGTACCGTGAATGGGGCTGGGAAATGTTCAAATCTTTCATCAAATACACCTCCGTACTGGAAGAGAAACCCCCAGCAATCGCCGTTCCCGGAAGCGCTGGCACTACATGGCGCATTAAGGGATTTACCTCTCTTTCCAATGCGGATATTATCCCCCCGACTACTCGTGATAATATGGAGAGTTTCTGGATGGCCGAGACCCTCAAGTATTTCTATCTTTTGTTCTCAGATCGCGATTTCATCTCTCTTGAGGAGCACGTCTTTAACACTGAGGCGCATCCGTTCCCACGTTTCAAGCCCAGTGGTGATCTAAAGACCGGGTGGCAGAGAAAGACTTCTCGCAAGGCTGAGAACTAGCATCCGAGCGTCCTTTTTGTTTTGTTTTCTTTTGGCTCAACTGGAATCGGCTGGCGTTGGGAGGTTTTCTTGCGATACTAGTTCGGCCATGGAAGGCTTGATTAACATCTCGCCATATATTGTAAAGTCACAAAATTTCTTCAAAACATTTCTTCATGAAGTTTATCACACTAGGACCCGAAACCATGGGAGTCTTCCAAAAAATTCCATCCGAAATGCCATAAAGCCCGAAATGTATGTAGAGTCTATGTATGGGAATTCCAACGAGACAATATTCTTCAATCATTATACGTCAATCAGATCCAACCCCAGAGGATTACTCTCTATCCAAGGCAGCGCGAATCAAGACCTTGAACCCAGTAACAGCATCCCTAATATCACGCACAGTAAGAGCCTCATTATCACCATGCGCAACAAAGATACTACCAGGTCCATAAAGGTACCGCTTAACACCATCCCGAACCTTCAAATTAGGAACATCAGTCCCATAGTTAACCGGGATAACCTTGAACCCATCGACATCCGTATCAAGATCTTGAGGCGAGTACGACTCCCGATGACTATCAAAGTCAACAACAACCTCCGCCTCAGCATCGACCGTAGCATCAGCCACGGCCTTCTTAATAATATCCCGCGCCTCTTCAGGCGTACCAGCCGCCAAACGAACAGAGACATCAGCCATCGCCTCAGCAGGCACGACATTCGTCGCAACACCAGCACGAACAACGCCAACATTCAACGTCGTGGGCCCATACTTCGGTGAAGCGGGGAGACCGCCTTCGCTGACGGGAATTTTGCCTAATTTATCGACGCGTAGCAGTGCGGGGAGAATCGATGAGACGGCACTTTCGCCTAGCCAGGGATAGCCCGAGTGAGCGGCTTTACCGTGCGCGAAGACTTTGAAGCCTAGCATACCCTTGTGGCCTGAGACGAGAGAGGCTTCGGTTGGTTCGCCGAAGATGACGGTGTGGTAGGCGCTTTTTGTGTTTAATGATGAGTCCGAGAAAGTTTTCATGCCGTCGCCGCCGATTTCTTCGCCGACGACGAAGAGGAGGGCGATATTTGCGGTTGGGGTTTCGGAGAGGGTTTCTAGGACGGCGAAGACTTGGGCTGCGACGGAGCCTTTTGCGTCTACGGAGCCGCGGCCGGCGATTTGGAGGTTTGAGATTCCATCGGAGGAGGGGTCCTTGTGGACTGAGTATGGGATGAATGGTGGGACGGTGTCGATGTGGCTGGTGACGAGGATTGAGGGTGGCGATGAGTAGCCTGAGGGGTAGGCGTAGATGTTATATCTAGTCTTAGGGCGCTCGTTATCGTCGTCATTGTCGTCGTCTTTCTTCACTGGTTCGACTTCTTGCTTGATGACGGTGAAGTTCTTCGATTCGAGATACTCCGCAACAAAAATGCCGACGTTGTGCTCGTTACCGGAGATAGACTCAATCTCGACCAAGTCACGGTGGAATGATAGAAGCGGGTCATTGGAAATAATTGAGTCTATGCTGGATTGTCCATGGCTCTGGCTGACTTCCTCGGCGGACGAGGGTGAATTGCCGAGCGGTTGTTGCTGATATGCGGGGTGCGGAGAAGCAGTGGCTGCGGTGATGGCCGCGGCTGCTGCCAGATACCAAGTGGGCTTCATTGCGGTTGAAATGGAGCACGGGAAGCTGTGGTTCGTGATTTAGGACAGTTTTCCCACCGGCGTGTCCCTGTCTTGTGTTGACTTGCAGTGAGGAAGAAGCTGGGTTGGTGCATGTCCATCTTCATCGGGTTGTCGGCTGTCGATCCGATGAGTCACGTGGAACCGATGTCACCGGGAAATCGGGAAACTTGCCCAGGTTGACTTGAATACAACCGGGCAAACTTTGAATCGGGAAGGGTGTGTTACTTGAGCTATTTGATGTTTGGTTCATTTATCAAAATGTGATCAGCATTGCCAAGGTGCCCAGGTGGCAGAGTGGTTCGTTCTAGCATACTAGTATCGACTCGGAAGCTTGAATGATATATATTCATACTAGTAAGTAGGTAGTACTTAGATTAATAGATAGACAATTTGAAACTCTGAAGTCGGAAAAACCAACTTGAAGATAAGCTTTAGTACCTGAATACCTAATAGTTCGTCGAGAAGTGTGGAAACAACTTGAATTCAAGTTCATGATCTCAACCCTGGAAGGATGTATTTCGGGCGTTCTTCAGGGCTGATCCTGAGAACCCCAACCTTGGATGCGGTGGAGTCGGAGCGGGATATGAGCGGACATTAGCGTAATATTTGGGAAACAATGCGGCGCGGTGGAGATCTGCATATTGCATCTTCATGTTCACTATGTATTATACCAAAAAAATAAAAAAATTAAGCATTGAGTACCCGTGCGCCTTCCGTCGTAACCGAATATCTTGTAAATGTCGCAATTCCAAATTACTAGGCAGCGTCATCGGATACCAACAGCGATAACTACCGATATCAAGTGGAGTCAATTATTACCATCGCCAGCGTTCACAATTACGAGCAGTCCTGTGCACAGTGGTTCAACATTGACAGCGGCGATCACAATATCGCAGTCATATGGAACTTACAACTTCTGGTTTGGAAAAGGCTACCGTTTTGGCTAAGCATCCTACTAGTGCGGTAGAACGCGAACTAGTCGCGCAGCCTTGTCAACAGAACACCTGCCACGTACAACATTCAGAGTCCCAACGGCGGATCGTCTGCAAGGAAGTCTATTACATAAAACGGAATAGGCTTCTTGTTCGTCAAAGCGTGCTAGTGCAGATTTTATGACAACAAATCGAAGACAATGATGCCCGCTTTCCGAGACCCGCCTGGAAAAAGGTCGACTGAACGAGGAACGATCGGCGGGTTTATCATGGTGGGCTGAAAAGCCCCACGAAGAACCAGGCGCGGATTGAAACCTGATCCGGATAAATTTATGCTACTATGGGTCAGGTCACATAAATTGGGCTCAGGTCCCCTTCCTAAACTTCAATCCATTAGACTTTTTCATTCAAGCCTGCGATCTGAATCTATAGAGTGTTTGGTTTAGCACCACTCAGAGTCGATCGAAAAGAAGACATTATGGGTGCAAAGAGCAAACGGTTATTGTTGACATCGGTAGACGATGCCGCCGAGAAGGAACCCGATAGACGCTTTGCGGTGATTCCGAAAGGCTCAGAGTTGTCAGATGGATTCATGAATTTGACCATGAAGGAGTTGGCCAGAGCCGTGAATTGTATGGCCTGGTGGATTGAAAGTGTTATCGGAAAGGGAAAGCCTCGCCAGACGCTGGCGTATATGGCTAGCAATGATGTCCGCTACTGCATTTTTCTTCTCGCATGTCAAAAGACAGGCCATCAGGTATCGATATTGCATCTGCCCAGCCTTTTTTCGCCAACATTGACAATTTAAATAGGCATTCTTTCCTTCTACGAGGAACTCAGATGAGGCATTTGATTATCTTCTCAAAGTGACGGAATGCTCTAAGTTCTTCCTCAGCGAAGAAAGAAGCGCCCGAGTCTCCGAAATTCACGCTGTCCATCCGGGTCTTGAAACCTTTAACATCCCCAGCTTGAAGACACTACTCTCCGACAAAACTGATGATCGCCATTATCCTTTCACAAAGGCCTATGCTGAAGTTGAGGACAACACAGCTTTCATCATACACAGCTCAGGAACTACTGGTAAGCGTCCGCCTTTTTATACCGCTCGAGAACGGAGAACTAATCTCGTCTTTCTAGGGATGCCCAAACCAGTCTATCTCACGAACGGATTTATGGCGACCTTAGATATGATGGATCAGATATCATGGCCTGAGGGGCGCGAGTCGGCTCCATTCTGGCACATGTCTTCCCAGGAGCTGGTCTTGGCTACGACCCCATTTTTCCACCTTATGGGCTTCTTTTCCTTTGCAATTTCTATCTTTCATTCTGTTCCAGTATTGATCGGCCCCGAAAAGCCACTCTCGGTGGACTATCTCGTTGAACTCTTTGACACAGCGCGACCTACAGGCGCACTTTTGCCTCCATCAGTTTTAGAGGACATGTGCTACTCTGACAAAGCGCTTGAAAGCCTGCGAGGGCTGAAATCTGTTTATTTCGGCGGTGCACCACTAGCCTACGAAAAGGGCGAAAAGCTGCGCAAGTACACCAGGATCGTTCCTGTTATTGGAGCCAGCGAAATAGGCTGGATATTGGCAGTTATTCCGGAAGATGAGAAAGATTGGCCTTATTTCGAATGGAACCCTGAATATGGCATCGAGATGCAAGATAATGGAGACGAAGTCTACGAAATGGTCATCAAGCGCTCCGAGGGCCATCGCGATTTTCAGGGCGTCTTCCATACATTCCCTGACCTTGACGTCTACCATACCAAAGACCTTTACACACAACATCCAACGAAACCAAACCTGTGGAAATACAATGGCCGAAAGGATGATGTGATTGTGTTGAGCAATGGTGAAAAGTTTAATCCTGTCTCCATGGAGCTCATTATTGAGGTCCATCCGCTGGTATCAAGGGCTCTTGTCATTGGCCAGTCAAGATTCCAGGCTGGTTTATTGATAGAGCCTAATCCCACTGCACCAGAAATGGATTCAAATCTTTTTATCGACAAAATTTGGCCGACAGTCCAAGCCGCAAACCAGACGATCGCGGCCCATGGAAGAGTCATGAAAAGCAACATTGGCTTTGCATCCAAGGCTAAGCCATTCAAGACAACACCGAAAGGAACTACACAGAGACGCGCCGTGGCTCGAGACTACGAAAAAGAGATTGATCAAATATATGAAGCTGGCTTGGATGATGACCTACAGGTATCTCTTCCAGAGGCCCTTGACACTGCTAGTATCTCAGATTATGTTACCCGTATCATCGGCCGTGTCCTCGAAAAACCCGATATCCCTTTCAGCCAGGATCTGTATAGCCTCGGACTGGATTCTTTAATGACGATCCAGATTGCGAAGGCTTTGCAAAAGGGTATTCAGGAACGTCGGCCTGAGACGAAGAATGGGACAATCACCTCGCAAACACTTTATGCCAACCCCACAGTGAAAAAGCTGGTTGAAGTGATCATCAATACCCTTGAAGGGAAGTCCATCGATGTTATTCCGAGGAGCGAGAAGATTCAAAATCTAGTGAAGAAGTACACAGATGATCTTCCCTCCGATCGGGTCATTCCATCAAACCGCCTAATTTCGCCTTCAAGTGTGATATTGACTGGTTCCACCGGCTCACTGGGTACCTACCTTCTTCATGACCTCCTAAGCAAGCCAGCTATCTCCAAGATCTATTGTCTCAACCGATCGGACGCAGAGAGCCGTCAGAAGAAGAGCCTTGCAGAAAAGGGCCTATTGTTCAATGACGATGCGTGGAAAAACAAAGTTGAATTTCTCCAAGCATCATTTGGAGAGCCACGATTTGGCCTGGAGGAAGCTAAGTATCAAGAGATGCTTCAGTCAGTTGACACAATTATCCACAATGCCTGGAAAGTTGACTTCAACCACTCCGTCGAGTCTTTTGAAGAAACTCATATCAGAGGCATGCGCCGATTCGTGGACTTCAGCCTGGCAAGTCGATACAATGCTCACATTCATTTTGTTTCATCGATTAGCACGGTCGGTGGATGGAGCCCTCAAATGGGACACTTGGTGCCAGAACTACCGATGGAAGATAGTTCCGTGGTTCTTGAACAGGGTTATGGCGAGTCGAAGCATATTTCGGAGAGAATTTGCTTGGAGGCATCCACAAAGAGCCATGTGCCGACAACAGTGTACCGCGTGGGGCAAATCGCTGGCCCGACTACATCGAGTGGACAATGGAATCCACATGAATGGCTTCCTACTATTATTTCGACGTCCAAAGCAATGGGAAAAATTCCCAATCAGCTAGGGTCAATGGCAGTGGATTGGGTGCCTGTGGTAAGCTTTTGTATTTGATTCACCCTTGTGAAATTGCTTGCTAATATAATACTAGGATACGCTCTCTTCGATTATGTCTGAAATTGTTCATTGCCGACACGCAAGCCCGTCAACCTCGGCGGTCTTCCATTTGACCAATGCTGAAACGACAGAGTGGTCGACACTGCTCCCTGTTATTAAACAGAAATACGACGTGAAACCAGTTGAATTTAAAGAATGGGTTGCGGATTTGGAAAGTATTCAAAACCCTACAAGCGCTGAAGTTGCCGATAAGCCTGCCCTCAAACTACTCAGCTTCTACCGTGGTCTTGTTGATGAGGAGCATGGTGCCATGTCAGTTCCACTTGATGTAAAGGAGGCAAGACAGGCAAGTCGGACGATGGAAGCGCTGGGACCGATTTCCGCCCCTCTGATGCAGAACTGGTTGGAACAGTGGCAATTCTAACGAAAGAAGATATACACTTGAGATTATACGCTAGAGACCCAATTCAATCTGAATTATTGTAATATGACCACAGAGCTCTTATAAATCAACTCACCATGTCAGTTCTGGTTTGTTCGTACAACTTGCTGCTTCGATCTGTGAGCAGAAATTCTCTTCCTCAAGTAGTTTTTCAGAAGCAGAGCTAGGCAGCTGGGGGAGAGCTGGCCAAATTTCCTTTCCACCTTGCTGATCTTCTTTCTTCCTGTGCTCTATAAGTATTTTCTTCACGCTTTCTTGGAAATAAATAGGTCCCTAGACAATAGTAAGCATGTATTGAAACGGAGCGAAAGTTGAAGGATTCGAACATACCTTTTCCTTGTTCGGGTGAAGCTCGCCATTGACAAAGACACCCGCACTCAAGTTTTGTTGGGCTCCAACGCAAAGCTCCCTATCCTCGTCAAGAACCTGTCGGTAGAACGCATTGATATCTTCGAACTCCTTGTCAGTCGCGTCTTTATGTCGGTATACTTCATTTTCAACTTTGCTCGTTGTTGCTGTGACAGGAATCATGCGTTGAATGTAGAAGAATTTATCACTGATTTGTCAGTAATTGTCCGGCATTTTTGTCAACAGAAAGAAAGAAAACATACGTGACGGTAACTGATGTCGTCGGGAAGAAATAGGTAATAGCCCGACGGAACTGACTGTCAGCTTGTTCTTTGTTGAAGATATGATGTTCCATATATGCAGCATTGGGCTCCACTCTATATTTAGGAAGATCGGATACTCCATTTATAAGGGGATGGGAGGTGGCGCAATGGTAGCACTCATTGTAGTTCTCAATCAACCCCTTCCAATTGGCATCAACGTCCATCTCCCAGTAGTGATCAAACGTATATTCCCGGCAAAATCGAAATCTTGCATTCTCGGCTGTTGATCAATCTTCTGATATTCCTCATCCCATTTGACTTCAGGATCACCTGCTTGAAGATTCACCCAAATAAATCCGGCCTTATCAACGTGGACATGTATGGGAAGGAGTCCTTGTTGCGTTTTGTCAAAATCGGGAACGGTCTCAAATCGAGGGGCCTTCGAAAGATTTCCTTTCAGGCCATATGACCAGCCATGGTATTTGCATGTGAGAATGGAAGCTGATCCCGAGCGGGATTGCACGACTGGGAATGCGCGGTGTCGACAGATATTATGGAAGCCGTTAATGTTTCCGTCACGGTCTCGAATTAGGAAGAAGGATAGGTTCGCGATGGTAAAGGATAGGTAGTCGCCATTTTTGGCGAATCGAGAGGAGTGAGTGAGGAGTAACCAGCGTTTAGAGAAAATGGCTCGTCTCTCAAGCTGGTACATAGCTTCGGAGCGGTACCATGATGCTGGAATACCTCGTGGGTGTTCTTTTTCGGTAGAGTTAGAAGACCATCCGAATAGGCGCCACATTCTGAATAAGATGAGATGATGAATCACGATTTTGTGTTCTTAATATCTTACTAGTACCTAGGTAGCTATCAGATCGCTCTGCGTAGACTACTGCTGGAACTATATAACCGACAGCTTAAGCGAGGAATTTCATAGCGACAAAATAACAAGAATGGGGTCGCGCGATGGGCGGCCAAGAGCCCCGCTGGGCGGGGAAATTTCTCCAACTCGATAAGCATTATCTCTTGTAGATATTGCATTGGACCCGAGGTTCTGGGCCCGAGATGTCAAGAATGGGGGCATTCGGCGATAAAGTAAATATGGATTTGTATTTGCACAGACTTGTAGCTAGGCTGAAGTACTTTCTAATCAATACAATATAATATCATTCGGCAAACTAGTCACAGCCTGCTAGACTCCATCATCTCACTTCCATATGAGTTTCCCCAGCGCCGATTTACCTGGTAATAAAAAATTAGCAATCGCCCCTTGATAACAAAAAAGGAAACATACATCAGCAATGTGATCATATCCAAGTAGTTTAGGAGCTAGTCCTGGGTCTCTCCAAGCCAAAGCTTCCCCTTCTGGGGTAGGCACCATCTGCATCTTGCGATCTCTTTCCTGCTGCTCTGGCCCGTCATGTAGATGGTATAGATACTGCTGTACATTTCCTCTCTCGACAACCATCTTAGTACGCTGCTTTCTGCATTCCTGGAAAACAGAAAGGGCATGTTTCTTAGCCTCCGTAAATGAAGGCGAGCTTTTGGAGATTTCGGGATTGTCGGGGAGACGAGATAGACATTCGCCGAGAACGGCACCATCTTCAAAGGCCATACCGGCTCTACAGACTATGTCAGTAAATGGGGGTCTGAAACCAGAAGGTAAACATACCCTGAAGCTAAATATGGCAAGGTTGCATGGACAGCATCCCCGACCATGACCCAGGCTCCTGATGGATGAGTCCAATCGAAGTCCCCGAAGCGGATGCACAGTCGCCATTTCTGCACGGACTGACATAATTTGAGAAGTTTTTGAATGCTGGATTTTTTAGGTTGATATCGGAACATTTGGGATAAAAAGACTCTTACCGTGGATCCCATCCTTCAAATAAGGCACACATCTCTTCCACATTCCCCTCCATTGTAGATGCAAGTGAATCTTCGGGAATGTCATCTGGGACAAGCAAAACCATGTTAAACAGGTCCCCTCCCCTCAGAACATAGTTGACTAGTTGAGTTAGCAGACAATTATATTATGAAATAGGCAAATAGACATACCGGCGTGAGCATCCGGCCCCAGCCAATAATTCACTTGAGGTTGATTCACGAATGGCGCCAGCTCAGGGTCCTTGCGCATTTCTTCTGTTGATAAAAGTAGACGATATGCGAGATCTCCTGTCTTGACTGGTGGATCACTGCGACCCAGCAAGCCTTCAGTCAATTTTCCGAACACCCCGTCAGCTCCGATGACGAGATCGCCCTCCCATTGCCTTCCATCTGCAGCGAAGGCCTTCGCTGTGGTTCCATTTCCACATACACGCACATCATCAATCCGGGCATTGCATATCACGCGCACTCCTAGCTCTAAAGCCCTTTCGACCAGGCACCGTTGGAGATCGGCGCGGTGAAAATCTCGATACCAAGTGCCAGGGTATTTCGTTTCGGAATCGTGGAAATCAAGGTGGGAGATCTTGTTTCCTTTCCAACCGATGAAGTTGCACACACTTGGGATTGTCATGTGGGGTGTCAACTTCTTCTCAAGACCCCAGTGCTGCAAGACGCGAGAGCTGTTTGGCAGGACCTGGATACCGGCGCCCACTTCCTTTATCTCAGCAGCCGCTTCGAGGATGCTGACTTGATGACCAGCAAGAGCACAGCTGATTGCACTCCCAAGGCCGGCGAGGCCTGCGCCAATTACCAGTATATCTAGCTTGCAAGACTTGTTACGAGTCTGCTGCTGCTTGATGTGGATGGGAGGTGCCATATTGAAGAAACGCAGACAAATTAATTTCGTAACTGTGTGTATCGATTTGACGATACCCGTGGATAAGTCAATGGCATTCAGGGTATTTATCATAGCTTCGCTCTGTGCGAGGATAGACGTCTCCAAAAATGGGGGTTACCCCCTCCTCCACCTACGTTGGTAATGCCGAATCCCGGTATCTTCAGACTGGCTATATTTGGGGCTTGGGCATCTTGAGTGGGTGTGAATGTAATGAGATTTTGAAACTACTGCTCCCAATCCCTTCGAAATTTACAATCATGTCCAAAGTATGCAATCTTTTACCATCTCTTGACCTGACCGGGCTAACCCTTCAGTTTTCTCTCCAAGGTCGAACTGCACTAGTGACGGGAGGCGCTCGGGGATGCGGTTTAGCATTTGCTCATGGTCTGGCGGAAGCAGGGGCAGACATAGCTATCTTTGATGTAGTTGATCCGGAGCCAGATTTCTATACGATCGAGAAAAATCTGGGAGTTCGAACGGCTTTTTATAAGTAAGTGGTCTATCGTCATTTGGCGATCGGATTTTGACTTGGACAGAGTGAACGTTTCGTCGGAGGAGTCTCTACAAAGCGGATTCTCTCAGTTCCAAAAGGATTTCGACAATGCGCTCGATATTTGTGTCCCATGTGCTGGGATAAACCGACACCTCCCCTTCCTCGAGTTTACCTACAAAGACCACAGCGATCTGCTTGCGGTCAATGTACTCGGTCTTTATTTCACTGCCCAACTAGCAGCAAAGCAAATGATCGGGAATGGTACAAAGCACGGAAGTATTGTTTTGGTTTCCAGTATGGCCAGTCATATCGCAGTGCGAAGCCAGCTATGTAGCGCATACTGTGGCTCAAAAGGCGCGGTTCGATCGATGTGCCCTGCAATCGCGAAGGAGATGGCCGAATATGTGAGCATCAGCAGAAACGCCGCAATGAAAAAAAAAAAAATTAACGACAAACAGGGGATTCGAGTCAATTCTATCTCACCTGGATATGTCCGAACGGAGATGACCGCAGCAGTGAGTGTTGCAGTCCCTTGGTTCTGTAGAGGAGAGTGCTAATTGTCAGTTCCCCCATCTTCTTGAAAGCTGGAAGTCGGAAGCCATGAACGGACGAATTGCCGAGCCGGAGGATATAATGGGGGCCTGCGTCTTTCTGGCTAGTGATGCCAGCTCGTACATGACGGGGCAGGATGTGATCGTGGATGGGGGGAGTAACCAGATGGTAGTTAGTGGAGATAAATCAAGGGTGGGGGTTGTTTCTCCGCACCACCAAGAATATCACTTTTTATAACGTGTTGCCTGTCGCTCTCCGCAAAAAAAGACTGTAGAGTATTCAATCACACATCGAAGTGCAAACAATGGCCCCCAGTGCAAACAATGAAGGATACAGTGTCGGTAGCCATGACGCTACCACTACAGTTGTTGTGGTAGGGGCAGGTCCGTCAGGATTGATGCTTGCGTGAGTTATGTTCATAAAGCTTTTGGAGTCGCTACTCACTCGGACTCAGGTGTAATCTGGCTCGCTACGGAATTGATGTTGTGATCCTTGACGATCGCCCCGACAAGACGTCAACTGGCAAGGCAGATGGCATGCAACCAAAGACCATTGAGACGTTCAAGCAGATGAGACTTGCGGAGCCTCTTCTCAAGAATGCAGCTCGGGTGCATGACATTTCTTTCTGGGTAAGTTCTTCCATCGCTTCAACTATTGTTTATTCTAACAGCGTCCAGCAATCGACAGCAGAAAAGGAACTCCATCGAACCGGTCGTCAAACTCACTACCCCGATCACCTCGTTGGCGCTTCCGATCCTTACATCCTCCTCGCACACCAGGGAATGGTTGAAGAAGTGCTGATTGACGATATGGAATCGAGGGGTCTCTTTGTGACTCGGAATAGCCGGTTTACAACCTGCTCTCGCGTACCAGGGACAATGCAATTGGATGTTTCATATGAAGATGTATCAACAAACACAATCAAAACAATCCGAACGGATTATTTGGTTGGATGTGATGGCGCAAGGTCGAAGGTTAGAGACTTCATCCCGGATGCAGAGCTCGAGGGGGAAATCACAAACGCGTCCTGGGGTGTTTTGGATGGTGAGTTCGATTCCAAACACACATGAGTGGACAAGTATCCTAATGGACTGCAGGGGTTATTGATACCGACTTTCCTGATCTCTGGAGCAAGGTCGCCGTGCGATCGCATGCTGCTGGATCAATTCTTTGGATTCCACGTGAGCGCAATATGACTCGACTGTATGTCGAATTAAGCGCGACGGATGGCGAACGTGTGGATCGAGCCAAAGCAACACCCGAATATGTTATCAATAAAGCGCGGGAGGCCATGCATCCATTCCGTCTCGAGTGGAAGACTAGAGAATGGTTTGGGAATTACGTGGTTGGCCAGCGCGTGGCAAAACATTTTATGGATTCGGATGCGAGAATTTTCATTGCTGGAGATGTAGGTATTTACCTCCTCATTCCGAATTGTGAGTACTAATTCTTCGTAGGCTGGACACTGTCACTCGGCTCTTGCCGCACAAGGGGCCAATACCAGTATGCATGACAGTTTCAATCTCGCGTGGAAGCTCAATCTTGTCATTCGTGGACTCTCCAGGCCATTATTATTATCCACATACGAGGAGGAACGTCGGAAGATTGCCAATGATCTCATCAATTTTGATGTTGAGCATTGCAAAGCATTCTCACAAGGCGAAGCAGCACTTGCAAAAAACTTCAATGAAAATATCCGATTTATCTCAGGTGTGGGGGCTGAATACCAGGGCGGCATCCTGAGCCATGGGAAGAATATCACATCGGCTAAACTCCAAGCTGGAAAACTCCAGATACCAGCAAAGGTGACGCGATACATCGATGCCAATCCTGTGGATATTCAACTAGACATTCCACTGCTGAGCCAGTTTCGCATCTACCTTTTCGTTCCGGATGTTCCCAGCTCCTTGGAATTCTTGCACGTCCTGGGCAATGAGTTGCTTAATTCGTCCTGGGAAATATTTCAGAGAGAGCAAATCAGTCGTACGGGAAACGGACTGGGGATACGCCCCATCAGACGAGTTTGTTCAGCCCCAGAGGTATACAGCCGTGTCAACTGCATTTACATATTCGATGGTCACCCAGTCTGCTAAATCTGAGTTTGAAATTGCGGATTTGCCCCAAATACTACAAGATAGCAGATGGTCGCTCTACCTTGACGATGCAGACCCCATCGGTTGTACTAAAAAATGGTTTGGGGATTTGAGCCGGCAGACAGTTGGGGTTACAATTGTGCGACCAGACGGATACATCGGGGGGGGTTGAGACATGGAACTTAGCTGCTGGCGTAGAGGCTGGCAAATGGCTGGAGGAATATTTCACATTCATGTCGTAGTTTTTTGATCTCGATAGCTATAGATTTACACGAATGAACTGGTAATTTCACTGTATGCTTTGAACCCATGATTTCTGAATTACTTCTTTAAAAGTCATATCTGTTACATGCCACCCGTTTGATGGCGATCGGTGTAAGTAATTTAATCACGGGAATGGGCATACTAGGATGTACCCAGCCCCTCGCTGCATACGGCGGTCGGTCATTGTGCGAGGGTGGGGGGTGGACAGCCAGTACAAGACCTGCAGCTGATTCTTAACTACAGTGGGGGTTAGGTACCGCGTTCCAAAATGCAGATCAAAAGTGCAATCAAAATGAGCTCATCCCACCATTATCCCACTTTCGCGTTGATGGGTGAGGAGAGCTCCGTAACGTGAGCGGCTATTTAAGAGTTGGACCAATGCTCGAAGAAACATGAGTAAATAACTCAAATTGCCGATTACATACACAATGGGCTCAGTTGACATCGTCGGACCTCTTTTCCAGCCTCTGCGCCTGGGCGCTCTCTCACTCAGTCATCGAGTGGTCCAGGCACCATGTACGCGTATGCGATCGACCAAAGAATCGGAGGGAGTCTTTGTCCCGAACGATCTCAACGTCGAATATTACTCTCAGCGTGCTTCGGCTGGAGGATTTATGCTGACAGAGGCGACACCTATTAGCAGATATGTATGTTCACTTACATCCCCAAAGAAACTTCGTGCTGACTTTTTAGGCGGCTGGATATCCAGGAGTCCCCGGAATTTTCACCAAATCGCAGATCGCGGGCTGGAAGAAGGTTACCGACGCAGTACACGCGAAGGGTGCCTACATCTATTGTCAGCTATGGCATGTCGGTCGTGCAACCGTTCCTTCTTTCATCGATGGAAAACAAGCTGTCAGTTCCAGCGATATACCGATCAGTGGAAATGGCTTGGATGGCACAGAGTACGCAGCCCTGCCACCGCGACCAATTACCGTCGATGAGATCCAGGAGTTGGTTAAGGAATATGCTGCGGCGGCGAAGCGAGCTATTGAGGCCGGGTTTGACGGAGTTGAAGTTCACGGTTAGTATTGAGTTGTCCGAATTGACTAAGGGGAAAAGGCACTAAAGTCATACAAACAGGGGCCAACGGATACCTCCTAGACCAATTCCTCCACGACAACGTCAACAAGCGAACTGATGACTACGGCGGGTCCATTGAGAACCGATCTCGCATTGTTCTCGAGGTCCTCAAATCAGTTGCTGGTGCCATTGGTGCCGATCGCACGGGAATCCGCCTGTCACCTTATAATTATTTTCAAGATACAAAGGACTCCAACCCCAATTCTCATTGGCTTGGGCTCTGCTCGCTGATTGCTAGCTTGCCGAATGAGTCCCGACCATCCTATGTGCACATGGTTGAGCCTCGCTTCGATGAAGTCCTTGATGAGGAGGCAAAGATCGGATCCCTGGCGAATGACAAGCCCTCATTGGATGTGTTCCGACCGACTTTGAAGAAAGGGGGTATCGCATTCCTGGCGGCTGGAAACTTCAACGCCGAGAATGCTGGCCCTAAGCTTGTTACTGATGGTGCAGACGCAGTCGTGTTTGGTCGCTGGTTCATTGCCAATCCGGATCTACCGCGACGTCTCAAGGAGGGGCTGCCCTTGAATCCCTACGATCGAACAACCTTCTATGGGGCTGATCCGGCGGAGAAAGGATACACGGACTACGCTTTCTACAGTAAATAAGGAGAATTCGAGAGGACTCATTATGGTACAATCGTTGAAGGTTAGGATCACATGGTTATCATGCATAGTTATCTGCGTATTCAAGTTGTGCTATTTGACCATAGGACCAGTATGGCCAAACTGCAATTCAACAATCTGACACAAAAAACATACAAAATTCAATTTCGGTTTATCAAGACAATCCAACTAAGACTTTCATAGCATCATGTACTACAGCCCACCGAACAGTAGCTAGTTGCTGGGCCATTGCCGATGCCAGGGGCTTGGGGTCATACTTTCCGGACAAAGCAGTTAGCTCAGTAGCACTTGGGCAGTTCGTCATCATCACAATCAGAGACGAGAGGTCTGTGTGAATTCGGCTCTCTGACGAAGAAATATCCATTCCCCGATGGAAGACCCAGCAGGCCAGTGTAGCAAGATACAAACACCATGGGAAATGGAACGCATCTGTATGGTCCCAGTCATGTAGACTTAAAACCGCATCTTGTAGGAGAAATGATGCATGGCGGGCAGCGATAGACGATGCGCTGGAATCTTCATGCAACCACTGGAAAATCTTTCGTTGGGACCGTGACTGGTCTGCCGGTGTAATATTCCTCCCTGAGAATCTGTTTGGCGCCGGCGATAATTTGCAAGTCCAGGATTTCAACGTTCAACGCAAGACACGATGCATGATATAGAGCATGAGCGGCCATCTTCAAGCCGGTGAACCTCTGCGGATCTGCTGTTTGAGCTAGCTTCATACTTAGGCAATCTGCATCAAAATCCACTTTCCATAAGTCGTAGGACCGGCTCATACGTGGAGTCCAGGCCCCAACCTTTTCGGGCGTTTCCGACCGGAGGGTTGTTTGGTCACGACGTTTGAGATCAGCGGAAACTGACATTAATCCATGGAGGATGACCGAGCGGGCGAAAACATTCAAGTCGCGGGGTCTGGAGACTGCGCTAGGAGTAATATATCCCTTGAGAACTGCTAGGAAAGGGCGATTTGTCTCACGAGAAGCTAAATGTGCCCATTCCTGAGCCGTTGTTGCTTCCCAAATAGCGGCATTGCATGGCAATGAAGACCTTATCTCGAATGCGGACATGCAGAGAGACTGAGAAAAGAGCACGGCGTGCTGGGTATCCCACATAAAACAAAGCATTGCCAGGCGTTTCCGCTGCTCCTCAACCATTGCATATCGCCACGCATAATCTAAATCCTCCGATCGTGGTAAAGTTGGGGAGTCGTGAATATTGCAGCAGGTGCTTCGACGAATCAATTTGATCAAAACGCAGTGGAAGAGCTGAGCACGTTCTCTTTGCTTTGGCCCTGCCCTCATTTTTCCGAAGCAGTCGATAAGAAGCATTGTCTGTAGGACCCAGAGTTCTGGTTGTGGAGAAAAGTCTTGATGGCAAAGGAGTTGATTTCGCAGGTTGTCATGGATTCCAACGGCTAGCTGATGAGCTTCTCGCGTACTGTATGTGGCACCCATGAACAATACAGCCGCGAGAAATACTGGATCAACAAGATCGGGATTGAAAGTTGACTGGTGCACAAGTGGATATGTCACATTGAAACGAGAAAAGAAAAAGTCACTGTAGCTCTGCAACGCAGGGAGGGAAAGTAGGTGCGAGTCAAGAGCCATGGGTTGACTATCAAGACCTATAGGGCGCGTCTGCTGCACCAGAGCGAGAACTCGTTGGCAAGCGTTTTCCGATAGCTGTGGTAGCCGCGGAGAGGGATTTGGGCCTAAATACGATGATCCAGATAGCCAGTCCATGCCAATAACATCTGGGCTATCGGGAGAAATTGGGCGCTGTGGCGATGTGTGCGTCTTGTTCATCATAGAAGCAACTTCAAGCAATGCCGAGGGGCCATCATATTTATCAATGACCTGATTGTATTCAGCATCCATCGTATCCGGGAATGGCCCAGCGTCAAACCCCAGTGGAAAGTCAAAATGATGAAAGGCATCGTCGAGAGAAGCGACATCAAATAGCCAATTATAATTGTCCGTCGCAGCGAAGGGCAGATTAAAGTCAGTTGCTAGGTATATTAGTAAATTGAATCCGGTAAGAAACGACCATGGGAATAAATACCAGTGTCCATCCCGAAAAAGGAACCCATCTCGTTGAGCCCAATATTGAAGGATCCATCAGCAGCGTCGAACTGTCCTGGAACTGGTTCCACATATGGCTCAAATGGTCCTCCGGGCATCATTGGGGCGAGGAAAGGATCCGAATCATCGATATCTAAGGAGGTTGGATCTGTACCAGAACCCGGTGGTGATAGAGGCGCCTCGTCCAAGAAAGGATCATCATCATCTAGTATTCCCCGGTCGGAGGAACTTGTAGTAGAGATCGTAGAGCGTCCTGCTGACCGCATTTCTCGCTGTGATGGTCGTACAATTATCGTTCCGTCCCCAGCTCTGCGAGTTCTTTTCCGAGTCTTCAATACCCCGAGTCCAGGCCCACCTGCTTCGGCGTCTCGTTTTGTGTGGCGCTCCATGTGTCGAGCTAAATTTCTCAATATCAAAAGTCTTCAAGACATCCTCGGCTCTAACGTACCTAGAAGATCAGGGCGTTGGAAATGAACGGAGCAGCGCTCACAAGTAAACCCATTGCGTGGTTGGTCATGATTAAGAGCATGGCGACGAAGATGTTCGGCGCGGGTGAAGCTTTTGCTACACCCGGGGTAGTCGCAAGCATGATTTTTCATAATTAGTATACAAAAGCGCTTCAGCAAAAAAGATATCTCAGGGTTCGAAGATATTTTTGGGGAGCTTCGCAATAAATGCAGGAGCCGGAGTAAAGACCGACTTCACTGATAAGAATGCGGGGGAACGTATGTTAGGCGACCCTATGATTGGTGCTTTCTTACGAGGATTCTGAACCTAGTGCATCCTGTTTATCGGGTCGTTGCAGCTCAAGCGACCAATAGTGATGATTCAATGATGAGACAAGATTGGAGTGCGGAGTGAAAGTTCAGCTATTACTAATGCCTAGAACCAAATACCAACTGGCATACCATTGTATGAATTGACTAAAGGAAATATCGCCATTCGGGGCTTTCTTCGCCTTCCTTGAACTGACTGGTGTCCAAATGACCCTCCCTTAATCTTAATCCCTGCTCCCGATCTCGTCGTCGATTTTGAATGCGCATCCATAGGCCGAGCCCTGTCACAAAAACGATACACACGGCATTACAACAGCAAGTGGCGACCAGAGTAGGAATATACCTGGCATATAGTTAGCAACTATTTGCCTGAAAGCAAAGTAGAAGATCTCACTTTGGGGCATATTCAGTTCGAAAAGTGGCTGCGCTCAAAATACCCGCTAGGTTACCCAAGCCCACGAAGAACCCTGTATTAGCTGCGCGAGAGTTTTCGTGGACATTGTTGTTGTTGTGCCACGCATGAACCAAAGAGGATGGAATATATGCGCCTGCTGCCATGAGGAAGCAAGCAAAATAAGCTACCCCTTTATTTTCCAGAACATCGATAGCAGCAAGCATGACCATTCCGACCAGGGAGAGGGACAGAGAGAAGACAATATGAAACGTTCGTTCGCGAAAATAATCCGAAGATTTCGCGACGCATAGTAAAACTACTGTACCAACAAGATTAGGTGCTACAGTCCATAGATTGGTCTTTATGACAGAGAATCCGAGGCGTTGAACGATCTAAAGAGATTAGGGAAGCCGAGAACATTTTGATAGGTGCGACTTACTAGTGGGAAGAAGTTCATCGCGGTAGCATAGGCAACTGGATACGTGAACGTAATCATGCACCAAATCGGAAATTTCCAATCGTTCCACGATCGAAAGCAATCTTTGAGATTAAATCCCGTGTCTACCTCTGAAGAGGAGTCACGTAGTAGTCGAGCTCTCGCTGCCTCCTTTTCGCGGTCATTCAAGAACCAGGCAGTATGTGGCGAGTCTGGCAGGATGGCGAATCCTACTAGCCCAGTGAGCAAGGTCATTGAGCCCTCAATAATGAAAAGCCATTGCCAGCCGTGGACAGTAGGACTGTTGATTTGGAATACACCAAACGATATTAGACCACTAAATGCGGAAGCAAGTACGGCAAACGACTGTATGATAGCCAGTCGAAATCCCATCTCCCCACGTGTATAGAATGTCGTTAAATAATATGTTGCCCCGGCAAAGAATCCCGCTTCGAAGACGCCTAGAATGACTCTAATCGCGAGGAGAGACCCGAAGTCTTTAGCTGCACATTGGCATAATGCAAGAATTCCCCATACCACGGACACTTTTAGAGAAACCATTAGTTTTCTTTCCGTTTTGGATTACGGAATGGACCCACTGGTAGAAAGCGTCCATCGCCCAGAATAGCGTTTGATTAATAAATTCCATGGTAGATTGAAAAGACCAAATGGAATATAGAATATCAGGATGATGAGAGAGTAATCGTTTCCTTTGAAGTTCAAGTCATCATCGATGCCGTCCGTTTTTGCATTTGCTAGATTACTCTAATTTTGTAAGTACAGCATCACGGTTGAGCAAGTGACGACGTACCCGGTCCATGCAATCAAAAAAGTACATCTGAAATGCGTCAGTCTCATATAGCAGAAATGGTGGAGCTGCATTACCAAGCACAACAACGGCAGAACCCAGAAATCCACTTTCTTACGATATGTTCTGTCGGCTTCAACGTCTGTATATACAGAGGTTTGCCCTACTCCGGCTTCGTCGTCTGTCAGCTTACTCTCCAACGTCTGTTTCGTTTCCGTGGACATCTTTGGGTAGAATACGATGTTTCTTGGACAGGGGCACAAAATGCACCCATCCGTGGACTGTTTGAATGCTTATAAAGCCCCCTTGCATGGACCTCACAGTGTGTACAACCCGACTCTCTCACCCCATTCATGGATATCTACAGACTTCAAAAATACGATATTTTGTTTGAGACTGGTATTTCTCTAGAGCAATGGCCCCTTTTATTACAGTCTGGATAACAACCCCTGTCGCGCCACAATCTTCCCCGCAGATCGTCTTATCTGAAGACGGGCTGGATTGAATATCACCCCATCTTTGGCGGGACCCCCACCCTCGTTTGCGACGACAACTTCAGATCATTTGATCATGTCGCGCCTGGGCAGCTCTTCGGCATTCTGTCCGATCAGAATTGGAGATGATGGCATTTCTTTTGCAATTCTCGATGATATATTCGGGCGCGATTTCAAACTTGCCCAGGTGAGCAGCTCACGATTCCAATTCACACAAAATAACATCGCCTCCAAACAAACAACATGACTACCGCAGCTGCACCCCCAATCCTGGACTTTTCTCCTTTCTATGGCAATGACAGCGAGGCCAAGGCAAAGCTAGTGGAGGAAGTGCGAAAGTGCTGCCACTACAATGGATTTTTCCAAATTACTGGTCACCGAGTGCCATTGGAGTTGCAGAAACGCGTGATGGAATGTTCCAAGCGCTTCTTCAATCTCCCTCTAGAGGAAAAACTACAAATCAATAAAAGTGAGACTAAATCCACCTTCGGTGATAATAGTGTTGACTTTGCAGATCACAATTCTTTTAACCGCGGCTACGAACTCCTCCGATCACAGATGCTCGAAGCGGGCACCGGCCCCGAACTGAAGGAAGGCCTCTACATTGGAGAGGAGATTCCCGAAGACCACCCATACTTCCTGCAAAAGAAGTTAAACAGTGGCCCGAATCAATGGCCGCAAACTGTTCCCGATAAGGAGGAGTTCCAGAAAACGACCATGGAATACTACCACGCGACGTTTGAACTCGCGAAGGATGTACTCGGTGTCGTGGCCCTCACCCTGGGTGTGGAATCGAGCTTCTTTGAACCACTTACCGAAGGCGCTGTCGCAACTATGCGATATCTGCATTATCCTGCACAGCCCAAAGATGAAGATGAGAAGCTGAACCGTGGAATCGGAGCGCATACAGACTTCGGCTGTGTTACTCTTCTACTGCAGGATGAAATAGATGGTCTGCAGGTCTTGGATGCTCCATCTGGACAATGGCTCGATGTTTGTATCTCATATATCATGATTTCAGTACTTGGACTAACTTCTGAATAATAAAATAGGTTAAACCTACCCCCGGAGCATACGTGATTAATCTCGGTGACCTATTTATGCGCATGGCCAACGACAAATACAAATCAAACACGCACCGTGTCATCAACAAATCTGGCAAAGAGAGATACTCCATTCCATTCTTTTTCAGTGGAAATCCTGACTATCTCTGCGAGTGCCTACCGAATTGCCGCGAGCCGGGCGAATCCGCGAAATACCCCCCGATCACGGTTCAAGACATGGTAACTTCTGCCTACAAGGATAGCTACGGTCGCGCTGAGAAGTACAAGAAGGAGCTCGAAGCGAAGAAATTGGATGTGGGTCCAGCTTTAACTGCGGTTGGCGCATAATATCTACTGGAATGCAAGAGGCTGATGAATGGAATGATGCGGACGCCCTGTTTAACAATTTGCACTTCTTTTAGTCGAGGTCACATTATCTAGTACATTTGTATAACTTGAAACTATCACATAGCTTTGATTTCAAATGCCCTTCCTTCCTCTGTATATTTCAAGCCCCTCCCCCTTCCGAGTCACAAAAGTGTCAACGTCATTGAACTCTCCACTGCTGTAATATTCAAGAGTGGGGGGTTTCGCTGGCGTTAGGTTCATATCAAAGGCAACCCACCTTTGCTATCGGCTAAGGATACTCTAACTGCTCAGCGATTATTGGTTAGTGTCATCCGTAAGCAGAAATCCAAGCCCTAGAGAGGAGTATATGAGACGATGGGAGGATCAGCGAGTAGAGCAGTATTTCGAAGCTCACCATCAGTTTTAACATCATGGACGATATTCGATCAACAGAGAAAGATGCTCAGCTAAATGGCTCCTCTGCGGATGAGGATTCTGGGAAAGTCATGCCTCTTAATGACGGGGAAGTTGCGCAGTTCTATGGCTCTTCGACTACCCAGGCCTACAGACTCAAGTCTGAGCTGGTTGGGCAGTGTATGGAAGAGATTGGGATGGGAAGGTATGTATTTTATATTCATTCTTGACCCGCAAGGTACTAAATATTGAACTTGAAGGTTTCAGTGGAAGCTTTGGGTCGTAACTGGCTTCGGATGGGTAGTTGACAATGTTGGTTCTCGGGACTTCTTGGTTATTCCTAGTGCTAATGATTATATTCTATTTCAGTTCGCATCCCAGGGAATCGGTAGTGTGCAGCCTCCAATCCGGCAAGAATTCTCTGGCATCGTCCAAGTGAGCTATAGTTCTGTTGCGTATTATGTCGGTCTTATCCTGGGTGCAGCATTCTGGGGTACATCCAGTGATCTGATCGGTCGGCGACCTGCTTTTAATTTCACGCTGCTCATTGCGGGAACATTTCTTTGCGCTGCTGCGGGGTCCATGAACTTCATTGCATTCAGTGGTCTTTGGGCCGTTATTGGTACAGCTGCGGGGGGGCAATGTACCTGTGGATTGTATGATTTTCTTGGAATTCGTCCCTGGAAGGTCAGTCCTCTCGATCCGCGAAATGATATGTCCCCCTAACCTATCTAGTCATCAATATCTTCTTACAGCTCTTTCGGCCTGGTGGAATATGAGCCAGCTAGTGGTATCATTGATAGCCTGGGTCTTCCTTGCTAACTTTAGCTGCCCGACCGACGCAACTCCTGAGACTTGTCGCCGTCAAGACAATATGGGATGGTACGTGGAATCCCCGAGATGAATCCTCAAATCTGACTAAGTATCCTGAAGGCGATATACACTTATTGTGCTTGGTGGTCTCGCACTTTGCTTTACCTTCATTCGCCTCTTTATCTTCAAGCTCCCAGAAACCCCAAGATACTTGCTATCCCAAGGAAGAGACGAAGAAGCAGTGGAAGCAGTTAATTACGTCGCCAGACAAAACGGAAAACACGAACCTCTGACGATTGGAATGATGCGCGAAATCGATGCTCGCCTAGGCAATTTATCTGAAAATGGCGACAAAGCAGCGAAACTATCAAAAAAGGAGATACTCGCAGAGACTATGCAAGCTTTTAAAGGCGAACACTTCCGGGCACTTTTCGCAACTCGAAAACTTTCCCAGCAGACTCTCATCATCTGGGCAATCTGGCTCACAGTTGGTAAGTAAAATTGAAGTAGTGGGCTTCGAAAAATTCTAACGAAAATCTATCAGGTATTGCCTATCCACTTTACTTCAATTTCCTTCCCTCATACCTCGCCACCAAGTTTACTCAGGACTATTCCCTCAGTCTAACCTACCGCAACTATTGTATCGTCTCAGCTGTGGGGATTGTGGGACCGCTGTCCGCCGCTGTTGGTGTGAACACAAGGCTCGGTCGCCGATGGATGATGGGAATCTCTGCCGCAGTTACGGGTGTATTTCTGTTCGCCTATGTGGGTGTTAACACCCCTACTTCCAGCTTGGCCTTTTCTTGTGTCACCAGTCTACTAGCAAATTTTGGTAAGTGAAACTCTTCCAATAAAGGCTTTGCCCGAAACTAATACAGAACAGAGTATGCTGTGATGTATGCGTTTACCCCGGAATCATTTCCCGCCCCTCATCGTGGTACTGGTTATGGTACGGCAGCGGCACTTCTTCGATTAGGCGGACTAGTAGCAAGCCTTATCTCATCACAGACTGGCTTCAGTAGTGCTCCGATCTATGTGAGTGCCGCTCTTTGGGTGGTCGTCGGCGGCTTGAGTATTGGACTGCCTTTTGAAACGCATGGACATGGTGCGTTGTAAATAGCTGCATGGCTAAACGTGGACCGGATCATACGAAAACACATCAGACGGTGTTTGAATGGAAATATGTGGTAGCCAAGTATTGATATTTGATATTATGCTTGGCAGCGAGAAAGCGAAAGCAACGGAGACTATGTAGAATCTATTTCATGCCAATGGATTCACCTTGTCGATTGACTCGTGACAAGTAGATACTAGTATCAATAACCTGAAACTACAAATATGTTTCTATTGATACTTTTGAAAAAAAAAATCCCAAAAAATAGGAATGAATCTAGTACCGAGACAACTTGGAGTACTAACCAACCTGTTCCCGAAGTATAACGTAACACGCTTGACATCATATATCGCACCCTTTTGCAACGAATTCCGAGGTTTGAGACCCCATTAAATTAAATAAGTCTTTGAAAGTTATTAAACTATATTGTATTCTCTTATTTTCTCCCACTTTCCTTTCCTTTCATGATGTTTTCACCATTGACAAGTCATCCTGTAATCACGTGACTCGATATTAAGGCCTGAGGCCAGAACGTCGAATGATTGCGTGTCCAATAGGAACCAGCCCCATGCTTCCCCGGCTTCTTCGCTCTCCTGACTGCATCACGTTCCGCAGTGTGTTTATTACCTTGGTTACAACGGCTTGGATAGGAATATTGATATATTGACACACGAGCCGCGACTTCGCTCTCCTCCATCAAACCAGCTCGCAGTAGCTTGTCACAGGGGCACCAACCCTCAATTCATTGGACATGGACCCGCTTCACCCTTCCAAAACATTTCGCGTTGATGATTCTATATCTCTCACACTCAACAAGACATCGCTCAAAATAACGGGTAGGTCTTTCCCGATGTGTCTATTCGATCACAGCGGATATCTGTGAAGCCGAAGTTAACACGGTTGCGATCGCAGATGACAACACTGATAAGGAGAGGACAACCCGATATTGCTGCGGATTGCTTTCGAAAAAAGGTATTCACAAACTCACTCAAATCCAGTTCATTCTGTCATTGCTTCGATCGATATCCCCTCATGGTCCACAGACATATACAGCCCTGTTTATTCACACACTTTCTCTCTCCCGTAGTGCCTGGGCCCAGGAATATAGATTTCTACTCTATCTTGAACGCCTATATCTCTGCAGATGGTCTCACGATAACCTACCTCGACGAAGAAAGCGGTACTTCAGATTCAACCGCACCAATAAACGCGCTGCAATATCCAATCAGTGCAGAGCAAAAAGAGCAAGCCACAGCCTGGACAGAAAATCTCTTGACGCACGCATACGGTCAAGCGCAGCGAAGCAAGAGGCTTAAGGTTCTCGTCAATCCATTCTGTGGCTCGGCATTGGAAAAAGTCCGCAAATTCGCCGCGCCGATATTTGGCGCCGCCCACTGCGAAATTGACGTCGAGGAGACCCGGTACAGGGGCCATGCTGGCGAGATAGCCGAAAAGATTGCCCTCGATTCATATGATGCCATTGTATGTTGCTCCGGAGACGGTCTGCCATATGAGGTATTCAATGGACTGGCAAGACGATCGGATGCTGTCGAGGCATTGTCGAATATGGCCGTAGCCATGATACCTTGCGGCTCGGGAAATGCGATGGCTTGGAACCTCTATGGCACGGATGATCCTTCGCTGGCTGCTCTGGGAATCGTGAAAGGGGTGGAGATGCCGTTGGATCTGGTTTCCATTACGCAGGGAACGCAGCATACGGTTTCATTTCTCTCTCAAGCGCTGGGTGTGCTGGCCGATTGTGATTTGAAAACTGAGCATCTACGGTGGATGGGAGATACTCGTTTCATTTATGGCGTTTTTGCTACTATCGCCAAGAATACAAAGTATTCCTGCCAACTTGCTTTTAAGCCTACACCGAGTGGAGGGGACAAGAAGGAGAAGAAAAGGGGAAAACTGAGAAGAAGGACCCGACGAAATCTCAAAACTTTCCCACCAGTCTTCCTCTCCAATATGGCACCGTCTTGGACGATATCCCCGAGGATTGGGAGATTATGCCCCGAGAGAGACTAGCCAGCTTCTACACTGGCAACATGAAGATTGTCGCCAAGGATACGAATTTCTTCCCTGACGCGCTGCCGAACGACGGCTTCTTGGATATCATGATGATAGACGATACAATTGGATGGGCTGCCTCCCTCGAAGCAATTATAAAGCTTCCGCAGGGCAAATGCAATGCTCTCCGAGATGTCGAAATGAGAAAGGTTTCGGCCTATCGGTTGACGCCCTGGAAACCTGATGGAGATATCAGTGTTGATGGTGAAAGGTATCCATTCGAAGCCTTTCAAGTAGAGGTTCATCAAGGTTTGGGTCGAGTACTCTCGAAATCTGGGGATGAATATCAGGTAGTAGGTTGAGTAGGTAATCGTCCAGTCCTTCTCCAAGGACCTGTGCATCTGCCATGATCTAAAACATAACTATCTTAGAAGATTTAGATGGTGGAATTTCCAGCTTGGAACAACTTGTAAACCAAAAAAAAGGAAAACTTGCTATTTGGACTTTCTTTCGCTTGCCTAATCAAGTGTCAGTGTAAAACATCAGACTTTCTGTGCCGGCCTAAGACCGCCACTTTCCCCCTCTTTAGATCTCCGGCACTGAATGAATGCCCTCACCTGGCGTAGTCCTCTCGGCATTGGGATTTGCCAGAGTGGAACAACCCCCACTCTTGCTGTACTACAATGATGGGGGATACCCTCGATAACATCACTAATGTGACAACTTCCCCTCACTCAATTCCCCTCATATTATCTTTAGATGAGTTGCTCTAATAAAACCAATTATCCGGAGCCCCCCAAAAGTCCCATAATCTAATTCCACCTGGGCTCTCCATTCCACTCTCTCACGACCTAGTAAATTCCCGCACCTCAACCCTCTACAACCTTACATTTTGCCATACAAATCGCGAAAATGGGCAAGAAACGCGTTCTGGTCAGCTATGGTGTCGACATCGACGCAGTTGCCGGTTGGCTTGGCTCATATGGCGGCGAGGATAGTGTCAGCGACATTAGTCGAGGTAAATAAAAGCACTCCAAAGCACAAAACAGCCTTTACCTAGGCATGTTTGCTTCTCGCCCAGATCAACCAGCTAATTTTTGGTTTAATAAAAATACAGGACTATGGGCCGGACACATCGGTACCCCACGCCTACTAAAAATGTTCGAAAAACACAACATCAAAGCAACCTGGTTCATACCAGGCCACTCACTCGAAACATTTCCCGAAGAATGCGCCGCAGTCCGCGACGCAGGTCACGAGATCGGACTTCACGGGTATTCACACGAGAACCCAGCTGCTATGAGCGAGGAACAGCAGCGCGACATACTCGACAAAACCTACAACATGCTGACTGAATTCTGCGGCAAGCCACCGCGCGGCGTCGTCGCGCCGTGGTGGGAGGCTAGCGCCGAGATGGTCGAGCAGTTACTCGCGTATGGAATTGAGTACGATCACTCAATGTCCCATGAGGATTGTCAGATGTACTGGTTACGAACCGGTGACTCGTGGACTAAGATTGACTATAGCCAGAAGGCTGAGACGTGGATGAAGCCACTGGTTCGGGGCCAGATGACGGGGTTGGTGGAGATCCCTGGTAGTTGGTACATTGATGACTTGCCGCCGATGATGTTTATTAAAAATTCGGCGAATAGTCATGGATGGGTGAATCCGCGTGATGTTGAGGATATTTGGAAGGTGAGTTCAAGTTTCAATTCAAGTTGGTTAGGTGGGGGTTGCCATTGTGTCTCGCCTGGACAGTCCTGATTGCAATCTCGTCTCTGCTACACACTTCTTGTATTTTCTTGTAGGCTGATTAGATGGGAACAGGATCACTTTGACTATTTTTATCGCGAGTATGATGAGTTTGTCTTTCCTATGACGATTCACCCGGATGTTTCGGGGAGACCTCATGTGCTCCTTATGCATGAAAGGTGAGACAGACAGAGACAGCCGGCTCGGGCCTTGCCGAGAGAAACACTGGCTGAAACATCATGATATCATTTGCTGACTGACACTGTGTAGGATCATCGAGTACATCAACAAGCATGAGGGTGTCGAGTGGGTGACAATGGAACAAATGTGTGATGAGTTCAAGAAGAAGAATGAGCCTCCCGCGGGGGCTTTAATGCCTGCTCTTAGCAAAAAGCAATAATGGGTGTTCCGAGTGGTGCTTATAGGTCCTGCTAGTATTAATTGCTGCTTGCTATAGTTGTTGCTGAATATAGCTATATAAACTTCATTTTCTGCATGTAATCTTCATCCTGTAGATTCATTCGAGTCCCTCTCCCTGGGTTCTCAGTGAAGTGAGACATCTCATATGATATGGAAATCAGTCATTCTGAATTCTATCCGGGATGAGTCTACATCGAATGTGATGCTCAACAAACGAGAATTTTTACCTATTCCAGCTCTGCTCATGCATTGAGTCTCAGGCGTCCTGCAGAGTTCTGTCGTCAAAAGATACATGCTCAATGAATCATGGAAATGACACATCATCCAAGAAACTTCGAAGCCACATCGAACTCGTTCCTCAGAGCCGGTGCGGTGTAAAAGGTACACTCCCAATACGAGTATCCTTTCGCCAGCCCATCCCGAGCCCAACCATGACTAAAGGGTAAGCATTATCGCGACCCGGGCACAATATGATCTAGAAAATCCAAACTCTCAGGCAGCTACATAGATGGGGCCTAAACTTGGCACTTCTGCGGCATAAGTGCAAGGTACATACAGCAGGACCAACCTTGAACACCCTCAAACACACAAACATGCAGACAGACACGAAGTACATACAATAATAGCATTGATAGGTCTGACGCGGGACTAACCTCACTTATTCCGGTGGTGACAGCATTCACCACTGCTTTCGCCCCACCAAATCACTACTGACGTCTGTTTTACCGCTACTTGCGTATTGTGGGTACAGTGATGCGCTGGGTCCAATCGCGAAGCTGTGCCTGAGAAGTTCGTGGAGAGTCTGTAAGGGACGAGGGGGTCAGTGAGTTGGCGGTGATCCACGTGGTTCGGTACGGGTGGAAGGCTCGGGTTTCTAAGGTTAATTCCTCTGCCGAGGTTGGTGACAAGGTACTTAAGTTCATTGGATACGCATGGATTTTGTGATAGCTCTGTACTTTTTTTTTGCGTGCAAATTCTTGCCTGTTCTGGACTAGTGCGTGTGTTTAGCTTAATGTATTCCTGCCCAAAAGCACTAAGTTAGTATTTCCACCGCGACCCTTCACCGTTCATGAGTCACTTATTGTACTTTGGAAAATCGTACAAGGTATGGAGATCGAGACTTAACACAGGTTTTAGTGATTACTTGTGCAAGATAATACGGTGAATTTCAACATCAATAGATTGCGAAAAGATCTCGATTTCATTCGAGTTTGCACGCAATTAATCACTGTAGAATCAAACTAGTACCCCGTGAAAGCTTTTCAGCATCATTTATAAATTAAGCTTGAGCACTCAACATGGTCCCCAGTGGTCACATTCGCCTGCAATTCTTCAAATTCCATACCATCACCTAACTCTATCAATTTCTGTTGCGCAATTTTTGCGTGGCTTCACGCAAAAGTTCAGCAAGGGCAAATTCTCCCCATCTCTATCAACGTAACAGAGCGCTGTCAAGCCAACTTCATCTTTCGCATCAACGTCCGCCTCCCATTCAATTAGTATTGCCGCCATGTAATGATTGTCATTTTTAGAAGCCACAATCAGTGGTGTGGCTCCTGAAATATCCCTCTCGTCAACCGCTGCGCCCCGACGAAGAAGCAGCGCGGCTGTAAACGGACGCCCCATTTTGACGGCATAGTGCAATGAGATATCGGATGGCAGGAACACAGAGTCAAGTATCGCGTTGGTAATTAATTGATCTTCCAAATAAGCAGCACATTCCAGCATCTTCTCCCGAGCATCGCTACCACTTTCAACGATTGAGCGGGTCTCAACTACCACTTTGATCATCGGCATATCTCCACCCTCAATGGCGGTCTTCATTATTTCTTTCATCCCTTTTCATCAAGGGTAGCACCCCGACCAATCAACATTTTGAAAAAAGAATCAAGTCGTGCGCTAACGGATAGGTATACTATGTCCGGGTTCTTCTCTCTCTTTAAAAGTCTCTCAACGTCGGATCGAGTTAACAAAAGCCATGCATCTTTGATGCCCTCCTTTTTGCTGATCTGACGAATTGCGGAATGTAGTTCCGCCGTATAGGCCCCCGGGATAACGTTCGTCAACCTCTCGTCTGGATAAAAATCCAATTCTGGATCAAAGGTATCTGTTTCCTCAAACATGGGTTTTTGTAGACCTCTCATGCGACCACTTATTATCGGGGCTGATGAGGCTGAAATGTCGGGTTCTGATGGTTCGTGCTGTATGATGTACTTCGTGCCATGGCTTTATTTAGACCAAAAAAGGAAAGGAAAGGACAGTATCCCGAGGGGAAGACACGTCAGCGGGCAGCACTTCAGGGCGCTGGAAGCGCCTTCCAACGAAAGACTGATACGTTAAACACATTTACGGCGATCGGGCCAAAAGTACTACTGTAAGGCCTTCAGCCGTGATCTTGAATGACTGGGCGCTTCATTCACAAGACCATCATGATGTGTATCAAGTGGCTTTCAAGGGAAATTTCAAGTCCCCAAGCCTTGAAACATCCATTCCTAGACTGAGAATTCGTATGCAGGAGCTTGGCAGTTATCTTGGCTGCGAATTTCTAGGTCGTAAGGATGATTGAGGTGACTCTTTCCACTCCGAGTCCTAATTATTTGCATGTTTGCATGAATGCACCACGTTTCGTAGTTCTGAGCGTCTGGCAAATACTATAGCCCATCTGTCAGCGAAGCCAAGGGTGGAAATAGTAGGCTGGAGGTCTGTTTTGGACTAATGCCACTGTCGGTGGCTTAGCTTCAAGTTGATGTATGCATGCCCAAGCACCGCGGCCCTTCTCCGAGTCCGTTGAAGTTGATGAGTCGGTTTGCACTTTATACTAGTACCGGTACCTAGCGACCTCGAGAATTACAGATTCTAGTATTTCTAATGGAAGGATGAGAAAACAATGAATATCTAATCCATACAGTAATGGTATGAGTATGAGTAGTTTGAATACTAGTAATGCAAGTAATATATACAACGACAGGAACTCCGCTCCGCTCAATCGGAACGGGAACAAATTAATCAATATGAGGCTCAGCTTCATCCACCAGCTGCAGCTATGTTCTATGGGATACATGGATGGATTGGTGGGGGTGGGTATATTGTAGAAAAAAGGGAATGGACGGACAATAGTCCAGCAAAATAGAAAATTGGAATGAGAGTGAAACCAATGGTGGGAAATGAAGGAAAGTGAATGGAAAATGAAGATGAAATATAAAGGGTAAATGTAAAAAAGACTCGTGACATCTTAAGGAAAGGCATGATCGGGCGCGAGTAAGTAGTCGCTATATGTGAAACCCGAATCGTAAGTCGTGAGTCGTATCATGAGGTATTCATTAATCGTAAGTTGGCGTTTTCTTGTTCTTTTTGTTTTCGGTTCTTCATTCTTGGGTTGTTTTTCGCGCCGTGTCTATGGTCATTATTATAGTCGTTGAAATGTGGGCTGGGTATTGATATAAGGCGAAAGAGAGAAAAATGGAGAAAAGGAGATCCCATCGAATCGATAATCGATGCTAGGCATCAAGATCAAGTCCTTGAAACAAGGTCCTGGAAAAAGCGAAAGAAGTTCTTCTTAATGGACTTGGGTCCACAAGGACCCAATCCACCCTCTCCAGCCGGCGCAACAGTCATCGGACCCACGATATCCTCGTCGCCCATTTCGGGAAACTTGTCGTTATCGTGGAGTCGGGGATGCGGACTGATTCAGCAGGGCTGGGATTTTGGGTCAGAGTGAGCGCGACGCGGTCTTCGGCGCCGAGATCGGCGAGGAGGGCCTCGTGCTCGGATTTCCAGGCCAAGTTGATGGAATCCCATTTCGAGATGGTGAGTTTGTAGATATTTGATGTGACACCGTAATGTTCGCCCGTGCGAACGAGGTGCTTTGCGAAATTGCAGCGGGCCATGTCCCAATCTGCGCGTAGTTGGTGGAAAGATTCAATGTCGCGGGTCTCCGGGACGTACGGTTCCGGGACGATGGTGAAATTCGCGTGGCCTAGTTTGTTGGCCCATTCATCCGATGGCGAGGAAAGGGTGAAAGGGGCCGGGCTGGCGTCGCCGGAGACAGTGCGCAATGTGCTGGCGCGTGGCCGGCTGATTGAGGCAACGGACGGTTTCGAGGAAAGTGGGGGTGATGGGACTCCCATTCCTGCGATCCTGAAGTTGGAGGTCACGCTGCAACGAAGGCTGCAGTCGCTCACGTCTGCGACGGAGGGGGATTGGAGCGGGGATTGCACGCGCGAGGCGACAATACTGGTAGGGTCATCGCCCATAAATGGGGGAAGCAGTGGAGTCGTGGCTTGCTGCGTGTCGTTGTCGTCTTCGCTAAGACCATTGCTATTGGCGTGGACGATTTCGATTGGTCGAGCGCCTGATTCGCTAAGGCGCTCCTCGAAGATTGTCCGCGCAGGTGAAGGTGGGATGGAGTCGAGTCGGCTGATGGGACTGACGACTGGGCTGGCAAAGGCGGATGAAGCAGCTGAGTTGGCGCGCGAGCGGAGATCGTCCGGGTAAGCATCGCGCTCTGGGCTTCCGGAGGCTCGCTTGGATTTCCAACGGGTCGACATGGTCGAAATGTGCGAGCCGATGCGCGAGACACCCTTCATCGATGGAGTATCCGAGGTACGCTTCTCTCGCAACTGCAGGTCCATTCCCACACCACAATCGGTAAGATCATAGCTGTCCTGGGGATCCATAGGGAAATAGGTTTCGTCGGCGGGGGCTGACATGTTGCAGTCAAAGTGCTCTAGATGGGGAGTGGGGTTAGTTGATTGAGTCATATAGGACCGAGGTAGGTGGGGAGGGACATACGGAAATAGTGATCTTCCAGCGAGTCGCGCGAGCACTCTTCCTCTTTAACACCAGTAAGGTGACTCCGACTCGGGCTGTCCATAGAGTTTCCCAGGCCGGTGGAGGATACGAGAGAGGAAACGGAGCTGGAGACGCGGTTGTGGCCGTGGCCGGCGGCGGAGAAGAGGGAGATAGCGGGCGAGGCGGGCGCGGAGGTATTAAGGCTTAATGGAGAAAGCGGGCTTGTGAGCATTGGAGAGTCAGGCGCGTCGAGTGAGTCTCGCGGGTCGGTATGGATTGGTTTACGCATGGCGCAAGGAGCGAGGCCGCAGGGCGTCGCGGGGATTGGGGATGGAGAAAAGGCGTCGTGGCGGCTAGCATGAAGGAGCAGGCAGCGGGACTCTTATCAAATCTTGAGTCACCACCAGGTGGCGGTGTGATGGGATGGCAAAGAAAAGAAAAGAAGCAAGGCCAGCGCACGAATGGGTGGACCAAACACAGACTCAGGCTGGGACGAGGTCGACACGCTGGCTGGGCAGAAAAGAGCCGTTCGTGCGCAATCGGAAAACGGGCCGATGCCTAACAGGGGATCCCCGTTGTGCGACGCGGGGTGATGGTGATGATGGCGGTGGGAGGTGGGAGGTGGGAGGTGGGAGTTGGGAGGTGGGAGTTGGTGAGAGGTGAGGGGGAAGAAGGAAGGTTAAGATCAAAGGTCTCAGTGCTCGAGAGTACCAGAGAACAACCAAAGTGTGTCAAAGCCCCAAAGAACAGAAAGAAAGGCTAAAGCGTTAGTGGATTCTTTTTGGTTTGCAAAAAATTGGGACTCCGTTGGGTTCCGGTGGTTGACAGGGTGGGGTTCCATGGTTGTTTAGGATGGGCTAGCCATATATGGGCTAGTGGTTACCATATCCAGTCTAGCGCGTCAGCAGAGGCAAAAAGAGAACAGTCTGGAAGACTTCCCTTCTCTCAACGGCTACACAATGTGATACTTGGTGGTGGTGGTGGTGGTGATAGTATACCATTTGGTATAGACCTCTTTCATCCTTTCATCCTTTCACACTTTAATCCTCTCACTCTTTCATCTTTCATTCTTTCATCTCATTCAACTATACAGTAGATACCTCAGCGATCGGCAGGGTCTAGACTGCAGTGGACACATGCTCTCTTAGGAATGATGTCGCCGCTCCACCAACCCACTACGACGGGTTTTACTAGCCCATCCTAGCACTAGCCCAGCAATCCGATTGTCGATGCATCGTCGGTCCGAATCGTCTTCCATATCCTCCCCTCTACTCCTCTTGACAGGTCGCACGGCAGCACAACACTCGGTGAGAACCTTAGAGGGAATCGCCCGGTCGCACCGCACTCTCAGTCTCCGACTGGATCGAACCTGTGAACTTGTCTCAGCTAGACAGCAGTGAGCACTGTGTACTGTGTACAGTGTACTAAAAAAGGACAAACTACCATCGCCTACCATTTAGATTGGTGGACCGTACCAATTGTACATACTTTGCCAACCACGGAGCATACGAGTAGGAGCACAGTATGAATACTGCCTCTGTTATTCATTCTGCACCTACGTCAGATCCACATGGTTGGGGACTCGGGGAGCACACCAGGACACCCATTTCAGATCTCTTCATTGGCCGACCCGGGTGAGGCAAAGGGGCTGCCGAGTTGTTCCCTGGTTATCGCCGCCATCCTACAAATTTTTGTGGTTTCGGCTGTTGACCGCGGCGGGTGCCGGCTATGATTCGCTTGGCTAATAGTAACTGCTTTTTAACCACAGCCATGGGGGAGATTGACATTGACACTGACACTGACAGTCATTTCTCTGGTTCTGGTGGCTCTGGCCTCGTCAGCTGAATTATTTTTATATTTTCTTCGATGAGATCACTCGACCCTGCCGATCAAAAAACCAAAGTTGGACTCGGCTCACACGATCAAAACCTGACCTGACCGAACTGAACAGATGGAAGATCGCTTCCTCGGCCAATCACAGCCTCTCCGCGATCGGCAACCCATCGACCCCAATTCAGTAGGCCGTAAGAACTAACAGACCTTTAACACCGATCGTGATTATTATTAATACTATGTATTATTATTCATTTTTTCACCACCACCACCACCACCACCACCACCACCATAATAATATTCACATTATACATCAAAATTCATCACATTATCATTATTATCAATATTATCACTTCCCATGATTCAATAGTCATGCCCGTACATCTACATGCGCATATACATGCAAGACAAGATCTCGCTCACCTCAGATATTGCCCGACCGGATCAAAATCCGTTCTCTTCATCCGAGCTAGTACGAGTACGTACTATGTAGTATGTACATACTGCCTACCAAATGAGATCCGTACTCGAGATGTAACCCCCACTCTTCGCCGGTTGGACAACATGTATACATCATGGCATGGCATGGCCAGGCATGGCCAGGCCATAACATGGAAGAAGCATTGTATTCAATATCACATCGAGCTAGATTACCCCTCGCCAAGCTGGCCTCATTTCATTTCGGCTCGCGTCGAATTGCCTTGCGGGTGGATGGATGGATGGATGGCGTTGGGGGGGAAATTACCAATTGCACCATCGTCTCGAGGGGCTCAGACTCAGAGTCTTTACCCGGCTTGTTGGGAAATACAGTACTAACTAGTAGTATGCATGCATGATGGATTCAACCACCTCGTGAGATTTTAGTCGAGCCGCTCAAAATCAACTTCACCGAGTTGTTCACTTCAAAATATTTTTGAACTTGATCTTGCATAATACTATACCTACTAGAGTTAGATTAACCCTGGTGTCGTATTCAACGGTATTCCAGCATAGTTGTGATTATACGAATGACAACAGGCATTGTATTCTGTTGTATGGGACTTTCTATTATATCAATCAGTGCTTGCAACTCGTAGGAGGCAGATTGATTTTGTCTGACTCGATGAATAGGCATAGAACTCCTGATCTTTCTCCACTTTGTTAATAGAATGGTCATTGACTATAACTCTAGTCCTCCGGAGTTTATCTAGCAAGCTATCTTGGCATTACGGAAGTGCTGTGTTATTTTAATATCTTCAGACCACCATATTCTAAATCACAAACTTTGTGACAATGACACCAACGCATCATTTTAGCCCAAGTACATCAACACCTAGAAACCAAAACAAATGCCAGAAATCCACTTCCTCAAACAATCCACGCAGCCAACATTCATCGTTTAAGCAGTTCCATGGTAAACAGCCTCGATGTTATTACCAACAGGATCCAGCAGGAATGCACCATAATAGTTAGAATGGTACACCTCTCGCACTCCAGGTGGCCCATTATCCTCAGCCCCAGCCTTAATACCTTCCGCGTAAAAGGCATCGACAGTCGCACGATCTTTCGAATATTCAGCCTGAGGTTAGAAAAGGTGTTCTCTAAGTTCAAGTAAATATCATGATGGCTTACCATTTGAGGCAAAAGCGATATGGGATGGATATTCATTCGGAGTCTTGATTCCGCAGAGCCACAAGTCGGGGCGCTTGTGGTCTTTTTGATCTTCACGCGGCGCTCCTAGACCGACGACGGTTTCACCGAATTGGTGCCAGATGGTATATCCGAGTGGCGCAAGTGTTGCGAGGTAGAAGTCTAGACATTCTTTGAATTTATCCTCGGGGACGTGTAAAGATATGTGGTCTATCGCCATGGTTTATGAAGAAGGGAAAAGGGTAATAATAAAAAGAGGAGGGGAGTTGGGAATGGACAGTGTATAGGCACTGCCAGTGTATATCGTCAAGCTGGAGCGAAATATTATTCCTTGTACTGGACAGGGGGTACTATTTCTTTTTTTATGTCCCCCATCCCATACTAGTAGTATATACAAAGATCCGAGTCTCAAAGAAAATACTACGGAGATCGTATTCGAAGGTTAATACTCTCTATCCGAGTATTCAATTATGTAACAAACCCTATGTTCTACCCGGAATAACCACAATAAGTATAAGATCAACCTGGCAACGGGTCCAAAATCAACATGTTGCCTAACCAAGCCGTGGCTGCCTACGCTGCCTAGACTACCTACGACTTTCTTTAAGATAAACTCGTATTTCTCAATGCCACACAGCACGTGGAATTCGGCAGCTCTACTGACACCGAGTAGAATTCGGCAGGTCGGTACTCCTAATTGGCTTCAGTTTATCTTCTGCCATTCTGGTCATATTTAGTGCGCATGGCAGGCCTTGCATTCTTCACGGCGTTTGGCTCTGAGTCTGAGTGAATGCTGGAGGTGAGTCCGACCGTAGTTTATCGCATGGATGCTGCTGAGTAACTGTTCATGTCCATTTATTTTTCACCATTCTAGCTATCTTTAGTGCACATGGCCTTGGGTACTTCATAGCCTACTACTCCGAGTGAGTAAACTTGAAGGCTTTAGGTGGGTTGGACCTGCTGGGTCTACAGCAGGCCATGACATGTGTATTCATTCTGCTTGAAGAACCTTTTGTCACTATCCAAATCGTTCTTCACGATTAAGAACTCTTTTCAATGCCACCTCGCCGTAGGAGGTCAATTGGATTGAATAAGATACTCGAATTATTTCCCAGGCCAGCAGTATACTATCATCCTCGCCAGTGACAGCATCCATTGTTCAACTGAAATGCCGAACATTTTGCACCCATGATCTTAATGGCAGAAAACTTCGTTTATATTCTATTTTAGAAAATAAATGCAGCCTTATTTCTACCTATTTCATCCTTCATGCCATTCCTTAGATCCTCCCTCTGCATCCTCGGTTCCCCCCCACTTTCCCCACTCGGCTTGATTGTCACCGACAGGGCGTGCGGGGGCCCAAAAAGATATCCATCACCGAGAAATAATGAGCTCTCTCACACGATAACCAACACCCCCAGACCTCCAGAAACTCAATTAGATCCAAGGTAGCTCCCTGAGATAAATGCTCTTATCGGCTATCCGCGGGATTTCACGATCGACCTCCCACACCATAAATTCAAGTTTTTCAAAGAGAACAAATCCTCCAAGAACAACCCCTTACCTCGCGCTGAATTCATTTAATCGATTCAATTCCGAGGCCCTTCAAACTCACCCTCCAACCCCCAATTCCACCGCCCAACAACAAAAATGGCCTCTAACTCGACCACAAACCACCACATCGTCGCAATAGAAGCAATCCACTGCCCAATCCCAGACTTCACCCTACAAACCCCGCACAAAAAATCCGTCCACAACTGGACATACCCGCACGAACTCGAATCGCGCGTCAAAGACGCAACAATAATAATAACAACAACAACACGCCTGAACGCGGACATCCTGCACCCATCCAAAACGCCACTATTACGCCTAATCGTGATCTTAGCATCAGGCACAGACTGTGTCGACCTAGCAGCTGCACGCGCGCGCGGAATCCCCGTGTGCAATTGCCCCAGCACGAATATCGATAGTGTTAGTGAGCATGCTATTGGTCTTTACTTTGCGCTTAGGAGGAAACTTGTTCATTTGAGTGGTGTTGTGCGTGATGTGCCGGCTGACGAGGTCGGGGGTGATACGGAGTGGAAGAGTAAAGGTTCATTGAAAGGACGGATGAAGATGGCGGATGGTGGCGCACCGTTACTGTGCTCTCAGGAGACGATTGGTATTGTGGGCTTTGGGGCCTTGGGGTCGAGGATTAGTGCTCTTGCGCGTGGATTGGGGATGAATGTTCTTATTGCTGAGAGGAGGGGTGTTACGCAAGCGCGGGATGATCGGGTTTTGTTTGAGGATGCTTTGAAGAGATCGACTGTTTTGGTTCTTTGTTTGCCGCGGACGCCGGAGACGGAGAATATGATTTCGACGAATGAGTTTAGAATGATGTCGAAGCAGGCTGTGTTGATTAATGTTGCGAGGGGTGGGATTGTGGATGAAAAGGCTTTGGTTGAGGCTTTGAGGGATGGCGAGATTTCCGGGGCTGGTTTGGATGTTTTTGCTAATGAGCCGATTGGGAGGGGGGATTCGCCGTTGCTGGAGGGTGAGGCTGATGGGTTGAATCTTGTGCTTAGTCCTCATCTTGCTTGGTTTGCGGAGAGGACGTTGGAGAATCTTCAGACTGGGGTTAAGAAGACGGTTGAGCAGTGGTGTGTTGGGAATACGATTAATAGAGTTGCCTGATATGCCTGATATATTAGAATGTGAGGGTTGTCGGATGGATATGGGTTAGAAAGGGTTATTTGGAAAGCATGTCAAATATCTCATCGTTATAGATGTCACTGGCGGGGGGCAGGGGTGACAGACCGGCGAAGACCAGGTCTCCTAGATTTTATAGATCGAGAATTGAGAAATTTCCGAATATATTTCCGTTTTTTTTCGCATGCTATTGACCCTGGGTCTATTAAGTTCATAGGCATGGCTTGAACCCATGCGTTCTAGTCCACATCTAGAGGTACTGGTTCATCCTGCACACAGAAAACCGTCCACTAGTCACTGGCATAAGTCAGCTACAATGGTAGACTTTATACAACCGACGGGGCCCCTGACCTAACAGCTAGATTCATGGTCTAGTACTATTTAACTCCTGCGAACGAAGTTCAATTATCAAGCTTTTTGGCTGAGCCGTTGCTCAGGAGGCTCAATGCTGACGTTCCATGAACGCCGGGGTAAGCTGATGTGAAGATCACCATCTCAGACATAACAAGCCCAGCCATCGGCACCTTTTTTAGATAGCCTATGTCATTTAAATGTTTGTTTCTGCTAGTGTCTTCTGGGCCGTTATGAGCGTTAGAAGGTCCAAGCCTTCTCTCGGTCGAAAAACACCCAAATGGTAAAAATCCTTCAGTCTTGAAGCCACTTTATCGCAAACAGATGGCCGCGATTCAGCATGAAGCCCCAGAATGTCGCAGCTCTTTGCGAAGACTCTTTCACTTGGGCCATCTAACACCGCGATGACAAGTTCCAAGACCCTCGTTGTTGTCCCTCGTTGTTGTCCCTCGTTGTTGTCAATATTTTCCCCAATGCCTCAATAGCTTGCACTTTAGTATGGATCGAAGAGTTTGAAAGATCGTTGATTAGGATACTGAAAACCGATTCTAGAAGGTCCGGTTGGCCTTGACAAGACTGAGAATGGGTGCGAAAGAAGAGAAGGTGCGGTGTTTTCTAAAACAAACAGTAGTAAATTTCTACCATTAATATCTGAGGCTGTCTATTGTTGAAACGAGATACATTAGACACTCCAGATCGGCCTATATTATCCTTCTTCCTTTGTCTAGATCATCATCTCACTCTCACACACACTTTCATCATCATATCTCTCCTCTCCCGTCATCACACAGCTTTAAATGATGCGTGTCTCCAAATCGTCAATCATAAGCTCTTCAGCATGATCAAATCTCTGTGAATATCCGAGCCTATCTCGAAATCATGTTCACCCACGGTTTGATACCCCCACCGTTCATATGCACGAATTGCGCCTGTATTCTGCTCCCAGACACCGAGCCACAAATTGGTGAATCCTTGCTCCTGCGCGAGACTCTCAAGGCTGTTTGCCAATAAGCTGCCAACACCCTTTCCCTGCACCGAATTATGGACGTATATTCGTTGCAATTCGGCTTTTTGGTTCACATGGCCAAGACAGGGATCATCACTTCCCCGGGTCAAGTAGCCGAAGCCAACAACTTGGCCGTTCTGATCCGCTGAGACGAGAAGCGTTCTAGACGGATCATTCACGTCCTTCAGAATTGCTTCAATTGAGTATTCATTCTTCAGATATGTCGCAAGTGACTGTGGCTCCACTGCATGGCCAAAACTGATGGTGAAAACATGAACGCCTATCTCGGCGATCGTGGCGGCGTCAGATTCCAGCGCCAAGCGCACGGTGAAAGGCGGTTGAGGAGAGGCCATGATTGTAGAGAGTGGTTTGTGTGAGAATTCGGGAAGCTATCAAGCGAGAAGAATAGCAGAAATTAGGAGGTCTAGTCCAGTTTTTGTTGAATGGTTCGCGAGAGTCTTTAAGAACAAAAGGGATCGGCTGGTGGTTTCCTATAGTGGTATAGCCCTGCGCCCTTCAAAGACACCCACTGAGAGGGTAGTAACCGCTGGCGCCCAAAGCTTGATTTGCAAGTCCCAGCGAAAGCCTGATGGTGCTTTAAATGCGAGTATATTTAAACGGTCGGAGGTTAGGAAAATTGGTATATCCAAGCTTTTATTCAATATTAATGGCTGCTAGTAGGTCAGGAAATGGCACATACAAGAACACGTCGTAGCGGAAAATCGGTCTCGGTTAGCACAGTCGTCCCCCTCCAAATATTTGTATATCTAAATCGTTTAGAACGTCCCCGCCACCGGAGGCTAAGGTCGAATTATTTTCTAGTTATACCAAGTTCATGTCAACAAAAATGCTGAGATCTATACCGCGCCACATTGAGTTATTCGGCACCCAAAGTTCATCCGAGTCCTCCTTTACAGCATTCTTGCGTTCAATTTCATGCCCCGTCACCAAGGCCCAAGAGTCAATTTCTCTGATAGCAACCGGGGGGGGTCTGCGCGAAATTTTTATCTTCAACAGTCGGGAAATTCCCATCGCCTCTGTGGCGTCCATCACGATCCAAATACTCAGAGACACCACCTTGATGAGAACGAGAGCTTTCGGGGGATCCTTCAGCTGGCTGCTGGTGCTGCAGAATCCTTTCGGAGGTCCCCAATACACCATTTGTAAATTCTTTGTCTTCAGAGGAACTGGTATTGGAGGCCTGGATATTGGGTTCGGGATTTTTTGGGATATCAGGCGCCAGAGGCTGGCCCAGGGTGTCACTTTCTTCCTCTTTATTGACTCGCGTGTATAATTTCCCACGACCTCCCGTGAGCCACGAACTTTGCCTTCCAAGCATTTTGACGTATCAGTATCGTTCCTAAAAAAATGAGAATATGTGAGTTTGACGGACACTCACTTGGGAGAAGAATTTGTGTTCTGTCTCTTGCGATCAACAACTTGAAAAATGCAAGCAACATTATCCTCTTGGCAGCGATAACACGGATATATACCACTGCACTGAAAGAGAATTAGTGCATTGCAACATGCGTGGGTCCGTTAGTTGCGTACTTTGCATTTTCTAGACCGACACCGATCGCAAGCTTTGCGAGATCTTTTTAGGATTCTTTGACGAGACTGGAAAGTATATCGGGCCATGTCCCTTGACCGGTGAGTTATCATTGTAGAAGTTGTATGAGAAAGAGGAAAAAATTTCAGACTGATCACTATTCACCACTAGCAACCTTCTAGTTTCTAGTCTATCGATGAGGCCCATTTTCAAGAGATAGATTCCATTAGTATCTAAAATAGTGGGTAGTAAAAGACGGGCCAAATGTTGTCCCGAAATCAATTCAAATTTGCGATTGATTGAGGAAAGCCAATCAATAACCTCTATTGTGTCAAGAGACCCCGAGATTCACCGATTCCTACTGAGATCCGAACCGAGGCTTCCCCCATCTGGTCGGTGATTTCTCATCTTAAATTCGTAGTGGCGACACCAACTACGATTAACATCAAAAAATCTTGAAAATTTTGCATCCGAGATCTTTAATTTTGAAATCCCCTCTATATTTTCAAATATCTAGGTTTGGTGTATACGATTTCCAGTTTCTGGATATAATTCTATACAAATAAGGTACTGCACTACTGTTTCAATTCGGTTTAAGGAATAGGTAGTAATCTATATCATCTCTACAAAAGTTAGGTTGGGAACTTGAATGAATTACAATTTTCAACAATTTATTCAAGTAGCTTATTCAGCCAAGTTTGAATACTTCAGACATTTTCTCTTGTCCATGAGTTTGTAGATTTGGCGATATCTAAAGCTTGCTTCAAATGAAATCAATGAAGAGCTGCCCATGCCTGGAGTACGCCGGCAAATGCCGTGAGAAATCCACTGGCCTTTACTCCTCTGCGAATATACCAAGCAGAGCTCGCCCAGGAAATGAGAACGAGCAGAGCAGCCATGGAACGTTGAAGTGGCTCGTCCAAAGATTTTGGATTTTGCGCCCAGCTGAGGTTTAGCAAAGCTAAGAGTATATTTGTTAGAATGAAGCATAAATATAACTTGAATACTGTTTCACCAAATGGCAAGACATACCAGTCAAAATCAAAAACCCGCTTCCTTGGTACCATCCGACAGTGCTGCGTGTGTATGCGATGTTTGGCAGTTCCTGGAATGCGCGGAGGTTTCGAAATTCTTTCGCGGCAGCCTGGAGAAATCAAGTCAGACTTAACCTTCTCACAATATTTCTTCTTCAATGGCATTCATTTCAAGAGTCAAGACTGACCGCATGCGAGAAAGCAACAGCCAAGGAGCCATATCCGGCAACTTTAAGGAGAGTAGGGTCAGGCATTTTGACTCTGAACAAAAGAAACAGATTTTTAACTGGCTTTCAATCTTGAACCTAGTAGATCTGAATGATAAATGTGAGGACCATCAGGGGAATCATAACAGGTGAGTAAGGCCCAGCCCCCCAGCCCCAAAACATCCCGAGTCAATTGCAACCTCGGCATGTGTTTTGCTTACTAACTGACATAATGTTGGTCCATACTGGCGAAACTTTGGTCCATACGGGCAGGTCATGTTTGCGACAACAGAAAAATAACGCATTCTCAACAAGCGGGAGAACGGGCAGATAATCGGTCCGACTCGCTGCGGTGTGTATCATGGCATTTAATCGCCACTGAGATAGATAATCCAAATTCCATATGACGGGCTTGGCAGCTCGCAAGTTTAAAGTTTTTGTGTCACAGGAATGGCAATGAGGTAACCCAAATAGGATGAGTGGTTCGATCCCTACTGAAATTGCCTCTTAGCCGATATTCTATCCGTCTGGGGAAAAAAGATCAATTCTATTTGTATGCAATAATATCTTCGACCACTTCTTCCCATGTCCCACCTGGGCCGAAAGTGGGGGCACATTCATTTGACCCACGCAGATGCCCGGGTTTGCGATTGAACCGAATGCCGTCCGTCGGATTTGGAGCTTCAATTAGCCAAAATAAATGTTGGTAGTACAGATTTATTAAATTATTTTTGATATACAAAATCTCTAGTGGCAATTGACAACCCGGCCATTCATATCCTCGCAACTAATAACTCATTCGGCAAACCATAAATTTACCAAACGCATTTATACAAATATCCCTCCTCCTCCTCATCATATCCATTGGACGCTTGGGCAATCAACTCCAACAATGGCAGATAACGAAATATCCCTTGTAACGGGCGCGAGCGGCTTTATCGCCAGCCATGTCGTTCAACAGCTTCTCGAAAAGGGCAACGATGTCCACGCCACGGTCCGCAGCACCAAAAATCAAAAAAAGATCAAGCATCTCCTCGATATGCAAAACCGATGGCCCGGCAAGCTTACCTTGTTCGAAGCGGATTTGCTTGTGGCCGGCTCATTTGAAGCTTCCATGAAGGGTTGTTCAGTTGTGTATCACATTGCCTCGCCCTTCCCTATCGAAACCAGAATTCGCGATGGCCAAAAGGAAGTCGTCGAGCCGGCCCTTAAGGGAACACAGCACGTCCTGGACGCTGTTCAGAAATGCGAGACAGTCAAGCTTGTCGTCTTGACCTCGTCTGTGGTAGCGATCTTTGGCGACAATGCCGACGTGTTGGAAATGAAGAACAAAACTCTCTCCACTGAGTACTTCAATACCACCAGCTCGGTAACTCATAACGCCTACTCATATTCCAAAGTTGTCGCTGAGAAAGAGGCTTGGAAGTTACACGATGCGCAGCCGTCCCCTAAACGTTGGAAGTTAGTGACGATTAACCCCGGTCTTGTCCTGGGGCCGTCTTTATCACCAACGTCCGAATCCGGCAGTCTATCTTTACTTGATCAGCTCTTGCGTGGTCAGCTCTTTTTGGGAGTACCAGATATGTGGTTCTCAATCGTTGATGTGCGAGAAGTCGCAACCGCCCATCTTCGTGCTGCTGAAAATCCGGACTCTCACGGTCGCTTCATTCTGGCAGACAACACGACACATGGTTTTGTTGAATTTGCCCGTATTCTCAGATCAATCACTCAATCTTCTCGAATTCCAAGAAATAAAATCCCGAATTCTGTGGTGCGCATGTCTGGTCCGCTTCTCGGCTTGAGTCAAAAATGGCTAAAGCTGAACCTTGGCATCCCATTTGATATCGACAATCGTCCCAGTCTGGATCAATTAAGCATCGTTTACAGGCCTCTGGAAGAAACATTGGCAGATCATTATTCGTCGTGGAAAAAAGCTCAGGGATAACTATACTGACATTGACTACGGCGCTCTGCGCTTATCGAGCGCCGTACATTGACGCTAGACCTTCGCACAACTTAAATCCAATGGAATATCTAATTCGCAATATCTAAGATATTAGAAACCTTTGCCATGCAGGTTCGATAAATTCAAAGATTAAATTACCTAAAATTACAAACTATTTCACCATTTCCAATGTCAAAATAAAACATCCCAAACATTCAATATTACAATTGCTTGCTTGCTGCCATCCATCCATCCATCCACTCAAAACACAATAACAGACTTCCCAACCCCACCCTTCCCATCAAAAACAACCTGACAAGCCTCCCGAACCGCATTAATATCCTTAGCATCCGCCCTCGTCCCAACAACAGTCTTCAACTTCCCCTCCTCCACCCACCCCCGAATCAAATCCAGATCACTCGCATTGGGTTCCAGAAAGATAGATGCGTACTTAACCCCATACCTAGACGCACGCATCACTCGAATCCGATCCATGACATTCAAAGCAATACGAATGGGGAAGGGAACCGTAGCTTTGTCCGCCTTATCTGGTGATCGGCGCATAACGCTTGAATTTTGCAGAACGTCTCCTGAGGTTAGAATTGATACTGTGATTATGGCACCCTTTGGTCGCATTAAGGATAGATACTCCATTGCGCTGCCGGTAGTGTCGAAGATGAAGTCGATCGATTGTTTAGGGATGACCTCTTTGGGATCTGATTTTCTGTAGTCGATGACTGCAATGGGGAATATGTGAGTTTTCTGGAAAGTCCACCCGGGGTAGGTATCGAGTTTGTCTGGGTACTTACTTTCGTCGACAACACCCTCCCCTAAAAGTTCTTTCACCTTGGGGACTTTGGCCGTGGAGACGGTCGTAATTACCTTGCCGGCTTTGAAAATATTCTTAGCTAGTTGGCAAGCGAATAGACCAGTTCCACCCACTAGAAGACTCGGAGATTAGTACCATATTCTCAAGGATTTTATACGAGATAAGAGTCAATGGGACATTGGAACAAACATACATCCAGCAGGAATAAAAACAGTCTTCCCCTCAAGATCCCCCTCAAACCCCCTAAGTGACTGCAAAGCCGTCATAGCCGCAAGTGGAATCGAAGCAGCATCCACCATAGAAAGACCGTCCGGCTTCAACGCGACGAATTCTTCAGTTGACCTTGCAATCTCACTCCACGAGCCGCGGTGACATTCCGGTAACCGAACAAAGACCTCATCGCCGGCTTTGAAACGGGTTACCTGGGAACCGGTCTCTAGAACCGTTCCTGCGCAGTCATAGCCGATTTTATACGGGAAGCTGTGTTGTCAAAGTTAGATTTAGAGAATGTGAGAAACATAGGAATGAAGATCTGGCATACGTATCCTTGAGAACAGCTTTGGTTATACCCGAGGCCTTTTTCACGTCAATCGGGTTTATGCTCGCGGCGTGGACTTTTATTAAGATGTCGGTGGGGTTTTCGATGGTTAGACAGGGGACTTCGCTTAGCTCGTATTCGTTCGGTGTGGTATGTTTTGGGATATTGATTGAAAGCATCTTGGTCACTGGAAAGGTAATAGAAGCCTTCAAGCTGACAAGTTTCGAATAAGCCAGTCAAATCGAATCAAAGTTAAGTTGAAGTCGAGGTTGAGATCATGCGGCTTAATAGGTGAAACTCTATTTGCCTCGGAGCTTCAATTCGTCCGACGGGAGCGGAGGAGGAAATAATCATTTTCTATCCAATCCGCTTGAGCCGAGATACTTTAACTGCCAGTGGGTAGGGGGAGACCCACTCTGAAGGGAACCATGAGAAAATTTGCCACGCAAATATCTTGTGGTGTTCACCATACCTATGAATCCCCGTTTGAGGTGATTTTCTGGGAATCTGAATGTGGTAAATACTATTACTTCCAGGAACTTCCAAGGTTATGAACCTTCTGTAGAGTAATTGTTTGAGGTGGGTAGATATCATAATACCCATATAAATACATAACCAGTCTCCATAAATCTATAAATGATCCATAAAGCCAGCCAAAAATGCTAAATAAACCAACCAGGGAGACAGAAATGCTCAACCAACCCAGTCCGAGTCAGTAGGTATAAATTCACAGCCACCCCCATCCATCAGATCAAACTAAACCCAGTATTGACCCCAAATCCTCTTCGCCTCCTCATCTCCAACAAACCGGAACGGAACAGGGTGGATATCCTCAAAGCCCTCGTCGAGCGTAGGCTCCTGGTACCGACGCTTATAGTCTGCGAAAGCGATACCCGGCAGCGAGGCTCTGGATTTGGGGTTCTTGAAGAAGTCAGTGAGTTTATCGCTTGGGACAAACTTAAGCATATGCCGGGCTGACGCTGGCTAGTTATGCTTTAAGCTTGTTGGGGTTGGGAGGTTAGTCCAGGGGAACGGAACGTACGAGGGTCTTGTTGGCAGCGCGCACGGTGGCGTTGTGCTTGCATAGTTCTGGCGGGGAGAGGAAGTGAATGACGCGTATGGGTACAGAGAGCTCTTTTGCGAGGGCTGTCCAGTGTTCTCTGGTTTCTTGGTTTGCGTTGGTGTTGTCTGGATTGAGAGTGTAAGCGTGTGCAATGGGATGGATGTCTTGCGACAAGGTCCAGCAGGACAGCACTCTGGTCGATATTATCGGCCAAAGAAGGAAAGTCAAGCAGTTCGCCGAATGAGGATGACTCACCCACGACGACGGATTTCTTCGCTTCAAGAAGTTCACGTGTAACCTTGAGGCATTTCTGACGCTGTTGAACAGTTAGCGAGAAGTCTAAAAGTATGGTAGACCGACATACAGTTTTCAAGATATCTTGGTTAACACGTTCGTATCCAAGGGGCTCAAGATTGTTCCAATAAAAGGTGGACTTTCCAGAGCCAGGGCTGCCACAAAAGAGAACAAGCTCGAGTGGATGTTTGCGTTTGAATTCTATCGGTGTTAGTCGATTTCCATATATACCCATGATCCGACATTTCTATCATGGAAAGCAGAACATACCTGTTTCGGGCTGTGTTTCAATATACTCCTTAGGATCAAAGAGCCCCGATGCCTCCACCGGATCCTGACCAAGGAAGAACTCCTCGGGGGTCTTGAACGGAATTCCAACATTGGCAGCAAAACCACTGACAGAGTTAGGTCGAGTCAAAACAGACAAAGGCATCAACTAATCGAACTTGGATCCGCTGGGAACACTTACTGATCTGTCGCGGCGAAATCACCAGGCCGTCCAGCGGCATCACCCACATAGACCGAATTCGACATATCAACACCGACGACGTCAAGGTCATAGTAATCTCTAAACTCGGCCCACATGCCCGGGCGAGGTTTGCGGTACTCTGTGGCTTCTGTAGAAGCATACACGCTCATGGGAAGATCCAGCTGTGTCATGATAGCCGTCAATTTCTCTTTGAAGTTGGAAAGACTCTTAGAGTCGGCGCCTTTTTCTTTCTTCAGGCTGATTTTTGACTGGTTTGAGAAGAGAACAATCTGGAAGCTGTAGAGTAGGTAACCTATTGGTTAACTAGAATTCGCCAACGACTTCATTCCGAACATTGGCATTGACACTGGGAAATGGACTCACCCTTCAGAACTCAGTTCTCGGACTTTTCGTGGAACACCCGTGTCCCACCATTTCCAGTCTTCTGGGCCTTTGGCGAATTTATTTCCAGACTTTGTTTTGATCAATGTGCCATCCTTTTCACAAGGGAAGATAGATTAGCAAGATTCTTCTTTCCCTTTGATTCACTTTCAGATTTTTAATGAGAGGAAATAAACTCACAAGATCAAATGCTGCCACTTTCCGATCTTTCGACCGAAGCGTCGTACTCGTGGCCTCAGGCGAGTGTTTCCCAATAACCAAACCCTTTTCCAAGACCCGCCATGTCACCGGCCCAGGCTTTTTCTGTGAAGTCGGAGCAAAGAAAGAATTCACTGTTTTTTCTGGGATATGTCAGCGCGCTGCTGCTGCTTCTGTTTCGCTGTAATGGGTCTGCCATTGCTCTTACTGTTGACACTTGATTCAACCTTGCGCCGAAGTGGAGGCGGGGAAATAGCCCGAGTGGGGGAAGCCGTCCGCTTCATTGCCCCGGGGGCCATCTTGAATGCGTGCTTGATTGAAGACGTTGTGCCGGTTTCCCTGGAAATAAAGGTGTCTCTATGTTGGATTGGATGAGGGTGGATTGAAAGATGTGTGGTGTTCGGAGAGGATCTTCCGACGCGCCTGAACGCGCTGGTTCACGAAGTCACATGGTTAACCGCCCAAAATGGCATAATTGACCACTCAAGAGTGGGAGAAGGGAAATCAAAGAGACAATCAGACTTGGTTGAGAGCATACAGTTTAAGATATACGAGCAAAGTAGATTCAAAATAATTCATTTCATCTAATTGATTTTATTTCTACTCTCCCCGATTTCATCGAGTCGAGGTCGGAGGCTGCCTCTCCGGGTATCAAATTCATGACAGCCGACACAGGTGCAAGGCAAGGCAAGGCTAACCTTGCACAAAATGCCACTATTTAACCCTCGTATCCAGCGACAACCGATCAGCCATTTCCAGGCGAACGGCCGACTTGAGCTGTTCGCGCAGTCCAAACAAGTGCTGCGATGCCGTCTTCATGGTCTCCTGGTTACTACCATCCTGGACCATCATCGATGCCTGTAGGACATAACTCCCGCTCTTTTCCAGTGGAGCCATCTGCTGGAGGGTTGGCATCTGGTGACGGGGTTGGTTCTCTTCGCCGGGAGTGGTCGGGTAATGGAGCACGCGGTGAAGATTGAGGACGATATCGTTGTGGATGAACATATCGCCTTCGACGAGATACTCGGTTACGAAGCTGTAGAAATTCAGAGTTAGCTTAATCCCAATCAGGTGATTGATGAATCGATAATCGACCAGACCAGACCAGATCAGATCAGATCAGATCAGATCAGACCGTCGAATCGATATCATATCCGGGTAGATCACGCCACTAACCTATAGCCCCACGCATTCATGGATGGCACGATGTCTCCGCGCGGTAGGGCGGCGGTCGCCATGACTCGGGACGTGACGGCGGACCGGGTGCCTGCTTCGGGGATATCTCTGAACTCCAGCTGCCAGGACTGCTGATCGAAGTCATATGCAGACCGGGGGATCGAGGACTCCGAGTCCATGCCATCCATCTTGGTATCGGTATCGGGGTCGGGGTTGACCGGGTTGGGATTCGCATTGGCGGCTGCATCTGTGACACCAGCATCTGCAAAGTCGGTGGACTGGACAGGGCCCACGACCTGAGTGTAGAACATGCCACCGTTCAACATCTTGTTCACGCGCTGCAGGTCCCCCGACTGCAGATCTTGACTGGCGCCAACGCGGGCATTAGCCACGCCGGGCTTGCGATAAGCTTTGAAGATCAGACGACGTTCGAAGCAGTGGCGAGGTTGCATGGCCGTCAGGCCGGCCAGCTGCTGAAGGAGCTCAGCATGTTGGTGTGTCGGAACCGAGGCGAACAGCAACAGCTCATGCATGATCCTCTTCAAGTTTGGGGTTGAGTGGGTTGACAGAAGGGCGGGAGAATCCGGGTGTTGGTTAGTCAGGGTCCAAGCTTCGGGGTGGCGCCTTATCGGGGGGAAACTATGAGCAAGGGGAATTGCTAATACTTTAGTGCTCAATACTGAGCATAGTTCTCAGCACACGGGAATACCTTGACACATAAGTCAATAGTCTGAGTATTCGAGTTTCACATGCTCAACATATTTGGGTCATTTCAAATGAATCTTAAAGTTCCTACACAATGTATCAAGTACACTCCATCGATTGTAGATTTAAGCTGCCCATACTCGGTAGACACTAATGTAGAGTGCATCTACTCAGCGGGTCTGCCCTACCACAAACCACAATTATACCCGGGTACTACTCTGTAGGAATCACTAAATCACCAGTAGTGGGAGATCATTCGGCAGTGTGGAGGGACCCAGAAAGGAAGGACGATCCTTTGAGGTTCAAAAATGGAGAAGCTTCACCGGGGTAGCCAGAAGGGTTAAGATCAGAGGGGAAGGAAGGGAAGGCTTGTGTCAGATGCATCGGAAAATGGTTTCAATGGCGTGCGGGGGAGGAGAACGGAGGAGTTGGCCGCGGCGCCGTCTACCAATGGAGGAGGGAGGAGCACCGCGCGGTACACTTAGTCACAGTTAAGATTGTGTGACTACCAGTGGTGCAGGCACTCGCAGCTCCGTGTCGGCTCCGGTGGGTGAGCGGAAAGCCCAATGTGGTAACCTCCCGGCGAACTCTTCTTTTATCTTTCTCCTCCTCCCCTCCTCTCTCGCTTTTTCTCTCTCTCTCACACACACTACTCTCAATCCTTACTCAATCTCCTCCTTCTATCCAATCCATCGATACTCAGCTTCCAATTTCACCACTCCAATTCCACCACATCGCCCTCTGTCGCGTCTCGGTCGGTTCGGATACTACCGGACCCGTTGAATTTCGCACAAGCCCCCCGTGAAATTGACCTTCTCTCCTCAACACAACACCTCCCACACACCACACCACACCACACCCTCACAATGCGTGCCACCTTCTCTCTCTGCAGTGCTGCCCGCACCCCTCTGATCCGCTTCGTCGGCAAGCGCTCTGTCCCTAGTATGTCTCAAACAACTCCTCCCCACCGGACCTACCCGGAGCCTCAGCCTCATCCACCCCCATTACCCGTAACCACCAGCTAACCTCCAATTCTACAGAGTCCGTCGACCACACTCCTCGCGTCCACCCCGCCTCTCCTGTCGGAGCTCTTCCCGACTCCTTCGCCGCCTACCGCGCTAAGGCTCAACAGCACGGTCCTCTCGGTCGTTCTTCCTTCACCAGCGGCATTGGTGGCCAGTCCGGCCACGCCCTGGGCCCCATCCGCCCCCAGAACGGCCAGTTCTTCGACCGCGCCGAGCTGCCTGCCCGTTTCGGTCGTCTGACCTTCAGCGAGGCTGAGATGGAGGCCATTGAGACTGGCGGTGCCAGCCAGTTCGCGTAAAAAAAAAAACCTGGAAAGATTCACGGAACCCGTCGTGGAGCTCGAGCTCGGCTCGGCTCGACTCGGGTCCGCCTCTGAAAATCTGCCGGCACAGATAATACCATGTTCATGAGCGACGGACTACCACACTTCTCTCGGAAGTTGCGTTGAATGGAACGACGATACCCTGCTGGTGCCCAGTCTCTTTTTTTTACCCTTTCATTTTGCAACGTTGACGCCGGCGACCGTGGCACACCGATGGGAATGGCAATGACGCGGAGACTTGGACGCGAACGCGACACGCGAGATGCAGGCATCGCATCGCAATCGAGATACCCCCCGATCATCCATTCTTCTTGAGGGTGCCAATGGTCCGTCGGATGCAAGAAGCCGCCTCCCCCCATACTATTGATATATGGGACACTTCCACTTCTTGCCACTCTCTTTCCATTGGGATCAACTTTTTTCTTCTTTTCTCGAACCAGGCGCTAGGGGTTGATTTTGGGTTTTTCATCACCGTTACCTTTTCAAAGCGCGAGCTGCTCGTTAAAAGCGCAACCTTTTTTTATAGACGCCGAGTTCTGGTTTGGACTCGGTGGGATTGGATTGGAGACTATTTTTGGCACTGTGAATATTCGGCTATGAAGTACCGAACAATGAAGAAACATTCACCAAATATCTACTCTAATTACCACGTAGCTGTAGCTGCAGCTGTAGTTCTAATTGTACCAGTAATTGTTCTCCAGCTCTTAACTCCAACTCCAACAACGCGTCCCCGCACGTGCCCAGCCTCGAGGCCCAACCCCAAGGCCAGCTAACCATCATAGGTGAAGTACGTACCTGCATCTACAGCACTTCCAAACTCCACTCCACTCCTCACCACTCCGCCCCGACCATGGCCCCTCGGGCAGACCATTTGGTTCTGCACGAAACAGACGAAGCAGATAATCACACCGCAGTGTTCATTTACTCTGAACCCTCGGATTCGTCCAAACTATCCCCCGCAAGGGTGGATATCTCGGTACGTCAACGGTCCTCGGCTTTCGTCGTCCGATTGTCCAACATGCAATGCCCCACGGATATAAAGCCGAGCGGGGATGCTATAGATGGTAATGGACGGCATTCGTTCTCCGAGGGATTACTCTATGGGTCTAATCCATCTGATCTCGTCGGGTGCTCGGGTGCATCGTCGGACCTGTCCCAATGCCTTGAATCGCTTGCATCCAATGCCCACTTCACTATTGGCTCTGATATAATGCAATGCTTCGATCTTGCGGTCTGGACAGGCTGCTGCAATACTACTGTCGCTGTCGCTACCGTGCTTGGGTCAAGGGATACTCTGGACTGAATGCTGACTATGGAATAACTTGAAAATAGCCTACATTCAAGCCGCCGTCTTCATGGTCAAAGGATGGTCTGATTGCTCTGCTTTGCGATGTCTTTCTTCCTTCTGGATTTCCGGATAGCGTGACTACTGACTATCTGCCGTATGTTCCTGCCCCGTGTTGGCATCGATCTTCTATTTTCCCATGCTGACCATCTATATCAGTTACCAAATTTACGTGAGTCGCTCGGTCCCTAAGCTCGACCTCGATCTTCACTATTACTCGCCGCATATCCCAGCTATATCAGACTCACAGTATCTTTCCAGGACTCTCTCCAAGCATTCTGCAGCTCAATCGCTGGCCTCCTCTCATCACGAGCAGTTCTCCAAGGTACCGATGCGAGCAGCCACCCATTCCATTCCACTCCACATATCCCTATAACCTAACACAACCAAGGCATCGGCGTCGGAAATGTAGACGCCTCCCCAACAAATGCTCTCCTCTTGCAAATCCTCCAAGACACATCCGGCCGCATTGCCACGATCCTCTTCGCCCACCGGGTCGGCACAGCCCTCGAACCAGAATGCAAGACCTACCGTCTGGCGGCAGATGTCTTCAACGACATCGCCATGATCATGGACTGTCTCTCGCCAATGGTTCCAGCCGGTACGATGCGCGTAAGCGTTCTCAGTACAGCGGGTGTCTTGCGAGCTCTCTGTGGCGTTGCTGGTGGAAGCTCGAAAGCTAGTCTCAGTGCTCACTTTGCGAAATGGGGGAATTTGGCTGAACTTAATGCAGTAAGATACGTCCCCTTCCCTTAGTTACTAGTGCTATGCTATATTTCGTCCGGTGTATTCTAATGTCTCGTCTACCTGCAGAAAGATTCGTCGCAGGAAACAATCATTTCCCTCGTTGGCATGCTGGTACGTTCCCTCCCATACTCTCACCATCCATCACATCACCCTGATCAAATCAATGTCTCACAAAATACAGGTCGGCTCCGTCATTGTCTCACACATCACCGGCTTCAAAATGACCTGGGCAGCCCTCTTATTCTTACTAGCCAGCCATCTAAGTCTAAACTATGCAGCCGTCCGCTCCGTCGAAATGACCAGCCTAAACAGACAACGCGCTAGCATGGTTTTCTCAGCCATCATCGAAAGCGATAACTACGGCACAAAAAAGAAAGTCACTAACCTCCCAATTCCAACCCCAGCACAGATCGCACTAAATGAGCGAATCCTGGCAAAGGGCTCCCCATTCTTCTGGTCCTCTCAACGGCATCCAGAACGACAATCCCTCGGTACGGCCGAGATGGGCGTTTCGTTAGCGGAGTTCTTCGCGCGAAGTCACGCAGTTGCGACGAGCACGAGCACGAATTCGGAGTCAGGCAGCGATAAAGACAAGGACAGAGCTAATGCCATCGCCACCAACACATCCCGAGCATTCCACACAACCCTCCCACTAAAGGCCCTGAAAACTCTCTTCGAAAAAGAAGAGTACCTACTCTACTTAACCAACCAATCCAAATCCCAATCCCAACCATCAAAATGGCACGCTTCAATCCTCCTAACACCATCCGCAACAACAAAAACCCAACTAAAAGCCTGGTGTCATGCTCTAATCGTCGCGCGCGCACTCATCGAGCCAGAGCCAACCTCGACCCGGTCCTCGACCCGAACTCAAAGCCCAGACTCAACTACAGAAAGAGAATCCACGAACGACGAAAGCACAAAAAAGCCAGATACAGTCTTCGGATACATCTCGGAAACTTTAACGAAATTAAACGAAGACGGTCGGTTCGAGGGGTATCTTTCTGCGTTGAGGGGACGGGGATGGGATGTGGATGTTTCGGCTTTGGAAGTTAGGGCTGGACGGAGGGTTTTGATTGAGTTTGGTTGATTGAGTGATTGATTTCATCTTGTAAGGGAAAAGGGAAAGTACCCAGATAGATAGCCAGTCATGTACCCAGGTAAGAGATGGATTGGATGTCTTCAGAATGGAGCCTCCGATCTGGTGATTTTTGTGGATTGATGGAGGGGCACCTACCTAGGAACAGTGTCATCAAGGACTGTCGCTGGTACTATAACTAGTACGTCTACGTGAAATCTTTGAATCCAATTGAAAGAAATGTCTTGAAATGGATACTAGTATGTACTTTGAAATAGTATTGATCAACATGCAAACTTATCTGGGTCCAGTCAGTTATATGTAGGGTTCCTCGTACAAATTACTTAACTCGTCTGCTTAAAGTTTCCAAGGTTTCGGCAGGACCTGGCGGTGATGTTGGTGGTGGTGGTGGTGGCGAGATTATCTCATGTCCGGAAATGGAAGCTGCATACTACTACTAGGCGTAGAACAGCCTGAATAAACTACCTCGACCAACCACAGTAATTAGTGCTGTTTCGCCCTCACTGGAAATCGATTTATCCGAATTCCCCGCAACTACTGGGCTATCTCACAAACGTCATCAAAGACCCTTGAATACGTAGGGTCGCCACAGTTCATCTGCATGAATTTCATTATTTGTCCTAACCCGACCGCACGAGCTACATATGCGAAATTTAGAGTAGAGTGGTAGAGTAGAAGAAGTAGAAGTAGAGGGGGGTATCAAGTCTATTGATCCAACGCCACGAGGACGTATATAGCAAGCTATGTAATATCAACACAACGATCCGTCCAGGACGGAACCAATGAAGAGAGAAGAATATAAGAAAAAGAAAGAAAAAAAAAAAAAAAGAGGAAAAGAGTCAAAAGAAACGCCCAAGACCCATCCTATCCATCCAACTCGGTCAACTCTTTTGCAGTGCAGCGATGAAGCTGCATGCAAGCATGCAAGTGCAGGATGGGTCCGTGTTCCAGTCTATGTGGTATTGGTGCATCTTTTCCGCGGGTCATAAAATGGACAAAGAAAAAAAAAAACATGTCGCTGACAAAGGTTTGAGACAAGAGTTTGTGAGAATGTTGAAAAGAAATGAAAAAAGGGCAAGGTATAACGCCGTTGTTCGTATGCTGATGTGATGCCATCGTGCTCTCATACACCGCCAATAAACGCTAAAAATCAAGCGGGTCGTTCGATGCTATTCATGCAGTTGATGTTCGATGAGGTCGTCGATGAGATGAGGAGGTGAGGAGAAGTTTTGTGAGATGAGATGTGGTGGGACAGGTTGTTGAGGTCATAAAGGTATAGTAAGGTGATGGCGAGAGTAGGTGATGAGGTTCGAATATTCGTGAAGTGGTAAAGAAATCAGTCGTCAAGACCGAGGATTTTAGGATCACCGCGAGAGCCACTGGCACCGCCGGACCGCTTTTTGAAGCCCAGCTTCATACCCATCTTCTTCCAGGGATTCTCGGTGCGTAGCCTGGGGCTGTGCATTGGGAGATGAGGCTCGCTGGCGGGCGGGGTGGTCGGTGGTGTCATTGGTTCCTCAGCAGTGGGACTTGACTGCGGACTTGAGTCGTCTGTCAGAGCGAGCGAGACAGACTCACCACTCGTACTAAGGAGAGCACCCGAAGCCCGCTTACCGAGGGCGTGAACTGCACCGAGGGACAGATTCGAGCGGCCGCCAGGTGCAGGGAGAGGGAGATCCTTTGTCGAGGACTGGGGGGGATGTCCGTCTGGCGCGAGATCGGACCCGCTTCATGGGGTTCTCGTCCAGACTTTGGCTGGGGAGATTCACTGTGTCCTCGTGGCTGAAGGGGGGGTTCGGACAGTGGCGGCATGGTGGGTGATGTGGTGTGTGCGTTGAGAAAGGGGAGGAAGATGGATTCCTCCATGAGATCGTGGATGCGTTTCACGGCCGAGTCGAGTGTTTCCGGTACAGGTGGGAGAGCAACGTCACGGTGGCGGAGCAGTCCATCCCGAACTTCACTTGACAGATTGATTTCCCTGGGAGCGCCGGGGAAGATGTAGGCCGTCAATAGACGCTGCCAGAGCATGCGTAGATGTTGGCTTTCCGGGGTATCCGTGGTGAGGGTGGATTGGCCGAGGCGCTCGGCGAGGGAGAGGTAGGTATCGCGGTAGCGCTGAGCCTCGAGGGTGAATTCCAAAGTCTCGAGGCAGTGATTCTGAGAGAGGTAGGCCATGAAAGCGCTCAGAGTGTAGGGGGGCGGGGCGGTGTTGGCCAACACGTCGTTAAGCGTCGGGCGCATGGGCAGAAGGCTCCCGCCGAGACGGCCAGGCTGACCGGTCGGGAGCCAGAGGATTCCATATCCTCGTCTGAATCGCTGTCGGACGAGGTGGGAGACAGTTCCGGCGTTGTACTGGGAGTGAAATTCCAGAAGAATGAGGGAGCCAGCGACTTCTTCTTGAGCATGGCGTATAGGGAGCGGCGAGGTGCCTGAGACCGGGTTCGTTTTCTCACCGGGCCTCCCCTGGCTGGACGATGGTCCAGATTGGTGATGGTTATTGGATGAGCAGCATAAGCTGAGATATGAGGGAGTGTGGTGGTGATGGTGGTGGTGGGAGTGGTGAGAGTGTGTGAGTGGGAGTGTGAGAGTGAGTGGTGATGTTGGAATGTGGGAAGAAGGGAGAGTAAGTAAAGTGGATTAAGTTAAGAGTAAAGTAAAAAGCCTCGAGGGAAAATGGAAATGGAAATGGAAATGGAAATGGAAATGGAAATAAAGGAAAAGAGTGGTTCTGGAATCATTCTGGGTCGATCGCCAGATTACCACCGTATTACAGTGGTGTCATTTGTGTAATGTATCTGCGCCCAAGTGGAGCGATAAGATGAGTGGGGACGATGAATGGTGAATGGCGAGTGCATGGGTGAATGGGGTGATCGCAGAATGTGGCGAGTGGGTACCGGTATGTACGGTATGTAGGGTATGGTGTATTTTTCACTTTGGGGGTACGGAGGCAAGAGCGAAGTACGAGTATACAGTAGACTATACCAGTATAGTAGTATATCAGTTTAGATATAGTACTTTAGTACTGATACTATATCAGTCTACTAATATACTCGACTATTCTATGCTATGCTATATACTATACCATTCTATACTCTACTATACTACTGCCCAGGTGTATGCCTAAGACTCCAGTCCCCACTACGTAAGACCCACCGTGTGAGACACAGGCCCCTTGCGTAGCGCTCGCGTCATGGATTCACCCTGTCGATCTTCTTGGAATCCAGTCAAGCTTTTGTGTACAATATTGATTATGGTTATGATCACGAAATAAATAGTAAATACATTGAGAGGGAGGAGGTCTATAATCCATGGTACATTAAACAGAGTACTCCGTACTCTCCCTCACTATGGCTACTCCGACTCCCGGCCGACGCAGATTTCTTCGCAGTGGCAACTCAATACGAACTTGAACCAACCAAAGACTCCTCTAGGCAATTGGTAAACAGTAGTCTATTACTCTCATACTCCCATCCTACCGGCATTCACGGCATTCATCAGTAAAAATCTGTCACCCATAAGCCGCCAGTGAAAGCCACCGCCATCGCTGATACGACCTGGCCGGTCGCGGACATCATCTAGAATTTGTACAGATTCTAGAATGCCGCTAGAACCCGGCTCCACTCAAAAAGGGAAAAATGAAAAAAGATTTCTCAAAAAGGGAAATGAGAAAAAAATTGCCCAACCATGGGTTAGCCACTAGGCTTATCTCAATGAAGCCGCCTATCCAGCCACTCACAGTCTTCCACCTCATCCTCTCGGAAAGTGAGTCACGTCAAAGAAGTCGTGGATCTTGGATCCGTACAGAATCATCATCGTCTATCTAGAGTCAATGAATAACACTACTGTCTGCAAGAATGTCCCTAGCCCCTGTATACGCCTGTGTAGCGCTTATTTGTCGACCCAATTTTCCTGCATGCCACTAGAAAATACTACATGCTAGCCAGGGGTAGGTGGTCTGTTCACCATCCCTGACTACGACTTGACATCCTACTCTAGGATAGTACTCGTACACACTGGAAAGTAAATCTGGCCGAAGATATCCGCGACCCCAGAGATTGCAAGTTACAGAGTTGACCGAGTGTCCACTCGATCGCCCAAAAGATCGCCACACCCGCCGGGATCCCCAAATGAAATGAGACAAAAGGGAAAAGAAAAAAGGCAAAAAAAGAAAATTCTTCTTTCGTGACAGAAACGGGAAACATGGTACCTGCCTGGAACCCTTTCGTGCCTGAATCTGAACATGAACACGAACTCACGTCAGAGTTTTACCTTTTGGCTTCTTTCTTTGGTCCTTCGAGAACCCCCCCCCCCCATCTCGCCACCCTTACTTTGTACAGTCCAGCCGTCCGCCACACAGCGTCCGCTAGACGCGCACGTTCGTCATGCAGCCAAGCAGGTTGGTCGCAGGGATATCGCAGTCGCCCTGCTTCCTATTTATCCCGACCACACATTTTTCCCTATCGTGTCTACTGTATGTACGTACCTCTCCTGAGAACGGAGTCCATATCCTCTTAGACACACCTGTTTCCCGTTCGGTGAACGACTTGGCCGAGTGAAACCGAGAGCCAAGACGGACTCCACTGAGGCTGGACTCCGAGAGCGGAGGGCGAGAGCGAGGGCCTCGATCTGCCGTAAGTTGCTATCGTATCATATGGTGGTGTGCTCGGTCGCAACATTCGGTTTACAACACGTGTGCTACATACACTGTTGTACTTCCCTATCTGAGTGATCTCTCGGCCTACCAGAGGCAGTGTTTCTAGTACATACTCGTAGTACTCCGTACATCCGTATTGATTGACTCGAATCCTGGTGCTCATCGTTGAGCTAGGCAGATCTGCATTCCCGCGTCGTTGGCTTGGGTTGATAAGCTTAAGCAACAGCATGAACCGCTTGGTGCGGAACTATAATCAAGCTCCTGCGCTGGTCTTGGAATACTTGGACATACTTGGTAGGCACCACATACTTTGTGAATGCTAAACTTACTGAACATCCTAGTAAAGAATCTCAGGCTGCCCGGAGTAATCAGGGTCCTCCCCACTCCCTACCAACGAACACATAATGTACTCGTACTCATACTCCGTACATACTACATATGTAACCATCAAAACAATATCGGCAGGGTTCACCACTTTAGGAGCCTGAGACCACACTCCTTGCAGTACTCGTGACTAGCTAGTCCAGCTCCAGCTCCAACTCCAGCTCTCCCTCACTCGTGCAGCCCAGCTTACAGCCCAGGTCCTCCGTACTCCGTACTCTGTACAGCTCTTGCAGCGCCGAGAAGACGCCATCTCCTCCACAGCCAATCCAACCCCCACACACACGCTGCAGCTACACCAATTAGTGCATAATTGCGCCGCTAGTCAAAAAAGCTCGGGGCCGCCTGAACAGCAAACCCTTTCTAGCGCAACGCTAGAGAACACACTAGCAACCTGCTCAGCCCTCCATCCAGCATTCACCCCCAGATCCTGATCCACAATTCCCCCGAGCTCCTCAAACCAGCAAGGATTCCCCACATCGTCTCTCGCACTGTCCCATGCCCTTCCTCCTCTGAGTCTGTCCTTGGTCGCTCACATACCATGCCCACACATCTAGAACGGCTATCGCTCGGCGCTTGCCAATCTCACGGGGAAGTAGTTCCCCCATCCCATCTCTCCCCCCCCAAGCCAATCGTCCCCCTCTTTCCTTTCTCCTGGGGTGCATATACATACAGTATACCCTCCGGCACAAGCCACGGTGCCAGCGGGGTCAAGTGCAAGGTTCAAGGTTTAATGTGACCAGTGCGGTGCGGCCTACAAGTAATCTTCCCACCCTGCCATCCTGGAGAGCAGTAAGGTTTACCTAAAGCTCGTGTCTCGTGCCCACTGGCCTGATGAGGGGGGGGTCGACTGCCGTCTCGTATGCATCTATGTACTCACTACTCCGTACTCCGTAACTACTGCTGCACTCCAGACGATGCCGTGCCAGACTGGGGGGGATTCGAGAGCTAGATCAGGATAAGGGACAAGGGACGTGCAGGCAGATTTGAGTTCAAGTTGAAAATAATTGATTGATGATCGCGTTACACCAATTGCCAATGAGCCCTTCTAGATGCATGGATTCGGGTCCTTCTCCTCGTTTCTCAGGGCTGGACCTGCCATCCCATCCCATGCTTTGGTTTTTATTTTTGCTTCTGCAGGTAAATACCGAGTACAGTATGTACGAGTACTCGTACTCCCTACGCGCGCACGCAAGACGTTCTCGAACCCAGGCATACTTGCATACATTGATAGCTAGCATGTTCCACAGTCTGAGAGTATGCGTAGATCAGCCCCTGAGCCAAAAAAAGGGCCAGTGAACGACAACCCATGACGTGCAGCGGGAATAAATCATTTCCGCGATCCTGAGCCTAGGGTACAGTAGTCAATTCTTCCACGCTATCATCGCCAAAATCAGGTCTGTATCTATTTGTAACCATCCCATAGCCGAGTGCTTGCGTAGTTTGTTAAGCGAATCGCGGGATCAACGATCAGCGCGTACCGTCGTCCCAATCTCCCCTGCGCTCCTCTCCTCTCCTCTCCTCTCCTCTCCTCTCCATACGGCGTACGGAGTATACAACCCCACTCCGATCTCAAACCAAAGTTCTAGACTACACCTCGCAAAGCACAGAGCAAAAAAGACTGGCACCAATTTCCCAAATTCTCCACAGTAAATAAAGGGAGCCCACACCACCCTCACAGCCTAAAGTCAACACCAGCAACGTACTCCGTAAAACCGGCCCAAACCCAAACGGCCAGTCGATCAAACGGAGCGCACGGCAGAAGCCGCAAATGAGGTCATGAGCCCCACAAACATCGGCCAAAATCTTGATTTTGGATGGATCTTTTTGAGAAAAGGATGAGAAGAATGTTCATCAGGATTTCTTTTCTTCTACGGAGACGACTCCATACATACCTACAGAAGAGTAGGAAATATGGATCCCACACCACACCACACCCTCCCATCCCTCCCTTGCTCATATCCTGTCTGTAATCTGGCCAAGACACTGGGCCGACACGGGATCTTCCCCACTATCTCCAGGCTCCGCCGCGTAGCTACCCTAGTACGGAGAGCATACGGTACTCCGTGTATACATCCTCGGGGAGGACGCAAGACGCAAGACGCAAGACATGGAGAGCGAACTGGAAGGGAAAGAAGAGTGTGGAGCACGGGAGAGTGCCAGCCCGTTCGAGCCGAAGTGGGCGGCTACTTGAAACACCTTGGGC